TTTTTAACTTCCTTTGCCGCCGGGTTTTTTCGGCCCCAAAATCATGGGGTTTTTAATTTTCAGCTCGCTCTAACAAAACTTTTAATAGTTTTGTTTTTTTAAATTTTAACCAAAAACAAATTCATGTTCTTGTAGTTTAGATGTATTAGGGAAGATACATGTAAATGAAAAATTTTTTTAAAAAAAAAAGACACTCCCAAAAAATGTTTCCCTTTTTTTAAGGGGATAACAAAAAAAAAGCGGGCTGTTACGTCAAAAAATAATCAGCAAAAAAAATAAAAACTTTTACGAAAATTTACGTATGAACAAATTTTCCACTGGGGAAAACAGGTTAGAGAAAAATAGACAAAAAACTTTCAACTTTTATTAGCAAATATCGACAAAAATTTTCCCTTTGGGCTAATGAACAAAAAAAAAAGTTTTCAAATTTTGATCATATATACAAAAAAATATAAAACCCAATTTTACATGAAACTTTTATTTATCAAAAAAATTATTACATATATATTCATGTGATCAAAAAAAAGTGTACATTTTATAAGCCCTTTCATTTTTAAAAAGAAAAAGCTTTTTTAAGATATTTCCCAAAATATTAAATTACATTTTTCCCCTTTCTTTAAAACCCCGTCATATGGTTGAAAAAATTTAAGTTTTTGGGCCACGAAATATGTGGCTTTGTTTTTGGTACGAATTTTTTTAATTTTTTTTGACGGGTTTCTTTCTTTAAACAATTTCAATATCGAAAAATTCTTTTTATTTTTATAAGCCCCCCTTATGTACTCCCATTTTCGTACTGCAAAGTTGTCTTTTTAATTTGAAAAAAATTTAAATGGGTTTTTTCAAATAGTAAAAATTTTTCAAAAAAATTCATGTTATTTTTCATAACCAAAACTCTTTTTTAAATTTAATAAAAAATTTCAATTTTTTACATACACAAATAAACCACTTCATACTTGTTTTTAAACTTGTTTCTTTTTAATCTGCTTTTTTAAGATATTCATAAAAATATCTTCGTTGAAATCTGCCCAAAATATAACCTCCGATAGAAAAAAAAAAGTCAGAATGTTTTTCTCTGTATTTTTTTTGAAAAGTTGTCTTTGGCCAAAAAAAGCAAAAGAAAACCGTACACGCCCCCCAAATTTGGTCCTTACTCTTTGAAAAATTCACTTCCGGGCCGGGAAGGCAAAAAAACGTGCATGGTCACGCTCACTTTGTTTCTTTAAATTAAATTTAAATACGGGATCTCGTAATGAAGGAAGGAAGGAAGAAAGGGAAGGGAAAGGAAGGAAAAAGGGAAAGGGAAAGGGAAAGGGAAGGGGGAAAGGGAAAGGAAAGGGAAAGGGAAAGGGAAAGGGAAAGGGAAAGGGAAAGGGAAAGGGAAAGGGAAAGGGAAGGGAAAGGGAAGGGAAAAGGAAATTTCCTTTTTTTAAAAAACCCAAGATATGTCGGACGAGGGCCCGAAAACTTTCTCTACCCTGCAAAAGGTTTTCCATTTTTCAAAAAGTTTTAAGAAAATTAAACCCAATAGCCCATTGTCAATTAATTCTTTAAACCAAAACAACAAAAATTATTACACTTTGTATTTATTTTTGATTTTTAAAAATTCAAAAGGACTAGACCGCTATTTTTTCTTTTAAAAAAGGGTTTCTTTTGGTCACACGTTTTGTTGATTTTTTCCCTTTTATTTTTTACAAACAAAAGTTATAAGGAAAAAACTGATAATTGAGCACTTTTTTTATGTGCCCTTTTGGGATGAAAAAATTTTTTAAAAACTTTTTTTAAAATTTTGACTTTTTCCCAATTTGGGGTTTACATAGTAAAGTTTCAACATTTTTATTAAAAATTTACTTTTAATTGGCCCCCCAACCTTTTTAAAGTTTGTTTTATATCCCCTGGGTTTTATTTTAAAGACAGAAAAAGTAAATTATTTTTTTGTTTCTTTTTGTTTTTGTTAAATTTGGGACAATGACGATATATTTTGAAAATTGTCATTTTTTGGGTCATTGAATTGCTATTTCTTCTGAAAAATTTAAAGGGAAAAGATTATAAAAATTTGTTTCAAATTTGACTGTAGGTTACCCAAAAGAACCCGAACAAAATCACCATTTAACAAAATTTTTTTTCAAAAAGGAAGTTGATTTCGAAGGGGGAAAGTTTTACAATATGCATTGTAAATAAAAGGAACCGGGAAACCCGATCCCAAAATTAAGTTTACCAAAAATGTCAGTGTATTTTTAAAGTTTTTCTATTTTTTCTGGTGTAACGTTTTCAAAAAAAAAAAAAACGAAAAAAAAGCTTTTTTTGCCATTTTCGAAAAACGCAAAACAAAACTTACAAAATTATTTCAGTAAAATTCACTTTTTTTCTATAATAAAAGGGTTTTTGAATTTTTTGATTTCGAGTTTAAATTTTTTGTCGCTTTGAATGAATTTAAATTTTGATTTTTCCCTGACTTTTTATTTTCCCCCTGAAAAATTTTTTTTTACGATTTGTTATGTTTAACATTCCATGGGAAACATTTTTGTTTTTACTTTACCCCACTTGCATGATAAAAAATTTAATATTTTCAAACAAAAAGTCGTTTAAAACCATCCAAAACTTCTTTAAATTTGAAATAAAGTCTGAGCAGATTTAAATCAGGGTTTTCCCCGTGCTTTTCACGTGCTTTATTTTCCTTTTGTAACAATTACATATAGTGTGTATTTTAAAGTTAGAAATCAGTGAATTCCATTTTTTCAGAATTTTATGGGAAACCCAAAATTTTTGAGGGGGAAAAAACTAAAAATTTTCCCCTCACCCGACATTTTTTTTTCTAAAATTTTATTTTTTAAAAAAAAAAAAACCAAAAAACAAAAAGGGGAAAATTATTTAAAAAATATTTAAAGGAAAACCTGTCATTTTGATAAATTAGTTTTCTGTGGGGGAAAAAAAATTTCCTTTACGCCGGTTTTTTTGTGTGAACAGTTTGTGATTTTTATGTTTTTTTAAAAGGTTTTCTTTTTTTTTTTTGAAACGAATCCTTTTTTTTGCCCCAAAAAAAAAATTTTTTTTTTAAAAAATTTTCTTTTTTAATTTTATTTGTTAAAAACTGGTTTTATTTTTTTTTGGGTTTTTTTTTACAAATTTTTTATTTTTGTTTACCAAAATGATTTTTAAAGTTAAATTTTAATTTTTTTGCTAAAAAATGGAAAACAGTTTAAAAAAATAATTTTTAAAATCAATTTTTTTCTTTTTTTCGGGGGCCGGAAATTTTTCTCTTTTAATTAATTGATTATAAATCCAAATTTTAAAATTTTTTTTTTTCAATTAAAAAAAAGAATATCAAGGGGTTAATTTGGAAAAAAAAGGGGATGAATAAATAAAAGGTTTTGTAATAGAAAACAGTAAGGGGGGGAAAAAATTTTTTTGGTTATTTTAAAAAATCCAAAAAACAGGTGCCCAAAACGTAATTTAAAATCAAAATTTAATTTTTAAATTTTTCATTTTATTTTGAAGGAAAAACTGTGTGGAAACCTCCAATGTAACCCCCAAATTTAAAGTGAGTTGAAAATTTATTTTTATAGCAAAATTTTTTTTAAATTTTTTAAAAAATTTTTTTTCATTTATTGCAAAGATTTTTTTATTTAAAAACATTAGGGAAAAAACCCGTGATATTAATTTTCTACAAAATTGATAGTTTCTTAAAGGGGGTTTTTTGATTCGTTTAAAAATGATTTCCAAATGAATTTTTTAAAAAAAAAAAACAAAAAAAAGCTGTGAAAAAATTGGAATTCAAAAAATTTTAAAATTGTTAAAAGGAAAAAATTTTTTTTTTGTTCAATTAAAAAAAATTTCAAATTTTTACAATTTTTCAAAATTTTAAAATTTTTGGAAAAAAATAGAAAAATATATGAATAAAAAATTTAAAATTTTTTTAATTTTAAATAATTATAACTTTTTTTTAGGGTTTCCCAAAAAAGTTGAAAATTTAAAGGGAAAGAAATGGAAAGGGGAAATAAAAGGTTGATGACATGTTTGGGGTGAATAATGGTTCCGGGAGAAAAAGCCCTTCTCCAAATTTCCCTCCAAAAGGGTGCAAAGTGCGGAAAAGGCACACGGCAGGTCAAGGTTCAAGTCATCTCAAAAATTTGAAGTGATTGGTTTACCTTTTTTGAAAATAAAATCCGGAGGGTGGCGCTAACAAAAAGCCGTTTTTTTGGGCAAAAACCCCCTGTTTGCAGCCGTCACGGAATTTGATGCTTTTCCGGGTAATTTTCTTTTCCCCCACCGAAAAGAAGAAACGGACTTTTGGGAAAATTTGGCATGGGAAAAAACGTCCCCGATGAAAACAAAATAGAGGGGGGAACCGGGGAAAGGAAAGCTAGAAATCTCGGACATAAGGAAATTTCCGGGCCGAGCTAAAATTTAAAAAGGAAAAAAACACACAACAAGGTAAAAGGCCCGACGACGATAAAAAAGGGGAAGAAACGGGGCTTGTTCCTTTTCACAGGGGTTTAAAAATTTTTTAAAAGGTTTTACAGGAAATATAATTTGGGCAAAAAATTAAAAAAAACAAATAAAAACAAATACACATACATGTATGTCTCCACTTTTACACAGAAATAAATTATTTCAACTAACACGTAGAACAAGAACTGAATGACCGTTTATAGAAATACAAAGTACAAGTTAGAAAGATTTGTGAAAATGCTCGGAAGCTTTTTTTTTCAAAAGAAAATTTAAATTTTTGTACGTCAATATTTCAGTCATTTGAAGAAAAAATTTTTTCAAACCCTGATCATTTTATTTAGGGCTTGTTTTGTACAAAAGTTTGAAATTTTTTGCATTAAGAAAATTTAAAGTCAAAAATGCATTTATTGTAAAATTTTATTGAAATTTAAATAAATACTTTGAAAATGTATAGATGTTTCCAAAAAGAAGTGAAAAGAATTTTTCAGATGCTCGTTCATTTTCAGTTAAATATAATTATTATTATATTAAAACTATGATTTTAATTTCAGGTTAGTCGCAAACCTTTTGGCCGTTTTTTGTCATTCGACGTCAAGAGGAGCTTGTTTGCAGGCAAGCGTTTGGCAGAGGAATCAGACGATTCTCCAACCGGAAAGAGACTGCGCGAGGCGGAAACTGCGATTAGTAGTGTTTCATTAGAGGTGAATATTTATTTGTTTGTTTTTTTACTCAGTAGTAAAATATTACAACAAAAAATCATAAAAATATTTGTATATAATTTAAGTTCTTCTTTTGTATCGGTCATAGTACCTTTTTTTAAATATTCTTGTTAATAGAACGATATGTACTTGAATTTATTTATTAACTTTTGATATACATTCATTTCAATTGAAAATATATGTGAAGACAATTTCAGGTCTTTTGCAATAATCTAATTTGCCCTTATTTTTCTCTATTTATAATTCCCTATTGATCAATTTTTTTCAGGCACTTTCTCCGCGGTCAGAGAATGTCGACGTAAAAGATGTAGTTCACCGACTGTCTACCGACGAAGACGTTATTGCCGACGGTTCACGTCCCTATATCCTGCCGACCATCGCCGGTAAACACAGTGACTTGAAGTCCATCTCTCCAGAAACAGTAAGTGAAAATTATAAAATTCAAGTTAATAAGTATATATTAAATCATGGTGAAATGGAATTTAGTTACATGAATTAAAAAAATATAACTTAACAATGTCTACTGTTTGTTGACTGCTTTCGTTCGTTCGTTTTCGTTCATTCATTCATTCATTCATTCATTCATTCATTCATTCATTCATTCATTCATTCATTCATTCATTCATTCATTCATTCATTCATTCATTCATTCATTCATTCATTCATTCATTCATTCATTCATTCATTCATTCATTCATTCATTCATTCATTCAATGGTTTATTTTTCTTTAACCTTTCTGATTGAGCATGTTCATGTACGGTAGTTACAGTCGATGCTACCGCACAAGCCCCCCTTAGCAGAATTCAACAGAAACTGAACAGAATAATTTTAAATTTAGAAACATCTGCAACATGTAGTCTTTTATCAAATATTTATAAAGTTTTCTTCATTTTCAGATGAATGACGTTCTTTGTGGTTGCTATGACGACGAAATTGATCACGTGACTGTCATTGACTGTAGATACCCGTATGAGTTTGATGGTGGTCACATCAAGGTAATTGTAACTTTAAAAATAGAATTGATATGTTTTGGTAGCAGACGGCAAGTTAATTCATGAAAATAAGCATAAATTTGTCTGGTACATGTACGTTATTGAGCACAACTTCTCTTCTTCTTTTTTTACTTGAAAACAAGAACTTTATTACAATCTATGTTTTAATAACAACATGAATTGGCGTTGAAAGACAACGGAAAATGGTATAAGTTTCGCCAAAAATCAAAGACACAAACATAAAAACTCTAGGATAGCGCCAGCTAATCTTTTAAAGTATTTTTTTTATCCTTATAAGATATCTACTATATAAATGTTACTGATGTTACTGTTGTTGTTGATTAACATTCGTGAATACGTGTAATTAATGATTTTCCAAACTTTACAAAGTTTCAAAAACTAGCATTATTCTAACTTCTTTATTTGTTTTCAGGGTGCCATCAATTTGTATACGCGAGCTGCCATACAAGAGTTTCTCTTACGTCACAGCGGTTCTTTCACTTCCTCTAAGAAACACGTGCTCGTCTTCCATTGTGAGTTCTCATCGGAACGAGGTCCTAAAATGTAAGTGTTTTCTAACAAATTTATCATGCTCTAAACATTCCAAGATCAACATCACACATTATTGTGTTGTATTTATATTTTATCAAATAATGTTTATATATATGAGAAGAATTTAACATTATGAACGTTTATTTTGTAACGACACTGTAACAAATGGAAGGTTCATCAATCATTGAAGACATTTTTTATATCAGGTCTGACATTTGCTGTGCTTTAAAGCCCAATTGTGCCTCAGAAATGATTTTTTTTCTCGAAAGCATTTTTTTAATTTTTGGTGACCTGTTAAATATGTCAAAAAAGTTACTCATTGGCCAATTATTTGAACCATCTTTTGCTTCTATCGCCTTTTGGCAAATAGTGCACTTATAATAACTGCGTTGTTTGTATGGAAAGTCAAAATACTACTTTGTTTATATTTTGCTACTTTTATAAAAGATAATTTCAAATTTCGCGCCACTTTCTTCAGGTGATAATTAAGTATCTTAAATGCCCTGAAATCATTATCTAACTGCTATAAAACTTATGTTAGCCCTTTCTAAAAAAGAAGAAAAAAACATTGGTTTCAGAGGCATAATGTGCCTTTAAAATAGCTAAGTCTTCATGACTTCATGACTTTTTAACTTTTGTAAGAGTAAATAAATGGGTCTTTGATCATAATGAAAGTAGACTTTTGTTTACTATATATTAAAAAAGTCTATAATCTTAATGATAATACGCATTTGAGAAATATTTTTTTTATATGTAGAACAACATGTGAAAAATGAAATATTTTTTTTTTTTTTTTTTCAGGTATCGTCATTTACGCAGTGAGGACCGTGCCATGAATAAAGACCACTACCCACGTCTCAACTTTCCGGAAGTTTACGTTCTTGAAGGAGGTTACAAGGCGTTCTTTTACAAGTTCATGGTAATTTCTTGATTATTACAAATATGTACGCCTTTAAAAAGGCCACGAAAACGCAAATGTAAACTACGAAAGGGGCATCATGCTTTTTAACTGTTTGGTGGCTTAGAAGCTCTAGTTTGTCTTTTTATACTTGGATCGAGTGAGGTAACGATCACAATTTCTTCATATGACACCAGTTGTAATTTAGCTTTATTTCAAGATAATTCACAACACAAAAGTAATATGTGAATTATATACATCTGTATGTAAGTATATATTATACTTTTAAGCATTCCTTACTGAATCATGTTTAAATTGACTCATACAAACATGTATAAAATATGTATATTTATTATTTTTATTTACAGACACAGTGTTTGCCGCAGACGTACAAGCCCATGTTGCACAAGGACCATGCTGCTGATCTACGTCACTTCCGGGGAAAATCGAAATCATGGACAGCCGGTGAGAGACCACAACTCATGCGTACTACACTTCGTTTTTAGTGCTTCATAACCTGACTTCCGGTGAATAAACAGTCTTCGAATTCAGACCTGGATAAATGCTGTGATAAAACTGTGCAATATTTGTGTTTTTGTGTTGTGTTTTGTGCCAGAAGTGAACTATGGCGGTTGATGAACTGTTTGTATACCAAACTGTTGACAATTTGTGTTAAACTTTCATCTGTCTTTCCTTAATCATCTTCTCTATCCCTCCTACTTCATTATTTTGAAAAATATTAAAATTGTTGTAAAAAGGTTTTTGTTTTTATTTTTCTTTCCACGACAGTTGTCAAGTGTACATCTTTCCTTCATCCCACTATAAAAACCATTTTTCTTCTTACAGTCGGTGTCATTATAGTGGGGTTCTACTGTATTAGGTACCATGTATGCGATATGCGCAAGCAAGTGTCCTGATCTAGATACGAATTCACTTGTTTTTTTTTATTTCTTCTCATAAAAGCCAAGTTTAACGTGGTTTTATTTGATTTGCCTTGTAGACAACATATATCTCGAAATAAGTTCAGAGCTCCTAACACGAATCCTTTTTGTACAGATTTGGTTCATATTTCAAGAACGGTAATCCTTTCCGGTCAAATTTAATATTTTTTTTAAGAGTTGCGTACCCTGCACTACGATAACGATACAATACACATCCTAAAACAAGATGGAAACGTAAATTGTCATGAGTTAGACTGACATTTTGCAAAATCGGTTTAAACGTTGGTTTGGCTTGCCGGAGACAACTGTATCAGTGTTTACTGCTCATGGTTTGCACTGCCCACTATTCAATCCATGAAAACAATGAATGATTTTGTGAACAAGTCCATTTAGGCATTTACGATTAATGGGATTAACAGAAAAACTTCCGCATTGTATATTTGAGGACACTTTTTTCTTTGAACGTGTGATACGTATATTCACAAATTACAATATAGCTAAAATAATCTAATTCCATGATCGGCAATGGGGACAATTTATTTTTTAAAAAAAAGCGTACTATGTATACAAGAAAAGGCAGGCCGATTAGAAGTCGAATTTTTCTGTCCAGCAATTGGAACTTCACATTCGCCTGTATGTGTAGGATAAAAAGAACTATTGACAATTCAAACAATTGTAGCAAGTCAGGAAACCTACCCCCTTCAGTACACTGCTGAATTCGTTATGAATATGCCTGGCTTTGGATTTGGAACAGTTCATTCAATGTTAAAGGGTCTTTGCAATATCAAATACAAATATTGTGCACGGATGTGCATGCTTGCGCGGCTAAAGATACATTACTCTCGGTTCCATTAGGTAAATGATTAAGTGTGGGATGACGGTTCAAGGGAATGGTATTGGTGCTCGTGCTTATGCTAGACTACGATTACGAAATCCTCTTGTGAAGCTCCATGATTTAATATGCAAAGGTTTTGAGTAACTTTACGATATAACCATTTGAAGAAGCCACCAGGATGAATAAATGAAATTTGGTTTTGGAATATTTGACACTGAAATTGCCCAACTGCAATTATGAAAATATCACTCCATTAGGGTCATGGTTCCCTGGAGTAGTTTAGTGATTTTTATATAAACTTTGTATATAAAACAGTCATGTTCATAATTATGCAGGGCGCCATTCCATTCTTTTTTGTTTAATCAATCCTTTGGTACCATGCCATACTTCTGCTCCATATTGCTTCAAAGCAAGTTTTTTTTTCTTTTTTTGTGGGGGTGTGGGGATTGTGTCAAGTTACACCACCACTGCAGGGAACATCATATTATGACTTCCCAGCACTTACTGGTAAAATAACTCTGTACAATTCTTTGTGCTAGCTGTACTTGTCTAGTAGGGCCACTGGCCTTTTACAAAACAAGCTTCTTCACACCAGTCAAAAGTCCTCAACGTTGTTCGAACCCACAACAGTGAGAGCAAAGTTATCAAGGTAACGTTTGGGGGTACCAGTTTGGAAAATAATCAACTTATGAAAACTCAGTATTTTCAATAGACCACCGTGTCTCCTATAAAGACAGAATTAAGTATAAAGTTCCTGATACAATGTTACTTACTGGTTTGTGGGATAAACCCTTACATAAATAAGTTAAAGAGAAAATAAAAACACAACAATATTTATATTTCATTTTAAAATATATATTTCTTTTTTTTTAATTGCATAATGCTCTCCCCCAAAAAAGCACAATTCTTGAACCTGTCATGTTCATTTACATATATATATATAACAATTCTTTAAAAGACACAAAATGATGTGTCAACATCATCAACAACAAATATTGAAATCGAGACTCTGATTGGTCTAAATAAAACAAGGAACATCTCAAAAGTTTCAAATATTGTAAAAACATTCACGTTGAGACAGTCCCTCGTTTTCGTTAGCCAATCAAAGACTTAGTAGTAACAGTTTTAGGCTGCTGAGGCCCACAACCCACTAAAGTGCAGATGAAACATACAAAATGGAGAATAAAATAGTAAAGTAGGATGCAAATGACTAGCTTACAATCCCAAAATTGTAGAAATAAACAAAATAAAAAAGATGAATAGTTTAATAAATATATATGTGTACTCCGAAATGATGTGTTTCAATAAATGCATATAACTATTCTACCGCTAAATATTTCTATCAAATTTCTCTGATTTTTTTTTAGTATTATTTTTTTTTCTCGAATCTGCACTAATATGGAAAATCCAGCCCATTAAAATATATTAACAATTAACAACTTGATTGTGTGCGACTTAACGTTCACACAAAAAAAGTGAATATAACTACATAATTAATGTACTTGAGAAAAGAAATTCATAAATGACCAATTGTATATTAATGTTAGTATACAAATGTATCTACTCTGACAAAAATAGAATCTGAATTACTATGATAACGTACCACAGGTTTTAGGCCTACAGGCCACCAAAAATAAAGTATCACAGGAGAGTTCTGATGAAACCATAAGGCCAAATAAATAAATCATTTGGTTCAGAGCCTTTTTTTCTCTCTCACAATATTGAATAAAACTTTTGAAATACCATGAAAAATGCCCTTTCTATTTTTTAAACAATACACACATCTTTGTATTTCTTTAAATTTATCTTTCCCTATATTTTTTTCTTAGAAAAAAGTACTTTTTTTTAACATTTTGTCACAAAAAGTCCGAAAACCAAACAAGATTTTCATATGGCCATATAATCAATAAAATAAACATGTATTTTCTTCTCTCTAAGTATGTACATGTCTACAATATCATTCACATATCTCATTTATTCCATTAATTTTACATTTTTAATTGCATCTATAAATATTTACAAAGCTAAATTACTCTTGTACAATAATAGTTTTCACTCTGTACATTTCCTTCCCGAAAGAGCTATTGTAAAACAGTCATTTGCTAGCAAAGTTCACGCACATATACTGGTATATTTTCATAGTTATAACAGACAGGTAAAAAGAAGAAAGAAAAAAAAAATCAAAGTACAGTCATATGCACATATAAAATAACAAAATACATACATATAATAAATCTCAAAAAATAAATTTCTTATTCTCTTCTTTTTTTTTCTAATATGTTTATTTCCACATTCGAGTTTGAATTGTCTCACATTGGGGAAAGCTATTCACAGCTTTTTTAGTTTTTTTGCTTTTTTTAAGTATTTCCTTAATACACAATTATTATGCATCAAAATTAGCATATGATAAAGCTTGAATTTTGAGACAGAGCCTTTACTTTTCTCACTTTTCTTACGAAATTTGGATTTTCAAGATCTGGTTTTACTTTTTTTTCCCATATAACTTTGTCCCAGTTTCACATACTTGACATGATTCCATGTGAAAATAAATGTTAAAGTATAATATTACACAACAAAAATAATTCTAAGCACAAAGAATGGTAAATTAATGGCATTAAGTGTGAATATTCACGGTTATGGTAATGACTAATGAATACATGAATAATAATGAGTTAAATGCACAATTGTGATTGGTCCACCTGGATCATTGTATAATGACATCACAAAATGGAAGCAGTTTGTTTTTAATGAATAAATACACCTCATGGTTTTTTCCGATATTTACATATGTACAATTAATTCAAGAAAGCCAAATCCACTTTGAATGTAAAATGACAATATTTCTGTCATTTCTGACTTTAACAACCTTAAGCCTGAAGGAAAAATAAAATCTCTTCAAGGTTACTTATGTGAAGTTGTCTTTCCATAAGAAATAGTATTTATACCACACGCTGTTTTGAAATCATTTACATATACGATTATTAATCGACATTAATGCGTAGCATGAATACAGTTCACCAGCACTTCTGATGTTCACCCTGATAAAAATACACCAGTTTTGATAAGTAGCAAGAAACCGGTGCTCAATTTTTACCAAGACGTTTTTATCAGCAAACATAATTTCTCACAATATATTATGCAATATAAACAAAAGACAAAATTATCTATTTATTTAAATAGTGTCAGCACTTTCAACTAGTCCCTCGACTGCAATATCCGATCGTGAAATATCTTTTCCAACGACGGATTTTACTGGCTCATCTCGTGAGTGATTGGCGTGACCAAATCGGCCGTCTACTGTGACCTCAACTACCTCGCTCTTTTCAACAGGAAGAGATTCCTCCGCATTTTCGGTGTTTGCAGGGTTGTCATTGGTAACATTTTTGTCAGCAACAATTTCCGGTTCAACGGAGGACACTTTCGGTTGGTACCAGATGACCTCCGGTTTAACAGATTCTTGATCTTCCTTTTCAAGCTCAGCATTTGGTATGTTCGGGCCATATATATCATACCAGTCAAGGTCATCTTGTTCTCCGCGTAACGACATCAACACACGAGATTTCACTGTTAAATAAAACAAAACGAAAAACTATTATCATTGATAAACATGAGTTGTTTTTTTTTTCCGAGAAAAATATCAATTTTACAAAATTATTCTATATTCTGTTTCTTTAATTACAATATTGAAAGGCAGTTTTCATTACAAGCAAAAGATTTCATATAGTTTTCCTTATGAATACTGATAATAGTGTAATAAGTGATCAATTTTTGATTGTACAGTGAAAAGTTGAGTTTTGTCTTCTGCTAACACAATTAATAGTTAGTGTAAAAGTATCAGTTCTTTTTCTGTTTAATTTATGAGAGTAATTATGTTTTGTTTTTATTTCTCTTTTTCATGAAAATCAGCATGTGTTTTTATGACCAAGAATTTCATATTTCAACTATTTATATTAATGAAATATTTAAAATCACATTTATGAATCAGCCAAAAGTAGCATAACAAGCAACCTAAAGCTTGGTCAAACCACAATCCCAAGGTTTCACTGTATTTGTATCCATCACCCTTATGGGTGGGAGGTTTGGGGATGTGGGGGGATGGAGATAATACTTACTGGGCGGAGTACAGTAAGCATCGACCTTAGCCCCTTCAATTTGCGGGCCCATCATAGGCGAGGGTTTCACAAGCTGTGGGCTCGCAAAAGGTAGATGATTGGGAAGCCCGGGTTTAGAGGTGGAGTACCCAATATTGAGAGAAGTTGGAGTCCAACTGCCCAGAAATACAGCGAAACATAAGACCAGAACCTGCAATGAGTCCCGACATGCAGTTGTTGGTAAAAATTAACGTGATGTTATACTGAGACTATATTACAACATGCCAAAACTTGCAACAGTTTTCCCCAACATTTTCTTGAAAAGGACATAGTGCCAAAATATTCCATGTTAAATTTTGTCCATATTTTTTTGGTAATAATGCTGTTATAAAATTTTTTTATTTTTTTTGCCATTTAGTTACAAACAAGATGCAAGTTTTGACATTTAATCAAGAAGAAAATGAAGGCTCTACTTGTCATAAAGTGAATTTTGTTTTCACAGATTTAAATATCCAAACATGAAACTTCAACATTCAGCCACGTAGTGCCTTCATTTTCCATTAAATTTCTTTTCACCCTTAAGCTGCTGAATTTCTTCTGAAACCTTTGGAATTTCTTCTGGATGGACTTGTCCAACTTTCAATTCACAACAGTCCGTTGATAATTTAACTCAAAGGACATATAAATAATTGAAAGTTGGACAGACAACAGTATAGGAGCCTGGTCAGATTGTGCAAATAAACAGCCTGACCTGTCTCTATACTGGTGGTCGCTACGGTTTCCAGCTTCAGCATCAAGGGTTAACACAGGTGTCTCTTATACCAATTTTTTTTTAAAATAAATTTAAAAAAAATTGATAAATTTACTGTTTTTTTTTTGGTTTGCAAAATGTACAAAAACCACACAACTTTAGTTAAAAAGACACCTGTGTTTTAAAAGAAATCTAAACTATCTTATTCTAAATATAGGTTAGCACAGTGACGAACAAATTTAATCATAAAATACTGTATCAAATCACCTATTTCAATCAAATTTTCTCCCATGTCACACAGAATAATGTAACTTCTTTCTTACTTTTTAAACATTTGCTATGACATTGTTGTCATCAGTATCATTAACTATTTATTGAAAAATTACCATCATAATTTAACAAAGAATAAGACCTGCCATGGAGCAAATATCTATTTTCTAAAAAATGAATTTTCGTGCCTGTTACATGTTCATGTGACTTTGACCTTTTATATTTTTTTCAAGGTGATTTGATACAGTCAGCTGACATTGCCTGAGACACAGAAATAAATATGCAGGATAAATATAAAATCCCTATACCGAGATTTTGTAAAATATTTCTCTTCAGCATATGAATTATTGATCAAAGTTTTAATAAAAACAAATTTATTTTGCTTAGTCTTGACCCATGCTAGATATTTAAACAGACTTGGCCTACTTTCAATCTTGACAAAACCATTCATCATTTTTAAGATAAATATCAAATTATGCCAGACGGAATAGCAAACAGTGCAGATCATGATCACACAGTATGGATATGCCATGTGATCTTTATCTGCACTGGTGTCATGGTAGAATCAGTGCTACCAGCAGACTTCCGGTTAAATTCTATAACCTTTTTTTATTTAAACTTAGGCAATATCAGCTGAATAACAACCATATTTTTTTTCCCGAATAACCAGAACTATTTTCAACATGTTAATTGAAAATCAATTAATTTTTTTAATACCTTAAAAGTACATTCTTAATACTTATTCAAATATCATTTTTCCTTTCAAATTGTAAAATTACTTAAATTTCTTTCTATTTTGCCTATAGGGTAACAACATTAAAAACCAACCCCATACAATTACATCTATTTATAGAATTTCACAGAGAGTTGACCTACCATAAGTCCTGTCTGCGGGACTGTCCCACTGGGTCGTGGAATCTTACCCACAAGGTTTTGTAACTTCTGAAGCTGACTCAATAGAGATCTGTAAGAATGTGAAAGAATCGCAATAAATATACTATAATTAACACTTTTATTAAATCTATTTTTCTTCTAAGGGAAATTTAATGTAAAATATGTAACAGTAAATGGTTTCTAACTTGTCACCTGGAAAGTTATATAAAAAAATTCTGGGATTTGCCATCATTTACACGCAAACATAAATTTGACCATAGGTACATATAAATCAAACAAAATATGAAAGCCAATAATACCATTCATTTCTTTCAAAAGTGAAAATCTGACGATGACAACAGACAAAAGGCTTCCTGCGAAGTTTGTAATTATAATTTCTTCATAAATGTATAATAGATATTATTATATATAATAAAATAACCATTTTTACTACTGTATTCATTTCATTAAAACACTGGTTTTTTTTCGTTGTTTTTTTTTTTCAAAAGATGCACAGTGATTTAACACATATAAAGTTACCTGTTATTATTCTCCAGGGAGTCAACTTTCTTCTTTAATTCACTGTTTTCTTGTGAAAACGACTCCACTCTGGCAGAAATAATGGAGGGAAAAGAATTCATTAGACGGCTACATCAACAATACTATCAAATTACTCATCATCAAGAAAATATAATGTCATCTCATCTGAATAATTTAACAAAAAGCTTTCACCTTTTTCTTTCTTTCATAATCAAAATCAATGACTTTAGAAAATCATTTATATCTTCTATGACTACATGTATGAGACTTTTCATATTTAATGTCTTTCAGCTGTTTTGTAAATAATAAATAAAATCACCATGACAGCAAGGTGATAGGTATTTCTATATTAGTATATTTTATCTGTTACAGAGTTTTCATATTAATTTTCAGAGATTTCTGTTTCTGACTCCCATATTACTGGAGAATGAAATGTTAACCCCCTGAATATGTGTAATGGATTTGCCCAGGTTTGAAATTGGAATAGTCCATTCAAAATTATAGAGTACAAATACTGAGAAACAGACAGTATAGAGCCTGGTTAGACTGCGCGGTTGCGCTACCTGACAGATGTGAAGGATAGCCTTGCTCTATGCTGGAAGCAAAGCCTATAAACTTTCATTCAAGCAGGTTAAGGGTTTAAAACAGTTGTTAACTGTTTATAAAGAGCCAAAACAAATTATCTGTTTCAAAATCTTCATTTAACCCCAACTATTGTTTATCATTTTATCATATTTACAAATTTTATAAATAGCACTGTATAAATTTTCCACTAAAACCAAACCATATCTAGCGGAAAACCCAAAACATAAACGTTTTGCTGAAAATGTATGCACAGCTTCGTAGAAACAGTGTTTAGGTTTTATTTGTTTAAATTTACCAAAGAAAAGACAATCTGTATATGAACTGTCATTTTTTACACCCCCACATACTCGTGTGTTGAATTAATTTATATTTACCTTTTCTCTAATGCCTCTAAGTATTCTTTCTTCTTTCTTCTACTTTCCTGAGCTGAGATCTGCAATGAAAAACAACAAGAACAACAATTAATTACTCATACAATATAAACAGACAAAAAACCAATAGGTAGCAATAGCCTTGGCCTAGATCGAAGTACAGCATTTTTTTTTATCATACACACATACATATATATGGTACTTGACATTTAGATCTCTATTCATTGCCTACATAATTGCCTCATAATTGTGGCAAACTAGTCATAAACTTGCCTTAATTGGGCTATTTGAATACAGTACATTACTTGGGCTAGCTAAATACGGTTCATTTATTCAGCCCTTTACTGATAATTATATGAATTTTGGAATAAATTCATTATCTATTTTGCCGACATTTTCTGCCAATTCATAATTTATTATTCAGCAACTTGTATACAGTATATGGAACATTTTCATAACATATTATTAAAATTGAAATTTTTTTAACTAGATTTTTGAATGGACATTGTTCAAACTATCCAACATTTAGGCTACCTCATTTTCACAATATACTACAGCCTTTCATAATCAAAAACTGACACCATTATGTAGATCTAGGTCAAATATTATTTAAAGTTGGTATCTTATTGAACAACCTATGTAACAATAAATATTAAATTGCTATATAAATATTTGTAACAATTGGTAAAAAGGCTGAACTTGAAAAATTCAATAGCTAATTTGTAACAAAAATTTTCGTCAACCTTAAACTTTACTGTGTGTACGACATGGCATCCTACCTGACCCTATCATTAAGCTAGGTTGTTTTTTTTGTACAAACTATTTTTTTTAAACTTCAATGGAGTTATAAATAATCAATACTAAAATTATGAAAAAAATAGCACAAAATGAACTCAAAGAAGCTGTATGTAGACCAAAGAAATGAGACCAAAGTATCATAAATATTTGATCACAAATATTGATAGTGCGACAGGAAATCCAAGATAATCAATAATGACAATAACACGATTTACAATTAGAATCAGGTAGCCTACAACATATATATCATAAAATAAAACCAAACTATCACATTTTTTACAGTCCAAGGTAATTCAATTAAAGATCAGAGGACCAGCATGTAAGATCAAGAACCTGATTGGTCCATTTCTACACAGAAATTTTAACTGACCAATGAAAAGCTTGATTACTATTGACTGGTACACACATTTTAATGAAGCTGAGGTCAGGTACAATGTGAGAATCCTGATTCACAGATATTTAATACTTATCACATCCGCTTGTGCACCAACACTTTGACCTTTTCTTTCTATCTATCTATCAAAGCATTGAATAAAATACATATTATCTACCAAACAACCACTACCAAACAATGTTTTTTGTATTCATGACTATTAAATTTTCTCATTAATATAAACTAGCTCATTTTTCAAATAAATAAATAGGATTTTTTTTTGTTGTCACAGGTGTTGTTTGTTGTGCACATATACAATATATATATACATACAGCATGACGAAAAGAAACTGTCATGAAATCTTGTACTTTAAATTAAAAACCTACCTTGTTTTTAATTTTGCGTCTAATTTTTTTCAGATTTTTCTCCTCCTGTTTGGTGAGTGGCAGTTTGGATGGTATAGGGTACCCCTCGGAGATCAAAGTCCGCTTCTCCTCTTCTGTAAGCATGAGGACTCCCGATGTGGGAATCTGCTGGAATACAATGTCTACTCCACTGTCACTCTGTAATAAAAAAATAATGCTTAACATACAAACGGACCCAAAAAGACTCTAAATAAAGAAATTAATCTTTAGTATCACCGAGGTAGTATTTCCTGTGAGGCATTTAAACTCGCTCACAGATTTGATGCAATTTGCTTACTTCTGGATTCAAAACTAAAGTGTAAAGAAGAAAGTGGTTTTAAAGTCAACATGCACCATGCAAAATCAATATTCTATCAACTTGCACAGACTTGTCCGAATAAAAAAACTGGTATAATGCAATCTTGAAATGCATGTCGAAAATAAAAAGTATGTACGTACCTGACTAGATGACGAATACAACGAGTGTGAATAATGGCGAGATGATCCTGTGGGTGAGAGAGACGATGAGTACGATGAATGCCGGTCCAGCTGGCGAGAGTATGGAAGATGTCGAACTGGACTTGATGGGGCGGAGCGCTGCGGGCTCGAACAGCTGTCACTGTCACTGTTACTACTACTAGGGGGTGTTGGTGGAAGCACTAACGAGTCAATATTCACTGTGAAAAGAAACAAAGAAACAATGCTTGTTAATTTTAAGACATGCAATAAATCATCAATAAGTAGTTAGTACTCTTAGCCTCCTGAATTTGTGTAATGAATTTGACCTGCTTTGATGTTGGAACAGTCCATTTGAAAATAAATGGATTTCAACATCAATATATGCAAAAGTTGAGCTACAGATGTCGATGTTCAGAAGTAAAGTCTCTAATTTATTGACATAATTATATAAGAAGAATGAAATGTGTACTTAAAACTTCATATTTCAACTAATCAGCGTTATATAAATTTGACGTGTGGTTTAAATTCCAGGTCTATATCGGCTTATTATTAAACTTGACAAGCGACTCTACGCAATCAATATAGTGGGGGTCGGCTAATATAACGTCAAACATCAAATTGTATTGTAATTTTTCTTATTATTTACTTTTATCTTTAACTGTTATTTTCAACTTAAATACAAATGCAAACATAAAAGCGGATCAAGTAAGGACCTATTCCCTGATGGGCAAACAATTCAGTGTAAAAGTTCACACAGTTCAAACTTTGACCTCAAGTAATTTACGATAAAGACTTTACTATCTGAAACAGTCATCAAAATCAATCTGAACGATTTTTGAAAAAATTCTCCGTCCTTTTTACGTTAAAGCATTAATCCGAGAAATTAAAAACCAATATCAATTTTACTACTTATGTTTAAATAAGATTTAAAGTAATGATAATAGACTTGGATATTGTAGTAAAATACTCTACCTACTAAAGTATTGATCAAATCAGATGATACAATCTCACTTGTTCAATGTATTGATTGAAATAAATAATTCAGACCAGACTTTTATTATACCGTTCCAATGAAAATATAAAAACAAGGTCCGATTAACTCATACCCTATACTAATATTTTCTACCCATGTAACAGGAAATAATATGAACATGTTGGAAATCTAATGATCCTTTTCTAGCTTTTATAAAAAGTTGACCTTGAATCAGCCTGGATGTGGGCCTGTGGGCTGAACTATGTAATTTAGAATTAATGTTGCACACAATCAATTCAACATTAATAGCATCTGGTTCTAACCAGAAATACATAATTACCTAAACATATTGATATAGCAAAATTTATAATTGAGAGAGGGGGGGGGGGGGGCAAGGGTAGCCAGTCTTAGAGTAACGGCTATTACCTGTTTGATCTGATGAATCGTAAGCATCTAATGGCTCTGTTTTAACCGTGATTTTTGGTAATACTGATCGTTCTGATAATGCCGACTGTCCCTGTGCCGATGATGCTAGAATTATTGTAGGCTGTTGCTTGGTTACCGTGAATGTCCGTGTCATTACTGTTGTCGAGGCTGTTGAAGTCATCTTTATCGGGTCACAGTCCAGTGACTCTGATTTTGTCGTGTTCATGTTTGGTGTGGTTTTTGTTGTAAGGTCAAGGGCCGCATTCTTGATAAGAAAATCGGAGTCCAAATCTGAAATTATACAAATAACACAGTATAATTAAATAAGCCTAGCAGGGGTAGCTCATTATATTAAATTGACTGACTCAAGATTTAAAGCAATGCAATATTGACTGTGGCAAATAGGATTTCTTTTCACGAGAGTACTCCTGTATAGAATTAGCTCATTTAGCGTGTTCAAATCACATACCACCATTTACCAATGCATGACAATAAAAAAAGTTTAACTATCCTGTGACCAAATTTAAAAACAATTATTCAAACTTAACATCAATATTTACTAAACATACTACTTCTAAAGGGTAAAAGTTTGGCGTAAAAGTAAAACGGTTTGCGAAAAAGTGACTTAATCCTGTGGGAAATAATTTCAAATACTCAACACTTAAAGATCATTCCATACCAGATTACACTTTGTTATAATGATAATAGATGTTACCCTTGTTTGAAGAAATGCATTATTTATACAACAGTTTACTTCTTAATTAACCGTCTTAACACCTTATAGCCTACCTCCAATTGAGGCATTTCTAAAGTGATAGTTAAATGTTAAGCATTTTGGATCGTGACATTGTGTATGCGCTTGTAATGAACAGCCGAAGGCATTGTGTACACTGTGGTTTTTTTATATACATCAAAGCTTGCAATACCATGTTTAAAGTGTATGTAAACTATCATTATGAGCTAAAATTAAATTTGTACATACTAGCAATGACAATTACATATATATGCCACCAGTATAGACAAGAGCCAGGTTAGCCTGAATATAGCAAGTTCATCCAGTTGAGGATTTTTCACACATTTAGAGTTCTGACTCTAATCTCAGAATTTTCACTCGTCAATCTGATACAATTTTATAATATAATGGTCTGTTCATTTATATAAAACACTGTGTCGGATGAGTATGTGATTAAAATATTACAAATATAAAATTTATATACTTCTTAAAAATTAAATTATACAGAAATCTAGACCTATTTTTCCCTCTCCATGTATTATTAAAATAATTTCCTACGAATAAATGTTTTATCTTTTCCCTTGTGTTTCTTTAAGGCTTTGTTGTTTTTTTAGGGTTTTTTTCCTCCTTCAAATGAATTTTTTTTCAAATAATCAACTACAAAGTAATAAATTGTACATATATTCATTTGACTTTCAGTACAAAATGGGAAATCATTGTCATAACTATATGGTCTATAAATGATAACAGCAAAACGGTAGAGAAGAAATATTTGCCCTCGAGGGCTCGTGAAATATAACTATAGGTGTCAAGGAAATGTAATCATAATCAATACTAATGACAATTTCTATTCGGCCATCGGCAAGATCTTTCATATACCTTCCCTCGTAAAAGATTTTAATCAACCCTTGGCAATTTAAACTCATATATCACTCAAAGATCTATAATGATTTTTTTTCACTGATACATTATCAGAGTGAAAATTGAATGCCAAAATTGTAATATTGTACAGCACTTATTACTACCCTACATAGTATTATTTCAAATACAGCAATTAAAAACTAATTATGTATTCTTACTTTAACAAAAGTCAAACACCTGTTCAACTTAGACACAGCCACCTGTTCTATGGATCATAATCTGATGTAGATCTTTAAGGCATTAAAGCATCATATATAGACCAAAACACTTCAAAAAATATTCACAATATTAAATAGTCAATTTCATCTAACTCACAATTTCTGCATAGTTACCAAATGGCATTTTTTTTTTTACTTTTGGACGACCCTTGGCATGAAATATTGTTATTTCAAGCACGAGTATGCTAAATTTTCAATGGTAAGTATAAAATCACAGGCATTCAGGCATGGGTATGCTTTTTAGGAGATACATGTATTATAAAATTATCAGTAATTAACTGCAGCACCATGATGAAAGTTTGTTATTTTAAGAAGATGTTTACTGACATATTTTTGAACTTCTTTTTTTATGGCTTCAAGATGGTGTAAAAGACTATAATGTTTGATGTCTACACCACACACACAAGGTTTTCAAACAGGTGCCTGAACAACTATTTTTCCGTCTCTTATAATATACGCTCCAAAATTGATTCCAGTCTCTGTTCATTTACTTAATTCATGAACATTTACATGTACAAATTCTTCCACTTACTAAAAGTCATTGAACTTTGTCCACTCTTTGAGAATAATTCTCTGCTAGTAATTACAGAACCTGATTGGTTAATTTGAAATTTGAAATTGACCAATGGCAAAACATATAGCCAGAGAAAATAATCTCAAATCCTTAATTAATACCCTTTAACCCAAAATGAAAACATCAATCCACCAGAAATTGCTGTAATCATGAAATGCTGCAGTGTATGTATTTTATTACTGGATGTTTCACTGCTAGCACACATGTCTATAATTTTCTATAGTCTACATTTCTAAAAGTTTGTCTATAATTCATGAAAAACAGGCATTGCCAATAATTGTTCTTAACCAACCATGGCAAGATTCTCAAGATTTTATTTTACACAGGAGCCAAATATCACTGGAGAAGAAAAAGAGAAAAAAAATTAATAGGAAGTATTTCAGCAAATTCTTTTTCTGACTGCAAAGAATACTGAGTACAATGTGACTTAAAGGAATCTCATTTACATGTAATATTTCCATATATATATATACTTAACTATTGTATAATCCTAGAATGTGTGACCATGCATAGCCTTAAACCTGGTTTGAATTCAGAGCTAGGCTAGGCTATGGTGGTTTCATAGATTTCAAAACTGAAATACTCAAGTTGTACAGCAAACAAACATTACACATCTGGTATTAAAGAGTGTACAGATTGTATTGGCTCAGGCCTAACTCTATTAATATGACACATAAGTCTGTCACTATATAATCTGCCATAGCATAAGAGCTGACTTGTTGATTTAAAGGGATTTGTGCAAGCTAGATTAGTAAAAAGTGGGCATGACTAGAAGAAATTTTACACAATTTTTTTATTAGAAGAAATTTTACACATTTTTTTACGAGATGTTAATTTACATGTTTTTTTTCTTTTTCTTTCTCATTTTTCTTTTTTTCTAAATTACTATCAAGCTGCTACAAAATCAGTCGATATCTGAGGAGCCCTACAATTTACCTACATGTAACTTTTCATTAACCTATTGAACAGATCGTTACAAATGTCCTCATATTTCTGTTTCAACTGCCATTTTTGCTAAACTAAGGATTGGAAACTATGAAGTGATCAAATGTTAACAGGTGTTCTCAATTTTATATACATGTATGTATAGTTGAAAAGAACGCAGAATTATCAATTAATTCTTCTTCATAAATGAAATACAAACGTATATACAACTTTAAATTTTTAACTAAGTACCAATTCATTTCAGAAACTAAAATTATTATACCAGCTCATCAAAAAAACAACATAAAATGTTTTTTCACCTAGTTTCAAGCAACTTAAATACTAATAAATGACTTAAATTTTCCACTTGTGGTCGAAATCTTCAAACTTTTATTTAGGAGTGTCAGTAAATTCACATCGTTTTTACAACTTATGAGTTATTAAAAAAAATTTATTGCATTTCATAACCACATGAAAACTTTTTAACAAACAATGCGAAACTGAACCAAAATTCAAATTAGATATAGAGCCATATCTTAAATGCTCTTCAAATCTATCTTACTTTATCTTATCAGTTGATTTTGTATTGAGTAAAGTTTGAGTCAAGCCCACAATTAACCTTTGACACTATTACAAACAAGTGCCCTCCTTTTTTGTCAAGTATGGTCACAATGTCACGACTGTCTTATGCATTGACAGGTGACGTTGTCCCACGACATTATAAGATAGTGTAACAGATAATAATTCTTCCTATTGTATCATACTTAAATACTACTCCTTTGTTTTCATTGCTTTCCGAACGCAATAATTATTAAGGCCAAAATATTCTTACTCCAAAAAAACAGAGATTGTTCAATACAAGAAAGATACTGGTTGAAATGTCCTCTGATCAAAATATTCATGAAACAGATCTAAAATGAGAATTTGTCTCTGATCTTCAGAAACCTGATTGGTCAAATCCATAGAATGAATGTGAAATACCGGTAGACAAATTTGCATCAGATCTTTGTCTTTAATTTCCAGAAACCTAATTGGTCGATTCCAGAGAAAGAATTCAAAATAGACTAATAGTATTAATACTGTTTGAGGTTGTCTTTTACTACTCATTTTAAGGCTTTTGAAGTCTCATGGAAATTCATTTTAAAACCAAAAAAAAAAAAAATCAAAGTGCCAGTCTGCAGAGTTTGTGAATCATTATTTATTGCTTCCAGACTTGTTCCCACAAAATATAAACAAATCTGCAGCAGTAATTATTTTAAAGTACTAGGTTCTGTGGATTTTGTTGGAAAGCAGACGGCAGTGCACTTGCATCATTCTAATAATTCATGACAAACACAAATTAGGACCATGTGTAAATAATAATTGTACTTGCTTGAAACCCCCACCCCCCTCCACTTTTTTAACCACATGCATAAAATATATATACATGTATATGAAATTTGTGAAGATTTTGTTAAACTTACAAACCAGTGTAAGGCAATGGTAACTAATTTTGAACCACTTGAAGTCAGCTTTTATTATATACCAGGCCTATACATACATGCAAAAACATATCAATTTCAACATTACATTACAATTAAACACCTGTTTATTTCCTTCATGTACATGTCCTGATATACATGTACACCATCTACAAGGCTGTACCAGGCTATATAGTTCACAATCATGCTTAATTAATAAAATTTTTTATATCTCACAAGTCTGAAGACTGCTTTTATTTACGATGTGCAGCATCACTATGACAAATAAAGGCTTTTTTTCACGTAAACATAACACAAGTCTTTGTAAATCGACTCGGCAAATGAAACATTTTTTTTAAAAGCAGCAATGCACGACAGAAAATTATTCGCCTCTTGGTCTTAAATCATCATCATTTGTCTCTAATTTCAAAAACGATACCACTCTCGTGTTTCATTAACTCCGTATTGTAAGTCGAGACATTCAAAGCTTCAAGGGTTTTATCCTGTGCAGGGTTATAAAAGTGACAAACTTATACACCCCAACAAGTTTCTTTACAACACTGTATTTATGATTATGTTAATTGCAAATTTATGTACTTGAAAGCATGCATTATGAATGTGTCTAACTTTTTAACCTTCAATGAAGAAGAGTGTGTGAATATTTCATGAGACAGTTTTCTAGAATTCATAATTGTATATAATTACTTTGCTCATGCTTTTGACCTTTTCTGGTTTCCATGCTTATAAACGTTTTCGTTCGTAGGATGATAAAAAAATTAACTTAAGGAAGCTGTGGCCTAGTGGCTAGTGTCTGCATCACAACCGAGTGATGGGTTCAAGACCTACTGAAACCACGGTTTCCTCTCATGAAATCAGTTTTTGTTTGTTCAAGGAAACAGACAAGGTTCAAATAACTTAAAGTGTCACAAACAAGATCAAATATATATGTATCAACTACTTAAGTGACTTTCTTTCTTTAATTATCAATACACAGAAAATAATGAATGAAATAGCCACTCCTAAATTCTAAGTTGTGATTTTTAAAGTAAAATGCTTTTTTATTTCATTAAGGTACAAATGTATATCAACCATAGGCTAACATTGACATTTAATTAAAACATTCCCCTCATGTTCATTAATAACAAATGTAGCAGTATTCATAGAACAGCTGTTGTAAAACTTTACAACAATGTAAATATAATATATATACATCTTCCTATAGTATACATGTTACTAAAGCAGTTATCTTTCTTGAAAAACATAAAATCCATGTTGTTTTTAATGCTTTGAGTCTTTCAATGACAGATTGTGTCATAAATTGTTACTTTTCCATTCAAATAAACATTATTGGGAAAAACATCTTTACAACAAAGATTGATTGTAATACAATGAATGCAAACTGAAATGTCATGAATTTAGCTTTTCCCTATGTTAATAAGCTTGAATTTGTCTCTAAATAAACATTGTCTTAAGTTTGAAAATATATATTGAACACCATGTTATTGAACCATCTCAAATTCAAATTCCGAACTACATGTATGCCTCAACCTTTACTGTAATGGAATTGCTTTGCTTTGAACATAGATATTTAATGAGACAACAGACAACAGTGCCAAGTTTTTACTGGTGAAATGAAAGTTTTATTAAACACACTAGCATACAGAAGAGTCGCTACGACTTGGGCTCAAACCTACCTTCAAGTCGGCTCATATCGCCAAGATCCTCGGAGCCGCTTAGGCTGTTCTCGTTCATAGTGGAATAGCTGTGTTCAGACTTGATGTGTGGGGGCTGGGCAGCATCTGTGATCATCTTGTCATTAAGGACAGGGTCGACAAAGAAACTGTTAAACCATTCTTCATCCATGTTGTAGTTGCTGGTATCCTGTACAAAATCAAACAACAGAAAATTGTTCAACATTGTTTAAAGGAATTGTGCCTCATGTTCCCTCAGTGTTAAACAAACTCAGTTGTTCTACTGAACTAGTTATTAAATATAGTAAACCAGTAAACTCAGTTGTTCTACTGAGCTAGTTGTTGAATCTAGTAAACCAGTAAACTCAGTTGTTATACTGAACTAGTTATTAAATATAGTAAACCAGTAAACTCAGTTGTTATACTGAACTAGTTATTAAATATAGTAAACCAGTAAACTCAGTTGTTATACTGAGCTAGTTTCTTGAATATAGTAAACCAGTAAACTCAGTTGTTATACTGAACTAGTTATTAAATATAGTAAACCAGTAAACTCAGTTGTTATACTGAACTAGTTATTAAATATAGTAAACCAGTAAACTCAGTTGTTATACTGAACTAGTTATTAAATATAGTAAACCAGTAAACTCAGTTGTTATACTGAACTAGTTATTAAATATAGTAAACCAGTAAACTCAGTTGTTATACTGAACTAGTTATTAAATATAGTAAACCAGTAAACTCAGTTGTTATACTGAACTAGTTATTAAATATAGTAAACCAGTAAACTCAGTTGTTATACTGAGCTAGTTTCTTGAATATTGTCAACCATTAAACTTTGAAGCCCTGAAGATCTGACTTAATTAAGGCCTACATTATGCAAAGGCCCAAGTGTTTCCATGAATGAGGACCTAAATCTTATAAAAAGTTTAATGCACTCTTTCATGAAAAGGAAGTCTTTGCTAAAAACATAGCTTGTATTTTGTCAGAGGTAGCCCTGTACCAGGGACTAAATATGTTTGTTTTACCTTTTTAATGGGTTGTAAAGCTCTTCAAAAAAAACTGACAAGCTAAAGCAACAAGTACATAAAAACTGCTTGTCATAAACCTTTTTTTAAAACCTTTTCATAACAGTAAATAAACCAGGATATGATTTTGTTTTTGTGTTCAGTGATACTAAATAAATGCCCTGGTAAACAAACAGGATGTGAGATGTGTATGTGTCTTCTAATCCAGGATATATCTACATTTCAATAAATGAGTTTTCAGGTAAACTTTGACCATGAACTTTATATTAAGATAAACTTGATCCATTTGGAGTTTACCATGATCAGCATCAAAAGTGTTATTTGTATATTACACAGTAGGCTGATAAGAATGAAATTGTACCCCATTGCCCTTAATAAGTGAAAAATTACTTTTGAGAAATGTCAAGTATACAAAATATTTCAGTGAATTCCTGTTGGACTTAAAGATGCTATGCTAAGTGGGTTTCACAATAAACAAAGTGCAAATCTTTGTTAATCTGTATTAAGTAATACATGTACTTATAGTACATCAGTATTAACACATCAGTACATCAGCAAATACATACATGATACTTGACAAGATTTATTTCCTGTTTAGACTCATCAGTGCACATTTCACACTGGGCGTTGGGGGTAACAAAGGGGATACACTTCAAGCACCCCTATTTAAACATTTCAATAACTGAAGCTGTATTGTGTACATAATTGTCAAGTTTCATGGACTTATGATCATAGATTAAACACTGTAAGAAGATTAGATTATTTAAATAAGTTATCAATGGCTTGTTTACAATTGTTGAGATACAGAGCACAAACTTTGTTTTGAACAATTTTGGACATTTTTCATGTGTGATAATTAATTTAGATAGCACAAATCAGTTATATCATCATTATTAAGGCATATCAAATTGATAAACATATAAGTCAGAAAAAAATTGTTTATATAAACACTTAAACTTTTGTTGTTGTTTTTATTATTTTTGTTGTTGTTGTTGCTGCTGGGTTTAATCGTTTTAAATTACACTGACACTGTAATGATTATATGGGGACTTTGGAGGGTTTTCAGGTGGAAGGAAATCTCAGGTGCCCCTCCTTGACGCATTTTTTTTTTGGCATGTGGTGGGCATCTGAGTAGAATCACAGGACAATCCAAGTAATAATTGTTCCCTCATATAACATATTTTAAGCCATTGATAAAATCTGTATGTCAGTAAATTAAAGTTTTCTAAAAAAACAAAAAAACTGCTCAATTAAATTTAATCTAAATTAGTAATTATGATAAAACACCAAGTAAATGCTTTGGGCCATTGTGTAAAACTACGACATGACTTGAATGCTTGATTTAAAGTTGTGAACGTTTTTATACATTTAATTCAAGTGAATTGCATGAATTTGAATTTTAATTTGCAAAGCTAAGCTTTATTGTTGTTTTATCCCCAAGAACGCAGTAATTTACAACTCTAAACTTGAGCGATTTTGTTCACCAAGTTGAAAGGTATCAGAGGTCCAAGAACACAGCAATTTATAACTCTAAACTTGTACGATTTTGTTAAACAGAGGCGCAGCATCTATTTAAACAATTGATTTGAGAAAGCTCTTTTTTTCTTTTAAATTCAGATAACACCATTAAACTAGTGCCCTATATAATATATAGAGCGGCTTCTGAAATATTGCATCAGGTTTTATAAAACTTGTATTGCATCAGCTCGGCCTATCATACAAGCAACAGCAGGTGCGTTCGTTCATTTCAGATAGATATTAAACTCGTTTTCAACATGACAATACATTCATTATCTTTATTTCCCTTCACTTATTATTGATCAAACTTCTAAAAACTATATCAAGCTTCATGGCAATAAACTGTTGTAACTCGGTATCTCATTTTAATTGAGTTATCTAGTTAACGAACACTTTGCGCCACTGAGTCAATTCCACTCTGCAGCCCCATTCGTCTCGAACCTTATGGGTATTTTTTTAAATTTTGTATTCTAAATTTTGAATTGTAATCTTTAATTATTTCAACATGTTAATTCTTCCCATTTTTTCCCTACAAATTCAAAATGTAAATATCTATCCATGGCGACAGCTTTTTTATTTCAATTCATCAACAATCCGCAGAGAAAAAATAAATGCTGACATCGGCATGTTTCCTAACAAGCTGTTCTACTCTTTAATGGCTTTTTAAGTGTGTTACAATAAAAGCCATTTCTTTCAAGACTTTTTTGTTTACCAGAAGTTGCTCATTATAACAAAACTTTACATGGTACCGCAACAGTTTAAAAGCTTTTTACTGCAAATTTTTTAATTTTGTGGGAAATAATAACCAACATTTCTGAATATCATGGCAATACGCTGTTGGTGCTGAAAATTTGCATCAATATTTACATTCCTATGTTGTACAACATTTACTCAAGTTTTGCAGTTTTGCAAAAAAACTTAAACCGGAAGCATCGAAATTTCTGTATTGTGCAGCTGTGAAAGATTTAAACTGCAAATCTGCACCGAATGTTAACATTTTACTATTGCGTAGTGATGGTCTTGAGACAAAGATATAAGTTTTCCAAAGGGCGAGGGCTGACTTATACAAACTGATAAAGCTACGACCTTATCTATAAAGAAGTGCAGACTTTAAGAGATATAAAATTCATTAAAGTCTATGAACTCAGGTGACATAGACATCAGTATAATACATCTTATAAAGGCTTCCTTGTCTTTTCAACACAATTTATGTTATCATCTTAAAATTGAACCACTTAAGAGTGTCTAGGGACACAGAAATGTTTCATTTGTCGGAGGATTAAACCTTCTCAAGCCGTCAATTCAAGTTTCAATATACAAGGCAGTTTTCAATATACGTATAGTAATTGTTTTGAAAATGTTTTTATATCCAAACATAGACGTCATATTGTAATGCAATTCTTTAATTTAACTTCTAAATATAGGAAAGCTTTTCACCACAAGATCATGTAAACTATTATAGAATTAAATGGTTCCACTTTTAAATTCGGCTTTATATTAAGATTAACCGATTAAATGTCCCAATAACTGTTACACTTGGTAAAAAAAATCTTCACAATTCAAGTTTATACATTAAATATGTACACAAGGTAGACCTTAGCAAGACAATTATATGTCACTGTCAGCAACTTTTTTAAAATTTAATTTTGATTTCTCTGAAAATATTAATGCACAGCAGCTGTGTACTATAATTTTAAGCTTCTATTTTTTTTTTACATAGACTTTTCTGCACAAAATGACAAAGCAATATTCTACAAATAGGTAACCATGGAAACCAGGACTTTAGAACTCATGTATATTCTTTACAAATCTAATGAAAATGAATATTCAACGAACATATTAGTAACAAAGAATTTCTCAATGAAAGCTGTACTTATGTAGGTTCTCTAGACATTCAAAATAGTGCAAAGATATCAGCATAGGCGTAATATAAATTCTTGCCAGCAGTCGGTGTGCATATTGTTATGGTTTTTTAATGAAGAAAAAAAGGGAATGACCCCAATGGTAAAGTGCAAAAATTTCAGCAAAATTTATAAATAATATCACCAAAAAAACCTGCATAGAAAATATGTATGCAGGAAACAACTGTACATATAATTAATCATTAGCCAACAGCCATTATAACTTTATTCTTCAATCATTAAACAAGTGGAAAATATTGCCTTTGTGTGTCTTTTTTCTAGTAAACATTTAATGTTCATTACTCTTTCAAGGCCAAACTCAAATTATAAAATAGGTCAACAACTTATTAAAAGGGATTCTTGAAACCAATGGTAACATTATCCCCTCCAGGGTTGAAGGAAAGCTCAGTTTTCAGCATGTCGAACATTGACCTAAATATCATTAAAACACTCACAGTTAAACAGTAGGGCACTGCCCTTTTAACTTTTGATTTATTTCCTAATTATCATTTTAACAACAAAAACAACAACAAATACAAATGGCAGACATGTTGATGGTGTTGTTCATTGAAGTTAAGTACCCAAAATTAACTAGTTTGTAATGTAATTTTTTTTTTCAAATGTTCTTTAAAATGTTTCTTTGTGGGAAATTTTTGGTAGAAAGTAGTCCGTCATTCTGTACAATGTAGGCCAAGCCAGATGCTTATCAGTTCATACACTCAGAGCTACATGTACAAAAAGGTATCAAATTTCAAAACAGACAACCTGTTGAGATGGGGGAACACGGATATATTCCAGAACTAGTGTAAATAAATGTATGATTCCAAGAATTACTTCAAAACGAGTTTGTTTAAAAAAAACTGTTAAAACAATATTATTGCGTCAAATGTTGCAAGAACGACAACTCCGCTTGATCAAAGGAATAAAATTAATGCAGTCTGGTGCATTCAAACAGCATGTGTCTCGAAAATTTTATTCGGGCCACCAAACATAGGGTCATAAATGTCAAAAACACATGTTTATCGTAACATTTTTGTCCACCATTTGTGCACGCGCACCAGCGTCCGTTCAGAACGTGAAAGTTCAAGAGCAATGTTTAGTTTTACACAATAATGATTTGTCTTCCACTTGTGACTAAAATTACCAACAAATAAACAAACAAGAAAAAAACATTACAATAAAAAGAATAACGTTAATAAAAAATTTCTAAAAAAAAACGTGCTTTTCTAAACGGTGTTACGGTAAAAGTGTGACGCTCATTAAAACTGTAGCAGTGAGTTAAGTTGACAGTAAAATAGAGTGATGTATTGTGCTTCCCTCGGGCATGCTTCAATCATTTGCCACTTAAATCGCATGTAGCCAAAGGGCTACTGTACGGTAATAATGCAATGATACGTTACGTCCCAGCTAGCCTCACAACGTAAATAACGTACGTTAGATGGACCGACGCTGTGCTTTTATAATGTATTGCTATATTTTACATAGGTTCAAAAACACTCATTTCGAAATGTCTGCTGTTTGCTAGTCAAATAATTAAAAAGACACATAACCCTTAAACACGAACCTGTTTTAAATAGAACAATCTTACCAACGCACGGTAATTTGATGTTAGCTAACCTGTAACTAAATAGGGCCTGAAGTTCAGAAATTATATCGAAACGGGATCGTTATAGAATTAATAACTATAAAATCGTACTGGCAGCAAAAATAAAGATCTGCCGATTCATCGTTTCCAAAATAAATGTAAACATTGGCTGCTAAACGGGTACAGGCCAAAACACGCCACCAACATATCCCAAGACTCCATTTTTAACTAATACCCAATTACTCGTCACTGTCGAATATTCTATAGTTTCGGAAAGCGTTATGACGCATTTTTGAAACAAGTTTTCCTTTTTATTTATATAACAGATTATTTACCCTTCGTCTGCTTTTATAATGGTATGCCCTCGATCACGGACCGGTAAGTTGGGTTTAAATTGTAGGAGATTTTTCCATTTTCAAATACTACCATATACTATAAAGACTACCTAGTGTGGGAGAAAAGTATGAATGGGTACCGAACCGTTTCGTCATGATCGAGTACAGAAATAGATTTTAAATACGTCAAGGCGTGATCTTTTAAGACTATTTTTGTGGATAGTTGTAAAATAATACTCTTTATTCATGACCTGATATACCCAAGTTTAATTTTTCAAACGATGGCCAAGACGATCTTTACTATCACCAGCTAAAATCCTCACCAGCTAAAATCCAAAGGTAATCTAATGGTCATGTTTTAAAGGCCTAAACACGCATAAACCTGGAAGAAATATCATTTTTGTAACTGATTGATCGTAATGCCTGATTTGTAGATATATACATTTGTATTATTTAAGTTCCGTAATGCAACACCATTATTCCCGTTCGAACATTCAATTATCGACCAATAAATTCCAGTAACGCAAGTTTCTACTTCCAGTATTAATATGACCAGGGTTTTTTGTTATATTTTCGAATAATGTAATCAATTATTAAAACTTTGGCCAGTTTTACCTGTAATATATATATGAACATATAATGGTTTGGTACAATTTTCATGAAATTCATATACACATACAAAACCTTTTTTTGTTAATCAGACACGTTTTGATAAAAAGAGTGCTGAGTAAGGTGGAATTTCAAACCCCTAAAACAAGTGACTCCCTTAATTTATCACTCAAATTCATCTGCAACTTTATCCAGGGTATCTATGGTTTCCTGCCAGACATCAAGCAGATCTTTGTTGAATGGATCTGTCATAACAAACTGAAATTTCTTAGATCGGGCCTTGAGCTATTTCTGGCGATAACAAATTTTAATTGAGGACAATATTTTGACGTTATCTGAAAAGATGATCTGAAACTTTGAATATAATTAAAGGAAATTCTCCTGAAACTGTTTCCGTTGCGTTTTCTTTTTTTTTCTTTACTTTTGAAACTGCAAGTATTGTAATTCATAACTTATACACTGTACAGGCTATATCAACATATTAAGTTATGAAACCATGTAAATAAAACATTATGATTATATCTCCAAATAATTACATGATTAACATGAAAACGCCCATCTCAATGGACGACATAAAAAGTTTTTATGGCCCTTTACTTTTTCAGGCTCTCTTAGTTTCATTTCTTTTAAATAATTATAATGAATTGAAAAGTAAATAGATCTAGTTTCATAAAAGAATCTACTTAATATCTTGGACCCACCCTTTACGCATCGCAACACTTTTACAATAATGAACTTTTAAGTTATGTTCATGCACCCGTGAAATGTGTAAGCGATGGGTTTTTAAAATCTGGGTCATGAGAATTTGAAAACTGGGCGTAACTGTCAAACATGTGAGCGGCCATATGTCAAACAACTTTCATCAATTCTAACAATTAAAAAAATTCCTGACAACGGGTATATAGCATATTAAACAACCCTAACAAACAAAATGCATGTTTAATATGAACTGCAAGCAGCATTATATGTAGAAAGGTGAGATAACAAAACCATATGTTAGATTCGCAAGTCATGTGGTTTACAAGTGTATTCAGCAGTTCAGTACATACCGCTGTCGGTGAAGGAAATACGTCGTTATCCAAAAAATCACTCATATCTTCATCCATTCCGCCAAATTTCTGGTCACTTCCATAAAGGAGATCCATATTCGTTAAGTCCCGGGGTTAGTTACCCCTGGGATAGTCGAAACCGTAAGAGAATTAAGGAGACGGGAAAACACCCAACTTGTATCAGCTCTGTTTAGCTTTGAAAAGAAATTCCCAACCTAATAGCACGCTCAAGTTAATATTCATACACACCACAAAGTAAATCCCAATAATTCACTGTAACATATGTTTTTGAATAATCACCACAATTGAAATATATTCATTATGTTTTTAAGTTGTCATTGCAACTTTAATATATATGTTGCAGGGTATAATTTATCATGACACTAATTCTTTCAATCTAGGTCCGTTTAGTAAGCGCACGAATATGATAATGTCTATCCAGCTGATTTTCAGACACGTTAAATTGGTCCAATCACGCACCAATGAAACTGGCTGATAAAAATAAATTATGCAAATTAAGACATACGTCATGTGACGTAGTGTTTACAATCGGAAAAACCCACGTGCTTATCACTTTTGACAGCTTTCGCCACCGGCAAGGGGTTTGCAATTATAGCATCAAAGTGTTTTATTTATCTCGATTTTATTTATTAAATCACAATATTTGTAGTGAAAAGAATAATTTAATTGATTCCGATTGTTTTAGATATTCAGATGTTTTTAGCTATATATATTATTTATGTACGGTGTACTGTACCCATATAGAATCTAATCGTTCAGTATTTTTTTATTAATTTTTCTGAATAGAATTCTGTTTGAAAGACCAGGTAAAAATAAGATAACAATTTCACATCATTCAGTAAATCACATATGTATCTGAAGACTCTTCTAAATGAAGTAAGGCTGGGTAGTTTTTTTTAAACATGAGAGATGCTAACTTGAATGACAGGATTCAAGCGGCGAGGGACAACTTCTAGGAAGTGATCGAGACGCCCGATACATTTAATTTTAACAAATGGGACCGGAAGATTCCTTCTATTTGCGTTATGCAGTTAATTTATATTAATTATAGAGTAAATTAAGATATTTTTGTTTGTTATTTCAATAATTCTGTCTCAACGAACATATCAGCTAAATGTCACTGGAAAGATTTATTATCAAGGGAAGGATAACAGACCGTAAGCCCAATCCTTCATAATGAAAGAGCGGTCATTACATTGGGAACAGAACACATGTTACCCTCTTGTCTAACAAGGATTTCTGCACACTATTAAATATCATTTATTATCAAATACAAGAGCGTATTTCTACGGTAGTCATTATAAACGCCGCAACATGTGCCGCCACACGAGAATGCTTAAGTCAACTGTAAAAGCCAAAAATCAACATGTTTTTAGAGACTCGGTTATTTCTGATCGGAAAAAATATCCAATGAAGAATAAAACATGCATAAATGGTAAAGAGAAAATAGCGGTTTTTTTTATTTGCTATTATAAACCAACTTTTATTTAATGTAGATCTACCACAATTTAATAATTAAAACGTTTAGACTCTGGGCCATATAGATGTGACCTTTTGACCCTAAGTGTGCCTCCCAAATGTCACGGCTCTCATTAAATGCATTTATCGATTCTAATCATAGAAACAATTATTTTCATTTCGCTTCAATTATTATTCGAGCGAAAACAGACGTCAATAATTATTTTAGAATGAAATTTGAGCGACCGGGCAATATCAACCCGTATACTATTTTCTATGATATTATTTTATACTGTACAATGTATATCAATATTGAAGATTAATGATATTCTGTCATAATTTTGAGCGTCGTTTAGCGGACAAGAACAACCCCAAATTATACATCATTGGTTGGTTGAAAAAAAAATGCGCATTAAAATAAGGCAATCAAACGCTACTGATCAAATTACATCTAAAATGTTTGTTGTAACGTACACTACATGTACAATTTTGAGAGTAAAGTTGAAAGCAGCTTCTAACTGTTCTAATACAACTGGATGTACAGTTCAGTAATAATAAAGGGGTACATTTGACATTGTGCTTGATAACATTACACGTTTCCCGATAACATAATAGTTAACTTCCATATTTGGTATAGTTAACCGTTCGTAGCGTTTTTATGACTATATTACTGATATTATAATAATATTCAAATTATATAGGTATACGCGGTTTCGGTGCTATCAGAGTATGTCCTATCTACGAGTTCTGATTTTTGCAAACTATAATTCAAGATTTTTAAAATGGCGTTTGACGAGTTTGATTTTCGTCGTTGAGTTGTCTAGTATTTTAATTAGCTCTAATCACTCAAGTAACACTGATAGTAGCCATGGGTCAGGATAAGACACAACGGTATAGTGATCAATGAGATTTGTCAGAATATTTAGGGGTTGAGGCGGGTTTGGTAAGGTCGTACAATACATATGGGGACTTGCTATCACTTCAGGTGGAGGAATATCTAAAAATCTGGAAACAAAGTGATCCCTCGGAAGCATTAATCACAACAAAATTACAAGAGAATTGCAGACTCGGTTTGATTGAGTCTGTACATGAGGGATAATGAAAATGTGCAACATCCCTCACGCTCCCCTAGTACCGGCTTGAGCGGTACTCAATTCTCAACACTTAATAGACCTGGCATCAATGATCCCGAAGGACCAGAAAAATATAACTCTGTGTTCACCATTTGATAAAATTTCACATGTGAGCATAGGGTAGAACCACAGACCTGTAAGCTATTACCGGATAGCTTCTTCATACGAAATAATTAATTCAAATCACTTGCAGCATTCGAACCCACAGCGACGATGGCAAGGTGATTTCGAAGTATGCCATCTTAATCACTCGGCATTGGGGACTGGAGTAAGATTGTTCCCTGCGATCCAGTCCTTACAAACTTTGGCTTCAAAATCAAAGAACATAATACAGCATGACGATATACAAACAGTAACAAATTATAATTATGAACTTGTAACATCTTTGATTTTGTTTGCTTGTTGGGTTTTACGTTGCACCAACACACACAGTCATATGGTGACTTTCCAGCTTTACTGGTGGAGGAAGACCTCAGGCGCCCTTCTGTGTATTATTTCAGGCACGAACGGACACCTGTGTAGTATACACCAACGTTACGTAAGCCAGCTGGATAGCTTCCTCACATGAAAGAATCCAAAGTCCCTGTCGGAATTTTAACCCACAGCGGTGAGGGCCAAATGGTTTGAACTCAACGACCTTTACCATCCGGACACGGACAAATATTTGGAGTTTTGCATTTCAACATCAAAACCCAATGAAACAAATCCATTCACAATATTTAACCTAGTTTTTGTCAAACTATATCGATATACATGTATATTATAGTTACAAAATACGTGTGCCGTTTTAAAAGGGGATTTCGACTATTAAAAATTCAATGAATGGACAAACAAGGAAGTTTACTCCTTTCAAATTACTGTATTGATTCGGGGATTCATTATTTTCAATATTTTGGCAGGCCTTTGCGTTGTTCTGCACGGTGTTTTAACTACTAAATATTAACGTATTTGAGTTTAGACGTACATGTCGACTATTAAAACAAATTAAGAATTACGAACACTGATTTTTAAAGTCAAACATCATGTATTTAATGGGTATGTGGCGACTTTCAAGCTTTCTGCTGGTCGGAAACTTTTATTCTTTGTACATACCTCATGCACAAACAGGAGGAGTAGAATAACAAGTTTTCGGCACAAAACAGCGAGTCCCTTGTAGAATTCGGATGTACAACAACTGTGGGGATGTTAAGCGGTAGGAAGTTGATCACAATAATCACAATAACCAAACTGCCAAATATTAAAAATAATATTTAGTTTCAACAAATAGAAAGTGGCGACGTGGTCCAGCGGTTTACCTGTCGGACTATTGATTTGAGGGGTTGAGGTTCAAACACAGTCTGGGTCACATTGCTTATTACTGATTAGTTCCAGGAACGGATTCGAGAGTGTTTCAATTAAATTCGTATAAACTAACAAATAGTAGAATTAATAAATGTATATACTGTATAGAAAAAAACTGGCAAAAGATTGCTAAACTATTTGTTTAAATTATTTTGAAAGAGTTGGTGTCTTATCAAGTTTAAATCCAATTTTCGTAACGAGAATAATTGCAATATGATTAAAAGGGACATAACACATAAAACTAATGTTTACATTAAACCAAATCAAATCCGATTTTAGACTTTATCGCATTATTTTCAACTCACATTAAGGAGTTATAAAACAAGTTTTTTTCCAATAAAAGGAGCATACATAATAAAGTATATACCCGGTAATAAACATTGTATATTAAATAATACATAATCAGTTTCATGTCACATCTTACAGTATTATAATTGCAGGGCTGGTAACATCTGATTCTGACTTACTTGTCCATTTTTATTTGAAGCATTCCTTAACTTGTTTGTATAATAGTTATATAGTAAATTTTCGAAAATGTCCACTTGTCCGTACAGGGCGTGGACCTGGGTGATACTGGAAATTGTTTTTGCCACACCTACAGTATTAATTTATTACGTTACAATCCAAAAAGGTCCTATTGTTTATTTGTAGGGTTTCAGGACAAAACTTAAAATTTCTCTCTTTTTTTCACATATTTTCTTTTCAGATCACAATATGCCATTTCCTGCTAAATTTATATAATTGTCGTGTTTTTTTTAATTCAAAGCTGTCAATGTTATTTTGATCGACTTCATATGTCAGTACATTTGTATATGAATTAAGCTGCCAACAGCAAAGAGTCTAGGGATACTTCACAGACATACAGGCTCTTTAATAAGTTGCAGTTGCAAGCCATTGTCTCTGCCTGCAATCTAGTAGTGACAAACTTATTAACCCTTAACCTGATGGAACCGGAAGTGATTTAAGTCTTTGACACCAGTCTAGAACCAGGCTAGTCTGTACCATATGTACTGTCTGACCTCTGACCAGGCTTCCATCCCTTCCAATTTCGAATGGACTGTTCAACATTCAAAAGCAGGAAAAAGTGAGTTAAGCGTATCCACCATGTATACATGTGAAACATATGTATCATTTGATTTTCTCATATTCTCATGAAATACTGCTTGGTAAAATTCTACGTGATTTAGAATGACAATTTATCTGATGAACATTGCATAATGATATTTTGTTCTAAACAAACTGCTACTGGTATGAATTTAATATCAGATTATCTATCTCGCACTTGCCACCAACTTTCATGTATATTTGTACACTGTGTATAATTCTTTCATGGTTTATTGTTGTCTTATACTAAATACTATCAACGTAATTATACATTGTACTACAGACCTTCAATTCCAGACCAATTCACTTTTAAACTACTACTGCTTAATATGATGTTGAAGATTTTGGAGAATTCTTCGGCCAGCTTGAGGAGCATGACGAGCCTTCCTTTATGTCCAGCTCAAACAAGATTGCAACAACTTTCATCTCTTGCTCCGCCAAATATCAAGATTTTTATTTAAGGCCAAGTTACACATCATATCTCAATCCAAAGCTTTCAGGTTTGCGAAATATGGATGTTTCTAAAAGTGTCCAACACGATTCCAGCGGTTAGGCTAACTTTTATCTAATGGACATGATTCACCGTTGTACATGCAAAATAACTCAACTATAGGCCTTGAAATTTCAGAGTAGTAATTTTTATTAAAGGTCTTACCAAATGTTAAAACATGCCATATCATTATGACCCTTTACAAAGCCCATGGATAAAACTGACCGGTTAAAATGTGCTCTGAAGCAAAATAAGTCTATTTCCCCTCTTTCAGAGAACATAACTCAATACATAATGGTAGCAGATTGTTTTAAAGGAACAAACACTGCAATTACTAAAGATCTACTAATGATACAAGTTCTCGGCAACTTTGTATAGTTGGAAATACGCTATCTGATATAGAAATAATAGAAAGAAAAATATGCTCATTTTGGTCATATAAGGGGCTGTAACTCTTTAATGCAGATTCGGGTCTGGTTACTTCAAAAAATGAACCACGATCTACTTATGATATACAAGCTTAGTTAAAATCAAACAAAAACTAAAGAGAAAGGCAAGAAATTGTGGACAATGGATAGTCCTCAGTCAGCCATGGATCCTAAAATGTGGACAATGGATAGACCTCCGTCATGGATCCTAAAACGGGGACAATGGACAGACTTCAGTAAGTCATGGATCCTAAAATGGGGACAATAGATAGACCTCAGTAAGTCATGGAACCTAAAATGTGGACTATGCACTTACTTCAGTCAGCCATGAATCCTAAAATGTTGACAATTGATACCCCTCTGTCAGCCATGGATCCTAAAATATGAACAATGGCTGGACGTCAGACCTCGGTCATGGATCCCAAAATGTGGACAATACACTTACTTCAGTCAGCCATGAATCCTAAAATGTTGACAATGGATACCACTCTGTCAGCCATGGATCCTAAAATATGAACAATGGCTGGACGCCAGACCTCAGTCATGGAACCTAAAATGTGGACAATGCACTTACTTCAGTCAGCCATGAATCCTAAAATGTTGACAATGGATACCCCTCTGTCAGCCATGGATCCTAAAATATGAACAATCGCTGGACGCCAGACCTCAGTCATGGATCCTAAAATGTGGACAATGCACTTACTTCAGTCAGCCATGAATCCTAAAATTTTGACAATGGATAGAACTCTGTCAGCCATAGATCCTAAAATATGAACAACGGCCAGACGTCAGTCAGTCATGGATCCTAAAAAGTGGATGATTGACAGAACTCTGTCAGCCATGGATCTTAAAATGTGGACGATGGACAGAACTCTGTCAGTCATGGATCCAAAAATCACACATGAGAACTACATGTTCATGAAAGCTAAAAGCAGCTCCAAATACTGATTCCTGAAAGGCAACTTAATATCTTACTACTCCTAATTTTTCTTAACAAAAGTAAATGAACTACATGTATTAAATTCTCAATAAAATTACATAAAACCCGTATTTGATCTTTCATTTTTATTTTTTCTCTTGCTTCAAATAATTTAAACATATCTATATCGCAGTTTTAACAATTTTATATCTTTTTGAAAAAATTATGTATATAACCAGCAGCTTTCAAAAAATATTAAGCAGTGTTTAATAAATATATCAACATAATGTACATGTTGTATGGAAATGAATGTAAAATTAATATGTTTTGCTATAAGTATTTAAACTATATCACAGTCTTATTTTTCAATGGATGGAATTCTTAAATCTTGTTAAACAAAATCTAAATATTTTGTATAAATTCAGTTAAAATAACAAATATATCATCATTGATGATTATGGTTTTAATTCTATGTATCTAGTTAAAATTACAAATATATCTCACTGATGATCAAGGTATTAATTTTATTTCCCGAGCTCCCATGCAACTTCGCTTTAAAGTTGTTAAAATCATAATATTCATGTTACAAATACGGGGTATTCTCTTTAAATCAAGGAAATTTCATGCATAAATGGTTTTAACTTCTCAACTAATATTCTATTCAATTTAATTTATAATTTCATTGATCAAGCTTCATCCTCCCAAATATTTTTCCTTACTCAATTTATAGTTAATATTTGGTAACTTGTTGTTCATCAAAACATAATAACAAGGCAAAATACATATCATAGAATGTAAAATTTCAGCAGTTTTGTACCATTAAAAAGAAATCATGCACTATTCACATGTGTTTACATGTTACTTCAACAATAAAACAAAAAACATCAGGAAAACAACAACGTCAATGCAATATGTTACCATACAATATGTATGTGTTTGGACAGATTTTTTAAGTCAGTGTATACATATACATGTACATATATATCACAACAAAATAATAAGCTTCCTTTCTTGGCTGTTTAGACATAACACTAAAATGTTCAGAGCTCATTCACTGCTTCAGAAGCTCATTTTATAAAATTTAAATAATTTGTTTTTTATTTAAATATATAGTAATAAAGCTTATATAAGTATTCTTCTTCTGACCCAGAAAAAAACTTCTTATGAGTTTATACCTTTTATGGAATTTTAGAACAAATTTTCAATTAACAAAAGAACCAACTATTTACAGGAATAATGGACAGAAACTTTACATGAAAAAAAGAACAATAAAATTGACATGCAAAATATAATAATGTAAATACCAGACTTCTATAATCCATATTCATCAAAGCTATGTCCATTTTCTTAATATATATACTATAACATTCAATTTAAACAACAAATAAACTCCAATAATACATCAGATAAACAATAAGATAATTTAAAAAAAAATCAAAACCTGTTGTCTTCATTCGATCAATACTCTATTAAACTATTGAATTAATTGAAGGTAAACAAATTTGCATGGAGTACATATGGTAAAAAATTCACCTGACTGTCCTTACTGAATGAATCACGGAACTATACAATATTTAGATATACGTAAAAACGTACATATAAATTATGCCATTTTTTCAATTTCAAAAGTAACAAATCCTGTGGATGATGTCCATGGTTAATTCCGTCACATATTGTTCTTTTTTATTTCACAAAGTCACATGGTTCTATGGGGGAAAAAAATTCACATGGTTTCAAGAAAAAGACCCAATACATTTCTGTTCTTGGAAATGGCCGCAATAAATATTTCTGGTTAAAGGTGGACTAAGGCACGGATGTGTTATTCACTTGTAGTTCACATATATAGAAATGTCACAAAAATATATGTATCACTTTGAAAATTGAAAAGCCGGGGACCAAATGTATAATGTTCTAATAGTTGAGAGCAGTAAGCAGGGCAACAGCTCTCTTGATCCAATGCTTCTGAAGCTTGTCTGTTGGTAATTCCACGGAGAAGACGAAGTTGGTAGAATGTCCAGTTGTTGATAAAGTACCTTAAATTTAAGATGAAATGAAAATTCAGTTAAAAAATGGCATTTCTACACCTGTGTATAAGGTTTCAAAATTTCAAGTTAACTCTCAGACTCCATGCTGCAAAGGATTCTACCAATGCATCCGGTGCAGACCAAAATCAGCCAGTACATCAATGTTGTCTGCACTGTTTACTAATGAGCCAGTATCATTATACTGTACATGTATTTTGAAATTTTCCCTTAAAAAAGATGAATTTTTTATGTTTTTTTCCTGATTGAAAGATGACACTTTGTCTAATTAAGATATTTAGGGGAATAAGGATTAATAAGCAAAATTACCATGAACAAGGCTTATGGCCATTTAAACACATTTACTATTATAGCAATGTTAATTAAGTTGATATAACATCAATATGTAAGAAATCAATACAAAAGTTCTTGGCCTGTATCATATTTCAACAAAACAAAATGTACTTTGTCTCCATAAATTTGCTTTTAACTTAAGTCAAGGGTGTGCTGTGCCAAAAAATCTTAATAAAAATTTAACATATATTAAATCTTTATTTATACATTATAAAATCAATGTTTCCATGTTTACACTTTCTATGAAGGAAAGATTTATTAGTTTCTGAGGCATGATGTGTCTTTAAATATTTGGTAAAAATGATCTATGACTGAAATAAAATGGCATGTGTCTTTAAGTACCGTATTCGGTATAAATTTTCTATAACTGAAATTAAATCACCCCCTACACTTTTCTTAATGGCAATGTATTATGTTTGTATTCTTTTAATATAAAAGAAATTTGGTGAAAAATAAAGAGTTGACAGTAGGGCCAGTTCATCCCGACCTTAAACTGACAAATTTTCTGCTAAAAATATGCCATTTTACGACCAGTTTCGTACTTATTGATGGAGGCTATTTATAATTTATATATATAAACCACTATCTGACCTATTGTTTTGCTAAAGGAATGTTGACAGTACTACGACAATATAGTTTAATGATCGTAAACAAAAGATTGTATCATTATTTTGACATGCACATTCCTTCGGGCAACTTGTTCCGATGTACATAATTGAAATACAATAGACAATGGTAGAAAAATAAAACATTATGCAATATTGATAATAAATCATATATATCTTTTTTAGATTTTACAAAATACTTATACTTTTATTACAGCAAAATATTTTATATACCTTATCATAATAATTATTTTATGGTCTTGAAATAATCTAAATTGCATTATTATGTAAATATTTGATATAAAAATTTGTCAATAACTTTAAGTATTTTGTAAGATTTTGCTTTTGATATTACAAAATGTTTCGTTTTTATCTTAACTTTTTTGTATGATCCCTTCACAAGGTTTCTAGTTTTTAACATTGAAATTTACTTTGGTTGCAAACTTGAAAATATATTCAGTATTTTTGTTTTTACTTATCCTGTCGTAATTAAAAAAAAAATACATGGAATCATATTGAGAATGCAAAAAAGTTGATCTTAGGGATTTGGAATATAAATTGATCATGAAAATTGGTATTGGTATTGAAAAGGATCATAAGAATTGGTATATTATAAAGTTGATCAAAAGGATTGGAATATAAGATGATCATAAAGATTTGGTTTATAAGTTGGTCATAAGGATAAGTAAATAAGTTATTTGTGAGGATTTTGTAAAGAAGTTTCTAAAAAAGAATGGTCTATAGGTTGATCACAAGGATAAGTATACAAATTGATCAAAAGGATTGGTATATAAGTTGTTTATAAGGATTGGTACATAAATTGTTCAAAAGGATTGGTATATAAGTTGAACATAATGGCCGCCATTTTAATTGATCATAAGGATTGGTACACAAGTTGTTCATAAAGATAGGTATATGTGTTGATCATAAGGATTTCCAGAGAAGTAAATCATCTATTCATGGGCATTGAATTTAGCTGGCAATCCTTCTTAAAGCATTGTACAAATTGATATCTTTATAACAAATGCTGTTGTTTTTTTATTTATAAATATCTTATTTATCTGATTTTTACTCAACTTTTATCCTTTAGATGAATTCATTTGTTGTCTATGCGAAATATAAAATGAGAAAGAGGAATATAAACAACAACCAACCAGCTCTAGTAAGAGTCTTGTAGCATGGGCAATCATAGATTCCAGATTCTGGTATTTTCCGGTTTGCCTCTGGTTTGAGCCAGAGTATAGGTAAGTCTGTGTACAGCTCCTTGGGTCTGGACTCAGTTAGTTGATGATGGATATAGTCCCAGCGTGCACCCTCTACAAATAGACCATTGATGTAACAGCCATCAGCTGGTGGTTCCTTAAGCTCTTCCACCTTTTCTCTCATCACCTGAAATAGTTAGAGATAAATCTTTGAAAGTGAATTGTGGGTTAGGAGGAAAGTGGACCATTCAATTTTATATCCATGACAATGGGCAAATTTTCAGTGCTGCTTTACTAAAATATATCACACAATAGACACCATTGACCTGCTGGAACTAAGTGATTACCATTCACCACCAGTATAGATGTTGGTCAGTCTGCATTTTTGACCAGGCTGTTGGCAGTTCTCAAAAGGAATAAAATCTGACAATGAATCTAAGCTTTAATCACCCAAGCATGAATTGCACACTTTAATAACCTCTTAATTACTGCTGCAGCATTGTAGTAACCCTTCATTTGCTAAATTTCTCTTCAGAAATTGCTCAATTTTGAATTGGAAACAGTTCATTCAAAGTTTGAAGGGATTTGAATACCAAAGTTCAAAAATTAATCTGCAGAAAGGACAGAGCCTGATCAGACTGCATGGATGTGCAGGCTGATCTGGCTCTATACTGATGGCAAAGACTAATCACTATGGTTCAAGCAGTAAGATAAAAGTTAACGCCAAACAAAAACACCAATCTATCAACATCGGCATTTACTTTCTGTACTAAACTTTATCTGAAAAATGGATTTTACATGATACAAAGATCATCATTAATACTTGTAAAAAAAATTTTGTTTTGTTTCAGGGCCATAATTATTTTCAACTAAAACCAAAGTGCTACATAATTATATTCTCCTTTTTCTTAAAACATAATAATGACATGGATCATTATATGAAATCAGAAGAAATTATACCTTAAGACCATACACACAAAAAAGAAAACAACACCTTGAGGAAAAACTCCATTAATGTTATGAAATGTCTGTGAATAAATGAACAATTCAATCATTGAGAGATGTATAGGAGTGAGAGCATAAAACAAGTATACTGTTTATCTTAAAACTGGGGAAAACTTCAGATAATATCATTATATGGACTATATATTATTGTGACAGAATATATAATGAAGTTACAGGCTGTCACCATAGATTAAATATATACATGCTGAATCTATAATTTATAGCAATATATACAAACTGTATTGATTCAATACTTTATTCTGAGGTATTTTTTTCTTCTGCTCATTTGAATCATTTATGAGTTTTGATCAATTTTAACATTACTTGATCAATTAACCTGCTAAATTTACATAATGGATATTTTTCCAATTTTGAATCTGGAATAGTCTATTTGAAGTTGAAGAAATTTCAATACCAACATATATACAGTGCTTGCATCGAAGTGCAGGTATGCCTTGCTCTATACTGGTGGCAAAGGCGTAACTTTCGGTTCTAGAAGGTTGAACGTTAATATTTCACTAGCTCAGACCAGTTCCCTTTAACTTAGTTTAAGATAACCTTTTTTTACCTGTTCCCTGCTAAAATGGTTGTACTGAAATTTCAATGCTTTCAGTCTGACATTTTAAGTTTTCATTATCTTATAACATGTATAACAAGATCTTTAAGGCATTAGCGGAAATGTTAACTGGGATCCCTCTCAATATCTGGACATTATTTTGTCACTAACATTTTAATACTTACTAGTATTTTGGCAGCATATTTAAGTATAATAGCAAATAAATTCCGTCGCTTTACTTTTTTCCAATTTTCAGGTCATTACTTTCATGGTTTACATTATAGCATTTACATTTGTTTAAAATTCTGTATATTTATACATTTATCGAATCATTTCCATCTGGACAAAGCCTACGCAAAAATCTTTAAAAGGATATCAAATGATATCAAACATTTTTATAGATGAACCGTCATTCTGCCATTTCATCAGAAAAGCTATAAAAAAAAAGACCGCAAATATCTAATGAACGTTTTATTTTCCGACGTATAAAAGGAAAAGGCTCCCATTTTTTATATCTGTATATTGGAACTTATATAGTGTATTGAATTTTTCCCCCCACATGTCACCTAAATGTCGATACACCTTCGGAATTAATATTTATAATCTTATGGTGACATCTGCCACTAATACGAAGTTTTCCGAAAAAAAAAAGTCCCGGAAAAAAGCAAATAAAGCATCTCTTTTCCTATGAATCTCATTATTTGATTTAATGCCGTACATTATTATATATAGTTTGCTGTATTGACATGTAATCAAGCCCTTTGAGTAATAAAGGTACAACAGCTGTTATTATATATACTGGTAATTATATGATAATAATTAGATAAAAGAATTATACAATTCACGAAATGATTTTGATAATTAATTACTATTTGATTATCATGATAAAAAAAGCCTTTTAGTTAAATGTCTTTCTTTCTTAACATCATCAGGGTCTGGTAAATAAACCCAACTCTTATCATATCCCAAAATTTTTTTTAAAATTTTTCCTCATTTCAATTATAAAAATTTCTAAAAGAGTGAGAAAAGCTAAACTGTTAACAATTTAATATCTATTCATGAAAAAAGATATGAGCCGCGTCATGACAAAACCAACATAATGGGTTTCCGACCAGCATGGATCCAGACCAGCCTGCCCATCTGTGCAGTCTGATCAGGATCCATGCTGTTCCCTTACAAACCCTATTACAAGTAGAGAAACTGATAGCAAACAGCATGGATCCTGATAAGACTACGCAGATGTGCAGGCTGGTCTGGATCCATGCTGGTCGCAACCCATTATGTTGGTTTTGTCATGACGCGGCTCATATATAAAATTGTTTTTATCATTCTAAAATCAGCTTCCAGTGCTGTTACCAGTCTTGGTGCCTCAAGTTATGGCTAAATTTTAAATAGGGCTACATATATTCAGTTTATATCTTTTAGGTGAATTTAAGTCTTTGAACATTGATGTAATATTTACTACAGAAATTTTAACTTTTCATTTTTTATTCCAAGCTTATATTTCTATAATAATTGAAAATCTGTAATACAAAATGTCAATTCATTTATGTCTTAATTTTCAAGACCCTATGGCCAACCTTAAATATGCATTTAATGATAAACAAGCTACATGCACCTATCAGCCGAGAGCCATTACATACAATATGTACACATGTTACTAAAGGTAAACATTACCTGTATAAATGGACGTAATACCATCTGTGACGAGTAATCTCTTCATATAAAAAAGGTCTTACATGACAGATTATTCAGATGATTAAAAAACATCAATAAATCTGAGCCCAGTTTCTTATCAGTTATACATTAACATTGATTGTACTCAACACCATATTTTGATCTTTATAAAATGCAAAACAAAACATGTCTAACTTTGGTTATAAAAACAAAACAGACCTTGTCTGGAATGTTTTTGACCATGGCTGTATAAAAAAAAACAACAGACCAATGATTGTTTTGAATTTTCTTAACCTTGGCTCTAAAAATAAAACAGACCTTGTCTAGAATGTTTTTTACCTTGGCTATAAAACACAAAACAGACTTTGTCCAGAATTTCTTTGACCTTGGCTATAAATACAATACCTTTTCTAGAATTTTGACCTTGGCTATAAATACAACCCAGACCTTATCTTGAATTTCTTCGACCTTGACTTTAAAAACAAAACAAACCATGTCAAGAATTTCTCTGATCTTTACTATGAAAACAAAACAAACCATGTCCAGAATTTCTTTGACCTTGGCTAAAACCATTACCCAATCTTGACAATAAATTTTAAATACAATCTCATTGATGGGTGGTTCCTTTTTTTTCATAATAATATTATAATTTCACTAACCTGGAAGCCAAATGTGATTGTATCAATAGAGATGACTTTTTGTCTGGCAAAGTTCTGCAGGGTACCAGTCAGGAAAGCTTGTGGGAAGAAGAATCCCGAGATCCAGTAAACCTGAAATATACACATGTCAGCCATCTTGTTATTTCTTCATTCTCTTCATTTAAATTAAAGAGTTCATCACTTCTGTATTTATTGCTCAACTTTAATTTGTATCTAAAAAACTCATTCCAAATAATAAATGTCAGTTGTTTTAAATGACTATAAAAGTTGAAAACATTTTTTTTCAGAAGATACTGCCACGCCTTAAAGGCACATTATGCCTTTGAAACAATGAACTATTTCCTATGTTTGAAACAATGAACTATTTCCTATGTAATGTTTAAATAATGGTTTTAGAGAATGTAAAATTCTTGTTACTGAAGAAAGAAGCAAACAAGATTGCATTTGAGAAAAATGCTATGCCACCGCATTAATACAACACTAAATAGTAGTGTAGGAACAGATTTTTTTTTGTTTATACAATTTTGAAGATTGTCATAATGCATAGATCCCTGACCTATCTTATTCTTATTATCAGATTATTGGTTAAATCTGTTGTTAACTCAATAAAAGATCAGAGTAGGAATATATCAATGCACTCGAGTCGAGTGAATTTGGTGGTGAAGGTCATATTTCACACAGCCTAAATTTCATGACTACATCAAAAGGACAACACAGTAAGACACTTTGTCAAAATCTAGGTCAGCTGAAATCAAAGTTCACTTTACATCTTAATCTGTGCACATGGTTCAAATTTCATAGCTGTACATCAAAGGACAAGAAAGTAGGTCACATCATCAAAATCTAGGTCACCTGATATCAAAGTTCAATTTTACAACTAAAACTGTGCACATGGTCAAAATTTCATTGCTGTACATCAAATGACAAGAAGGACCCAAGGGTTTAATTCAAAACAATCTTGATACAGGTCCACCAAACAACATTTCAAGTCAATTATCTAAGCTGTAGCTTTCTCCCATTCAGAAAACATTTGTTTTATTTTCTGTTTTTACTATGTGTACATAATGAGAATCACTGCCCCCCCCCCCCCCCCAGGGCCAATTTTGACACCAGGGGAAAAATTTGAACAACTTTGGTAGAGGGCCTATAGATGATATTATATAGCAAACATCAAAGCTCTATGCCATGTACCTTCAGACAAAAATATTTTTTATTTTTTTACTATATGTATCAATCAATGACCCCCTGGGCGGAACCAATTTTGACCCCAGGGCTATAATTTGAACAATCTTGGTAAAGGTTCACTTCGCAAAGTCTCATGCTATATATTTAACTTCTAGCCTTTGTCAATTCAGAGAAGAAGACTTTTCAATTCAGAGAAGAAGATTTTTCAAGTTTTTACTTTATACATATAAGGAAAAATATTGCCTCTGGGGCAGGGCAATTTTAACACTAGGGGCATAATTAAAACAACTTTAGTAGAGGACCCATAGATGATATTATATACCAAATATCAAAGCTCTAAGCCTTGTACCGTCAGAAAAGAGGATTTTTTATTTTTTTACTATATGTTCATAGTAACAATCAATGACCCCTGGGGTAGGGCCAATTTTAACCCCAGGGCTATAATTTGTACAATCTTGCTACATAATGTTTCATGCAAAATACATTTGTATCTTAACTCTAGTCTTTGTAAATTTAAAGAAGATGATTTTTTAAGTTTTTACTATATACATATAAGGAAAACCTATGACCCTGGGGCCAGACCAATTCTGAAATTATGGGCAAAATTTGAAAAACTTTGGTAGAGTTTTTATAGATGATATTATATACCAAATATTAAAGCTCTAAGCCTTGTACCTTCAGACAAGATTTTTTACTATATATATATATATATATATATATATATATTAAAACGTGATGAATGTTCCTTGTGCAGTGTTGAAATATATAAAAATATATAATGTTTAAGAAATAACAAACTCTATATGTACATATAGAGTTTGTTATTTCTTAAACATTATAATTTTATATATATATATATATATATATATATATATATATATATATATATATATATATATATATGTTGAAAATCAATGACCCCCGGGGCGGGGGCAATTTTGACCCCAGGGCTATAATTTGAACAATCTTGCTAGAAGATCACTTCACAATGTTTCATGAAAAATATCTAACCTCTAGCATTTGCCAATTGCTAGAAGATTTTTTTTTAAAGTTTTTACTATATACATATAGGGAAAACCAATGACCCCCGGGGCGGGGCCGATTTTGACCCAAGGGCTATAATTTGAACAATCTGGATAGAGGTCTACCAGACAATGCCTTATGCAAAATATCTAAGCTCTAGGCCTTTTGGTTCTTTACAAGAAGGTATTTTAAGTTTTAACTATATGTACATATAGTGAAATCAATGACCCCCGGGGCGGGGCCGATTTTGACCCCAGGGCTATAATTTTAACAATCTTGGTAGAGGTCTACCAGACAATGCCTTATGCAAAATATCTAAGCTCTAGGCCTTTTCAGTCTTTACAAGAAGGTATTTTAAGTTTTTACTATATGTACATATAGTGAAAATCAATGACCCCCGGGGCGGGACCGATTTTGACCCCAGGGCTATAATTTGAACAATCTTGGTAGAGGTCTACCACACAATGCCTTATGCAAAATATCTAAGCTCTAGGCCTTTTGGTTCTTTACAAGAAGGTATTTTAAGTTTTTACTATATGAACATATAGTGAAATCAATGACCCCCGGGGCAGGGCCGATTTTGACCCAAGGGCTGTAATTTTAACAATCTTGGAAGAGGTCTACCAGACAATGCCTTATGCAAAATATCTAAGCTCTAGGCCTTTTCAGTCTTTACAAGAAGGTATTTTAAGTTTTTACTATATGTACATATAGTGAAAATCAATGACCCACGGGGCGGGGCCGATTTTGACCCCAGGGCTATAATTTGAACAATCTTGGTAGAGGTCTACCAGACAATGCCTTATGCAAAATATCTAAGCTCTACGCCTTTTGGGTCTTTACAAGAAGATTTTTAAAATTTATTCTTATAATTCCTTTTGGTTGCCATGGCAACCAGATTTCTGCATGGAATGAAATTCTTTCAACAACTTTGGAAGGCCTTCACCCAAGGAACAGTTCTGCCAAGTTTGGTTGAAATTGGACAAGTGGTTTTTCACAAGAAGATTTTTTAAGTTCACTATATAATCTATATAACACACACACACACAAACAAACAAACAAACACACACACACACACACATACACACAGGTGAATCGCTATATGCCACCGCATCGCAGATGCTGCGGTGGCATAAAAATATGAAATAATTTGTCATAAAAGTAGCAAAATGTAAACAAGCGAAAAATATGAAATAATTTGTCAAAAAAGTAGCAAAATGTAAACAAAGTACTATTTTGACTTTTCATATAATATACTTATTATATACACTGTTGCCTCGTTAAATCACTCTTCCTTATAACGCTAATCTCAGTATAGTGCTCATAGACCTTGGCTCCCCAAAAAAAGAAAACTTCCAAAAAAAAAAAAAAATTTTTTTAAGTAGATCTAGATTTATAGCGTCAAGTACAATAAACAATTGTTATTAGGACATTTATGATCGCCAAAGGTGTGAAAAACATGCCCAGGTAAGCGTTTATCCGCTCTTTTGTTGTTTTACCTGTCCATCAGTCATGCATCAAATTGTTTCCAAAATCTCAAATTCATATCATAACTGTTACATTGGCATTCGGTGGTGAGTATAAATAAACTAAAATTCACACACATATCTTTGACATGTAAACCTCGCTGAATTAAATAACCCACAAGCCCAAAATCAATTTAAAATCCTGCACTGTAAATAGAGCGGCCATGACAGGTGGTAATTGGCGTTTGATTTACTAGGGGACACAACTAAAGCTGGACTGTAAATTACAGTGTCATTTACAGTCCAGCTTTAGTTGTGTCCCCTAGTTAATAAAACGTCATTACAGTAATGGCTACCTACATTCATGATTTATTATTTTCTTTCGAAAGTTTTTCCTTTCTTTTAAATATAATTAGTATTATTTGTGAATATAATATATGTTTACATCATTGAATGGTTTTAGAAAAAGATAATGTCGATATTCATTGAACAGTAAGTAAAAAAATCAGCGTTAAATATATATGCAGTGGGTGGGGTAATGCGGTAATTTCGCAATGAGCGTTCTAATGAGAGCCTCGTTAGAACGCTGTGTTGAGACATTGGACCCCAACATGAGCGTTTTAATGAGGCTGAAGTGTATTGTCTATAACTGTAACTTATTGCCAAAAAGCAACAGATGAAAAAGATGGTTCAGGTAATTGGCATAGTAACATTTTTGGATAATTAAAGTACACCAAAATTAAAAAGCTTTTAGAAATAAATATTAAAACATTTCTCAGGCATAATGGGCCTTTAAAATCTAAAAGAAAAGAAAAATTAAAACTTCTCTTCACATTACTCATTTCGCATCTACCTATACACACAGTTTTATGTCTTTGTTTCTAATTAGTCATTTGTACATCAAAGACATACACATGTTAAGTTTAAGTTACACTAACTCAGTAAAGGCCGTAATTATGGTGATGTTCCAGCTTATAATACTGGTGCAACAAGATGTGCCAGCCCCTCCTTGAAGTATTTCAGGCACAGACATGAATCAGAGCAAAACCACTGACCTTCTGCATATAAGCTTGCACAACAACTTCTTCTCATGAAAGAATTCCAGGGACAGATTTGAACCAACAATAATGATGGGCAACTAATACACTCAAACATAAAGAGATAAAAGACATTTAAAGCTTACAGTTGGTAGACCATCATTAATCCATGTCTGGATGAACTTGACTCTTGACACTAAATCCAACACCCATGATGCCAGAGGTTTCAATGATGGATATGCCTGCAAGTAAAATGATTTAACTACTTCAAAACATAATCACATAATATATACAAAAATGAATTGTTTGAATAAATTTTAACTCAAATTCTTTTTCTTTTTGTCATCTTCCAAAAAAAGTTTGTTAATTGTTAAATTTTGTAAGATTGTTAAGCATTTACTGAAAAACAGCACTTCTTCATTCATAAGCTATTTTAATTGCAAGTCTATGACGTACACTAAGACTTTACTATAGCAGATTTCTCAAGCTCAATATTTAACTATTTGACTTAAATGTCTTCCCATAGTAATGCTGATTTTCTTAAAAAGACTTGTTCAGCTACTCTTTTTGGAATCTCCATTATCATTGTTTGGGATATCAATATGAAAATTTGTAATTGGTCAGCCAGCACAGTATAGAGTCGGGTCAGACTGCACAATTTTGCAGGCTAGCCTGGCTGTATAGTGGTGGCACAGGCTAAATAACCCCTTTCTGTTCAAACAGGTAAAGGGTAAATCAACATCTGTGCAGTCTGACCAGGCTCTATACTGTTGGTTACAGCTAAATTTTTGTGTTTTGGTAATGAAATCCCCTAAATTTTTAAATAAACTCTTCCAAATTCAAAGCCGGGCAAATCCATTACATAAAATTCAGTAGGTTCAAGACCCAGTAATATCACCATTACTACTTGTTTCAGAAAGCAGACAGATTTTTTTGCCAACAGTTTACCAGGTCGTGTATTCTATACCTAGTATCACCCTGTTTACCAAATGAAATAAAATATCACACTGTTCAGCAAATGAAACCGACAAAAATTGACTACCACGCCCCAGAAAGATATATAGGGGTAAATTGGCATGACATATCTACAACGCCTCTTATTACCTATTTATATTAAAAGAAACAACAACATAATACAAACCAATTTGTAAAATATCATTAACTTTCTTTGATTTCCCAATAAAATAATAAATGCATAACTTATATATAATGGCTTGTCAACGATCGTAAATATAATTCGTAAATAAAATGCACGGCTAACTCTGACCTAAAAACGCCTCAACTTCAAACAGTGCATTCAACTTTATAATCACTTATGAAATATTATATTGCAAAATTTCATGCTAAATGGTTCATAGATAAGATATATTATTTATTTTTATAATTTTAATTACATATTTGACTGAATAAAAAGACGGCAATAATATTTTCTCAAAGGTATAAATTCAGCAAAATATTTTAGTGAAATATGTGTCATGAAGTAATGACGCAAAACCATTTTGCAAATTTATATTGCTCAGTTTAAAAGTTCACACGCTAAAGTGTTGTTTACATGTAATGTCTTTTTAACTATCTAACAAAATGTTCAAAATGTTAATGACATTTATATTGATAAAGAAATTAAAAGCTTGACATTTACTTTAGTGTAATAAAACTTTGCCAATTAGATATGCATGTGGACACACCAATTGCTAAAAAGGCCTATAACTCCATAATATTGAATGTATTTTTTTTAATTTTTTTTTTTTTTTGGGGGGGGGGGGGAGGGGGGCAGGGAAGGAAGGGAACTGGGTTGGCGTTTAACAAATAATTTTTAGTACCAAATATTATTGAACTATATTCAAGATTCAAATTCTGTAATCTGGACACAGTCAAGATGATCTTCATATTTCAGTTTTAGTGACACACTGTCCATATAAAGTTAACAGATAGTCAGACAGATTAATGGACATGCTTATATGACTCTTATCACCCTAAATATCTGAAATGGACTTGTCTATCGTTCAATCTGGACAAAACCATTCATTATTTTTAGGGAAAATTTCAAAATATATACTGACTGACTGAATAGTGAAACTGTGCAGACTGTGCAGACCATAACAAGATGACTGATCTTGGTCTAAACTGATGGCATGGTTAGAGTCTGTTGCCGCAAGCAGGTTAACATATAATTATTACAGATTTTGTCACCTTAGTGCAATAATGGATTATCTCTGATTTGATTATTATAGGAGTTAACACGTTCCTGCACTATGATGAAGTTATCACTATAAATCTCCTATTGGCTAGGCATGAATATATATTGTATCAAAGATAACATATAAAGATCTACTACATAATTATGTAAAATATATTGCAAAAAGAGAAAGAATTAACAGTACAATTCAATAAAACTTTTACATCAGCCCATAATGTACAACTATTTTGGCATTTATTTGCTTTCACCTATCAAATGAAACTTTAAGTATCACAAAAAATCACTTTATACCTTACAATTCAAACAAAAATATTCAAATGAAGTTACTCGACAAAATTGCTATAAAAGTATTTATGCATGTAAACACCCTATAGACATAAGTTTCAACATTTTAAAGATGTCATTGCAACATTCAATGCCAATGATGCACTGTAAAATATAATGTTATGCTTACAATGCAAAATTTTAATTTCAGTTTGAGATATTTGTTTTGCCCAGCTATATTTATTTCGCAGAATTATAAAGAGGATATTCAAGTTTTTTCTATAAATACAGGATTTATTTTCATTGAGTGGTATGACAATAAGTATTTCATTAGCCACGAATGAAATATGATAATTTTCATACCACAAGATGAAAATAAATCCTGTAGTGATAGAAAAAAATCTTAATTATATACATTTCACAATTTTGTACTTTTACTAACCCTTAATTTTGTATATTGGCTAAATTTAGAAGAAAATAGTCTGGTGAGAAACCATCGAAAATATGGGAAATATATTTCACTGCAGTGAAAAATATTTTTCTACAGTTTAAATACAGAAAATTTCTAAATATTTCATTAATAAGTATTTTTAAAATATAGGTATGGAGCAGTGAATAATACAAAATTTGGATAGCATTTAAAGAAACAGTAACATATGTCTAACATTATGTTTCCCATCACTAAATTCCTATTATATATTTAACTATAAAACATTGATAATTAGTTAAATTTATCACGAAGGAACATAAATTTACATTCTTTGGCAGTTTTTGACCAATCAACAACTTCAGATCTGAGTTTGAGCTCAGAGAGTTTCTTGATATCGTTGGACAGAGGTATATTATAAGAGTCTTACAACTTGAAATCTGAGTTTAAGAGAATTTCTTTGTAACCATAGACTGAGGTATATTAAAAGACTCCTACCTTTTTAGCCCACATGTTGGGTACCATATTGTTGAAGAGTGATATAGACATGTCTTCAAGTTCCTGGGACATTACCACCAAACCTTTCAATGCCTTCAGAATGTCATTCAAACTCTTGTGCACTGTGCTAAGCAGACGATTATACCTAAAAATTGGAAAAAAATGGTAAAAATTGAATGTAGAAAAAGCTTGAAAAGCGCTACTTTCATCTAAGAACAAGGGTGCCATAGTCACAAAATACGCCCATTTACGAAAGCTTTAGATGGAGATGGGGGCATTATGGATAAGTGTTATCTAGCAAGCAAGTTTTTATTCTTGGCACTGTGTTGTTAAATGAACCTTAAAACAAATCAGTAGGGAAGATATGCACAGGATGTGTGACCTTGACCTTGGTCGCACGGACCTGAATTTTATGCACGGCACTCAGCCTCACAATGATGAACATTTGTGCCAAATTATATTGAAGTTTTGCTCCAGACAAGCGTTTTTCTATGAGCTCTAACTGTGACCTTCACCTTTGACCTAGAGACTTGGTTCATATGCAGGGCACTACGTCTCATGGTGGTGAACAATTCTATAAAGTAACATTAAAATTCCTCCATGCATGTAGAAAATATGCTCCGGACAACATCTGGATATTTAATCATCTCCAGTGACCTTGACCTTGCAAATATTAACCTAAATTAAATGTGTCACACCTGTAGTCATGATAGTTACCATTTGTGCTACAATCCATCAATAAATGATGACTAAATGGTCCCTATACACATCTTCTAATTTTTATCTGAACTTTGACCTCTATGTGTAACCTTGACTTTGGTCGCAGGGATCTGAATTTTGCGTGCGACACTCAGCCTCACAATGGTGAACATTTGTGCCAAGTTATATTGAAATCCCCCTATGAATGTAGAAGTTTTGCTCCGGACAAGCGTTTTTCAATGAGCTCTAAGTGTGACCTTGACCTTTGACCTGGATCATGCATGGAGCAATACATATCATGGTGGTGAACATTTCCATAAAGTATTATAAAAATTCTTCCATACATGTAGGAGATATGCTCCAGACAAAATCTGGATATTTCACCATCTTTAGTGACCTTGACCTTGCATATATTGACCTAAAGTACATGTGTCACAGCCGTAGTCATGATAATGACCATTTATTGGTGTTACAATCCCTCAATAAATGATGATTAAATCGTCCCTATACACATCTTCATATTTTTATCTAAACTTTGACCTCTATGTGTGACCTTGACCTTGGCTGCAGGGACCTGAATTTTGTGCGCAACACTCCGCCTCACAATGGTGAACATTTGTGCCAAGTTATATTGAAATCCCTCTATGCATGTGGAAGTTTTGCTCCGAACAAGCGTTTTTCAATGAGCTCTAAGTGTGACCTTGACCTTTGACCTAGAGACCTAGTTCATGTGCATGACATGGCTTCTCATAATGGTGAACATTTCTATGAAATTTCATTAAAATCCCTCCATGCGTGTAGGAGATATGCTCCGGACAAAATCTGGATATTTCATCATCTTTAGTGACCTTGACCTTGTATATATTGACCTAAATTATATGTATCACAGCCATAGTCTTGATAATGACCATTTGTGTTACAATCCTCAATAAATGATGACTAAATGGTCCATATACACATCTTCATATTTTTATCTGAACTTTGACCTCTATGTGTGACCTTGACCTTGGCCGCAAGGACCTGAATCTTGCGGCGCGACACTTCGCCTCACAATGGTGAACATTTGTGCCAAGTAATATTGAAATCCCTCTATACATGTGGAAGTTTTGCTCCGGACAAGCATTTTTCAATGAGCTCTTAAGTGTGACCTTGACCTTTGACCTAGAGACCTGGTTCATGTGCGCGACACTGCTCCTCATAGTGGTGAACATTTCTATGAAGTTTCATTAAAATCCCTTCATACATGTAGGAGATATGCTCCGGACAAAATTGGACGCCGCCCACCCGCCCGCCCGCCAGGGGCGTTCCCATAATACGTCCCGTTTTTCAAACGGGCGTATAAAAAGTGACATGAAATGCATCAGTAACAGCAAATAACGTACTGTCATGTCCAATGAAGTAACATTTATTAAACAGGTTGTGGTTGTAAAACACATATGCCCCCTGTCCCAAATCTATTAACATATAGACTTACGAGTAAATTTCATGATTTTGAAAGCCTGACTTCACTGATAGTCAAGGTCATTTAGGGGGTCAAGGTCATCTGTCAATCTATTAAAATGAACCTATTCTTTATCAGCACTCTCAGAAGGTATGAATATTCTAGCTTACATTTTGTCTTTTTTTAACAATTATCAGCAAAGACAGAAACAAACAAACAGACATACATACCAAAAGACACACACACAAAAAGAACAAGTACACCGAATCGTATAGCAATCACAAATTAAAAAGCGAAGTATATATATATTTACCTGATAACTTCTTGAATGAGCACAGTGTTCATGGACTGTTCGTACATTACTGGGTAGTTTTTCATCACTAATTCCAGGTCAAATGGTTTTGGTACCTGGCCCAAAATTCTCTTGGCAGTTTCTTCCATAATCTATATACATGTACAGTGAATATATATTTACATGTACAGTATATATCAAAACATTTTGTAGAAAACAAACTTATGTACAGCAAACTATTGAAGATAACTTTCAAAGAATTGCATTCAAAGAAATGGTAAAACATAATGAAACTTGTAAACAAAAGTATGTAAACATTGTAATATCATACAAATTTGGAGTGATTTGATTCCCAAACATTTTAGGTAGAATAGTCAAAAGCATCTTTAAGTTTGTAAAGCAAAGTTTATTGAGAGATAAAGAGGAAAATACATCAAAATCAAGTACCTCTTCTCGTGATTTTCCGCCACCGCTGGCAGTCTTTGGCTGAAGCTTCAGTAAAGCCTCAAGCTGGGTGAAAGCCTCATTCTGGGCAAATGTAATATTTGCGTTCTCGTGGAGTCCGAATATTTCTGGTGTGTCGTTAATAGGCAAACTTCTTAAATATTGCATGTAACCCTATAGAACAGATGTCATGTTATGTGAAAACATCGAAAAATCAATCAAAATTTAAGTAAAAACATTTTTTAATAACTATTCATCCATTGCTTAAAGAAGCCACTGCGTTTTATTCGAATTTACGACAGTCCTAAAACAAATCAACCACACAACACCTAGATATGAGTGTTAACTTGCAGCACAACAAACAAAGCTCAGACAATGATAAACCTTCTAAATTCATCAAATTTCTTACAGGTATAAACAAAATCCTATCTCTAAACCTTGTTGGCTTACTCTCCATCTCTTTTTATCTATTTCAAATTACTTGTTTTAGCCTTATTTTTTTGGGTGACTTTCCTAGAGGTTTTTTTCTTTTAAATTTTCTTTTTGCTTACAAAGTATATTGTATCATTGCTATTTAATTCTCTTTTATATTAATTACCTGTTATAATAATATATTAATATTTTTTACTACTTGTCTATATTTTATATTTCACTTATATTTTAATATGTTGTACATTTATTGGAATTAATTTTGATGATTCACTTTGACCTTATTTGAAAAATTATCAAATAATTATGTTAAAAGCTCTTTGAAATTCATAAACAGTTGGGGCTCAGTTGCAATATTCTTAGATTTCAAGTCTGACATTTTCAATTAAAACATTTAAATGGCCATGATATCATTTTTATAGACTTTCCATATGTACAACTTTAAAATATGTAAGTATTAAGCTATGTAGGCTAGAAGCTGTCTTATATGATAGAAAATCACTGAGAAGCTGACTGCCAAGCCTGACAAAGAAACCTGTAATATGTATTGATGTACAATCCCTTGAAGCTTCTACGAAAATAGCATCCTTGTTTTTGTTTTTTTTAAATAACATCTTTGACAGATTTGTCTGTGGATTGATATTGAGAACGAATGTCATGTATTTATGAATGGTGGGCATGATTTAAGCGTGATTGTCTATATTGATTCCTTATCAGACAGCTGTTGAATATTTACGTAAGTAAAACGTTCAATATTATCCAACTTTATGATGACGGAAGATCATCTTACATGATGAGATTGCAAAAACTGTGCTTTTATGCAATTTAAATCACAATACAGTGTATACATATTATTAAAAAAGTACATTCTCAAACTGTATAAATGAGTTTCTCGATCATTTCACCATTGTGTATCTGTCATAATTTTCATAAAATTCAAACACAAAATGGGAAATGTTATTTAATCTATAATAAGCTACCTAAATATTGAAAAGTTACTTAAGAGAATAGGTATGGACTGGTTTGTTCAGACTACCAGTTTTTAAAATGCCAGGAAATTAATAGAGGTTTCTACTTTATAATGTATGACAACAAATTGTATGAACCTACTGTAAAGAGAAAAGCTTTAAGCTTGTATTATCATCTAAATAAAGCAAGGGAGACAACTATTCAAGAATCATCTAACTGTCTAAATAAAAGCAGGGAGAGAACTCTATTTGCAAAGAAGATACATGTATTTAATTGCCATGTTTTATGACAAGGGAGACAACTACTTAAGAAAGAAATGAAAGCAGAAAGCCAACTTGTTTAAGGGATAGGAAATTATTCAAATCTCACAAAAAATTTGTGCCAGGTCTAAAACTGAATGAACTTTTATATATATAGTTAATATCACACAGCAAAAGTTTAATAAAGCACTGCACATGTTACAAACAACATACACCATCTTTTTATTGATTACACTCAAAAGTTATTACAAAATTTACTGAGGAGAAAAACTTTGATATTTTGCATTTGGAATAATGACACAATTGACTTTTTCTAATTAATGCTCCATGGGAGCAGGTTATTTTTCAAAATAGGTAGGGCAGGTGTGTGAATTTGCTTTAGTACAGTGGAAATCTTACATAAAATTTATATCATTGTATAGTAGTGTCAAAGATAACACACAAGATCTAATCCAAATTTGAGAAATTATTTCAAACTTAAGCTGACAATGCCCTGGTATTAAAGGTGAATAAGACCAATTCGTTGAGGTGTAATGGCACAGATGTTCAGGTGTTTGCCACTCAACCAAGTGCCCATTGGTTGAAAACCTTTTAATGTCAGAAACATGTTACTAGAAATGACAATGTGACCAGCTGATGCCTGTTTCAGCCTGTCAACACAAAGACTGATCATTATGGGTACAAATCTCTTAAAGGGTCATGCTCTTGTTTTCTCATGTACAGTAATCTGTAACAGTCCAGGAAGCTAAGAAACACAGTCATCAATATCAAAGACTATCTTAATTTGAATTATTTTATATCCAAGTATTTGAAACCATGGATATAACTGAAAAATACCACTCCCCTAGAAATTCTTCAGTAATTTTCTAGAATTTGAACATCTATTAGTAAGTTTATATCTAAGCTCTCTTTAAAATATCACTCCCCTTAGAATTATTCAGTGACAGTAATTATCTGTCATTTCATTTCAACATCCAAGTTCTCCTATCAAACAAATCATAACAGCCTATAACTATACTGTATAGATGATTATGGTATATAGCTTTCTAATTCACATAATAACAAATTATTCATGAAATTAACCAGTCTGGCTTAGCATCTTATATAAAAAACTAACATCTATGTAGAAAACCTAGACTCAAGACAAATTTCCATGAAAATATCATCATATTTATGAATAATTACAAGGCGCAAGGAAAAGTTGCAAGTCTAAAGTCATCAACAGGTATAGATAAATAGTCAAGATTATCTATAAATAAGCTTCTATGTAAGTAAACAGCACCTAATTAAGTAACTATATTGGCTCTTGAAGTCTTTGTTCAAACTACAGATCCTGGTGCATTAATCACTCAAATATGTCAGCAACAATATTCCCAGTTCCAGTTACATCAAATAAAAGTTACCAGGCCAAATTAAAGCAATGTCACTTAAAACTTTGTATGGCTATTTTTTGTTATTTTAAAATAAATTAACTATATCATATGTAGTTCTTCATGATATAAATTATCAAGCTTTTTTTCTTACCTGAACAAAACTTCAAGAGCCTTTATAAGATTATAGATTAACAATTTAACAACATACAACATGCACAAACAAATTCTGCCAGATACATTTTAAACTTTGATCATCAATTAATGTTGTTTAGTGTTACATACTTATTAAATTCTATTTTGCTTCAAATAAAAAAGTTCTATCATTTGTTGTTAATTAACATAAACGGCAAATGTGACAAGTCTTTTGCTGAATGTCATTCAGCACAATATGATATTTTACACACCCATACTTTCGGATAAAATACATGTTCTGTTCTGTTCTATCATCATTTTGACTTCCCTATGATGAACAATGGACAGATCCAACATCATAAGCTAGACTAGTCCATTACAAATTCTAGGTGGATAAAATTCTGGCTGAATTTGTTAGGAAAAAGAATTTTAATCTGTTCAGATTTACCTACCCTGAACAGATAATGCACAGTGTTCAAATTATATACACTCTTGACAATGTAATTATATCAATAAATTTAATATATAGATCAATTAATAATGATTTTTCAAAAATCATATTTCAAAGAATAGAAATACATGTAAAATATTGGTCAAAATGTCTAAATTTCAAAGAATACAATAAAAATCATGGTCAAAATGCCAAAATTTGAACACTCACTGCAGACAGAAGAGTAAACGCAGGAAGTTAATAGAGAGCGAAGCAAACACACAATGGTGAACTGATCCACCACGACCCCATAAGATAACTGTGATACTTGATATACAGTTTGTTGGGCTACTACTGGTTACAGCACTAGTAAAAGCTTCACCAAAAATTATATATTTATTGCCCACCTCCCTTTCCATATTTGTCTAGACATAATCTCATTCAGAGAATTCTCATTCATTTTTTGATACCTAACAAATCACAAAGAATTCTAGAATACGCCCACAATTATCTACACAGAATATGTTTTCCTCAAAAAAAAAATTGTTCACAATGTGTATTGAATAAATGTATTAATTCCTTGTTACTCAAAAAAGAAAACTTTTCTTCATACTTTATAATACTTTGCTCAGCAACTAAATATTTCATGAAGAAACAAAGCCTCAAAAATACAAATGAATTTCAAGGTTTTTTTTCCAAGAAAATATGGCTGTATGAAAGGTTTGAACCCAAATCCCAGTTATGGTTTATTTTGGCTCAGCCATATACTAGAAGGCCAGCAACCAGTAGCGAGCTACATGGGTTTATCTGTTTATAGATTGAATGTATCACTTAATTACATTATGGTCCATGGATGTGGATATCTGGCGATAAATCCCTGACTCCGAGTACTTGTGCTCCTCATCGAGGGAGTCCTTGCAATAGAAGTCTCCCAGAATGCTCATCATGCAACGTCTGTCCCAGTCGTCCGTTACACGACCTCCGTAATTGATATGTCCAGCTGTGTATACCAATACCTTGAGTATTCACAAAGATAAAGATAATAAAAAAATGAATAACTGTTGAAAATTGTCATTTTATATACATGTACCTGAAGCAGCAGCTGACTTAGGTATTTTTCAAATGACTTGTTACATCGCACTTACATTTTCAGCCATTTACGACTTCACTCTAAAATGCAATTTTGTCCACTTAGATAATTACTAACAATCTGATTTTAAAATGATAATGGAAAAATGATAAAATGATTCTGACTTGACAAGTTTGACTTTCTGTACTTGAAATTAATATTCGCCTAATAGAGAGACCAAGTGCAGAATCTTATAAGTGCATGGATATAATAAAATCTACATAATTATGGTTTCTTCAATCTTTAGCAGAGAAATTGTTTCCCTTCCATTCTGTCTCTCTTGACTTGAAACACAAGTGACATATTAAACATAATCTCAAAGCTAACTACATCAGACAAAAGACATTTCGAATTAAAAAAAAAAGCTTCTGTTAGCCCTTGGCATCATTACAGCACCATTATAAAAGACTCGAAATTTACGTAAAAGATTATTTTAGAAATAATCTCAGATACTTACTTTAAATGGAATGTGCGTGTACTCTGTCAAGAACATCTTCAACTGACTGACACAGATTCTAAAATCACCATCTGTGAATTCATACGGAATGTTGAAACCGAGCGCTCCAAACTTCCTTCTCTCAAGTACGCAACCGTGGAAGAAGGCAATGCACAGCAGCAAGTGTTTGAACTCATGTACCTAGATGGTGAGAAAAGTTAAAATATAAATACTCAGATATCACCATTTTATGAATATTCAATTGTTACACTAATTATCCTTTTTAGGAGTTTTAAACATAATACTTTATAATTACATGTACACTATTTTACAAAATAAACCAAACTCCATTCAGACTGAAAAGTGACATGCAAAAACATTTTTCATATTTGCAAAGAAAACATGTTAATGATAAACTAGTTTATTAATTAAAAACAAAACAAAAAAAACAACAGGTAATAAGCTGATTTTATGTCTCAATACATGTATTATGTTATGTTGTTCAAGTACTGATAAACCTGAATGTGAGAGACTAAGTTCACTATATATACAGGGCTCATCCGGAAGGGCGATTCAGGCGAAAACTTCGCCGTGTATATTCCAATTTCGCTCTTCCGATTGATCAAAGAGAAGTCAACATCGCTGATAAAATCTTAATTCCCAAATAGTAATTACTTAGCGATGTAAAGAGCAGAGATTGTATCCGCCCATATGACGACCGCTAATTATCATTATCCAATCAGAGCGTCGCTTTATACTACCCTTCTACCTGTAAGCGAAGCGATAGACCGCCTACTCTAAACAGTAAATAATGAGAGCATCGGCACGAAACGGTATAATTGTGTAATAGTTTTGCGAGTTTAATACGGGATTTGGCGATAATTATACATTGTTTTTTCCCCGATTATCTAAACACGTGCAATCTTCCCCAATTGATATGCACGATGCACTTCGATGGTGGGTTTTTAACTCGAGTAAAGGCGATGTGCAATGGATTTTTTATGGCTATCACAAAACTGTTAGTCAATTAAAAATAATCAATTTCATTAATGATCAGCGACCGGATTAAGAACTAAATCATAGTTTTGAATGATTTCAGTCTGTTAACATAAAATTTTTACTGTAAAATTGTTATGTTGCTCACGTCATGGCTACCGGGCGAAATGCCTAAACCTAGCAGTAAAAGAAAGTTACTGATTCTGATACACCTACGCGAAAATTTAAGAAAACCATTTCGCAAAAATCTTGCGATTGGTATGTTGTAGCCAGGGTGGTGTTTGGCATTGTTCTCTTTGTAGAAATGCCAAATTGACACAGTTTACGCACGTGGGCAAGACATCCCGGCTAAACTACATATCGGTCGTACATGTATATCATGTAACGTATATAACAACAAAATTTGTCAAGAAGAAGAGTTCTTATTGTTTCATTATACATATTTGTTTTAATGTCGTAAATATGAGGCTCAGATTAAGATTTATCAATATTGTAAATTTTAAAAAGCATTATTTATAAAAATATTACCGAATTTAACATTTCATGAAAATAAAGGGAGGTAATTAGAAATTAATTTTCTACAATTTCTCAGTCAAAGTTTTCAATAAGAAATGAATGCATGTAATTTTAGTGATCAAATATAATGTGCACAAATGTTTGCAATACATATTTTACATATTCTTTGATGTTTGAAAATTGTTTTATAAGCATAATTATATGCATATAAATCTGACATTACAACATTCAGGACTTTCAAAGAAATTTCTGTTACCAGAACAGAATAGAACAGATTTTATTAATCAATATCCAAGCTGATTTCATCTTCTAATAAAAGTGAGGAAAGAAAAAATATGAAATTGATTTTATCATCACATCTTTTCTTACACATTATTATCAACAAATTTACATGAAAATATATAAACACATATTTAGAGAAAGCTTATAAATAGCTGATCAATAGATATCAAAAATAATTTTTTATATTCATATTTGCAGCTCAAAAACATTTAGATGCCATTGCCAGATCTACTACTAATTAATCTACTTTTAATTAATAAACTGGAGAAATATTATAAGTGATGTTAATTGTGTTTATATTATATTTAAAGGATGTATAGCCATGCATGTTAATGCATACACATTGGGTTGTTTCCCTTCTCCCTAATTTTCGCGAGGAAGTCACTTCTCCCTAAAATTTCCCCCCAGGATGAGCCCTGATATATGTCAATTAGTGTTATGAAAATGACATTGTGTCCTGTATTTTATTTCTTAATCTAATGCACCTTTCATTCAATCAAAGGCGGTCTCGAGACATAAGGTTAATAATTTAAATATGCAATGTACATGTATATAAACTGATTTGGATAAAAATTATGACAGTATGCACTGTACACAGTTAGAATATAATATGGGCTAGTCAAAATACCTGACTAAGACAGAAGATACTGTTGATTACTTCTTTATCTTTATTTAATTATACAGTTATTTTTAAAATTATGTTCAAAGCATAAAGGAAAAAACAGTTGGCAAGCCATAACATGTAATAATAATGATTTTCATAGTACAGACAAAGGCCATCCAAAGGAGAAACTGACCATGGCCTTAAAATAATAGCCAAGTGGTCTTTATTTGGAGATTACTATGTTCTATTTAAGTAATTAAGCTTTGCCAAAAAGTGGTCCCTATAGTGATTTTTATTCAGAGATGGTCTCTATCATAAGTTTTACTGTAATCTGTATACAGGAAACTGCTGTGTGAATGGTCAATCTAACCACTTATAAAAACAACATATTAAATGAATAAAATAAACTGAAACAATTAACAGAATGTCAATTGTTTTCTCTGATTAAAAAATATTTGTTTCAGGAAACACTTAATGTATAATGATAACCAATGATAATTGATAATTGAGAGAGTTGCTAACAATTCACAATAAGAGAATTAACAGTTTTAAAGGACAAAGTAATAAGGAAATTCTGAAACTGAACATAAAATAACTATTTACATGTGTCAGTCAACAGTTTATAGTGGCATAAGTAAATATATTATGAAAGTGTGTACATTTTTTTTCTACTTATCAAAGTTTCCTTTAGTATGCATGTGACATTTTTAAAGATTTGAAAAAAAAATCAAAAAAATCATATTCTCCCTTTGCAAACTTTCAAAACAGATTAAACATTACAAAATATTCACTTAGGTCCCAATCCACTCAATTGTGCTCCACTGTAACTGAACATTCCAAGAGAAAAAAAATCATAAGAGAAAAAAAACAACAAAAAAACAACAACATTGTTTGAGAGAGAAAAACAACAGCAACAACAACAACAACAACAACAGAACAAAGAACAATTAACCAGACATACACTAAATTTTTCTTTTTCTTCTGAATCTGTTTCAACATCTTTCTTCTAACATGTTTAAAATAAGTAAAATTATTATTTTCAAATTCTCGACATAGGTAAAATAAATGGCAGGTATATGCCAAACAGTATTGCAGCCAGGATTACCTGATCATTCTGATGTTGGACTTTACCCTATTCCGACAGCTGCTAAATATTACCATTTACTTGCTGAATTTATGTAAAGGGCTTGTCCAACTTTGAATTTTGGAACAGTCCATTCAAAGTTTTGGGAATTCCATTTTCAAATTACTAAATTTGAGCTACCAACATTATAGAACCTGGTCAGACTGCACATACAAGTTTTCAGACTCGGTTTCATCAAGTTTTCAGATTTGGTTTCATCAAGTCTCATCAAGTCTTCAGACTTAGTTTCATCAAGTCTTCAGACTCGGTTTCATCAAGTCTTCAGACTCATTTTATCAAGATTTCAGACTCAGTTTCATCAAGCTTTCAGACTAGGTTTCATCAAGTCTTCAGACTTGGTTTCATCAAGTCTTCAAACTCAGTTTCATCATGATTTCAGACTCATTTCATCAAGCTTTCAGACTCAGTTTCATCAAGCTTTCAGACTAGGTTTCACCAAGCTTTCAGACTCAGTTTCATCAAGTCTTTAGACTCATTTCATCAAGATTTCAGACTCATTTCATCAAGCTTTCAGACTCGGTTTCATCACGTCTTCAAACTCAGTTTCATGAGAGATAATAAAAAGTGCAACACGAAAGCCTTTAAATTTTAGCTGTTTTGCTCTCACATTTCATTCCAGAATATACACACCAAAGGAAAGGACTCAAAACCATAGCAAAGGTAAAAACAGGTCAAATATGAAAGCAAAAATAGTCTAGAAATAACAAGAGCATGCAGAACTTGCCATGGATGGCTACAGAAAGAAACCCATGCTTGTGTAAATTTATCTTATTCTGTGAAAAATAAAACTCATGCCCTTTGTGATTGACAATAAAAAAATCAGTGTCTTCTTTTAACATTACCGCTGTTAATGGACGACCATATCCCTATTTTCAATATAAAATAAATAAAATGTGTACATGTAACTTATCTGTCTATTTCTCATATAATGGCCATGATAAATGTTATAATGAAAAAAATAAACAATGACATACATTTGAAATACTGAGCATAGAAATGTGAAAATGATGAAAAAATAAATAAATCAATAAGTGACTAATAAGTCTAGCTATGTATACTATAAAGTTTATATACACTGAATAATTAACAGAATGTAGGTTATGCAAGACAAATAGAAATAATAATTTGACAAGGCATATTTCAAGAGTAAACAAAATCAGAAAACATTTGATTATATAATTATTTTCCATCCCAGTGGGACAGCATAATTATTGAGTACTTCCACTGACCAATAAAAATGGTCCTTAAAATATTAATACACAATAACAATAGCAATGATGATGATGATGATGATGATGATGATGATGATAATAATAATAATAACATTTGAAACTGTGAAACAATTGGGTCACTTTTAGAAAAAATACTTTTCTAACATATGATTGGTTATTTACAAATATATGTAATATATAAGTGACGAAATCATATCTGAATCTGGCATATACTATAATAAGCCTTTGTCTTTTATGATTACATAATTTTTACTCATTATTAATAAATATCTAGGGAACTGTGGTCAAAGTTATCAACATTTAAACCTTGTTTTCATTTTAAAAAATTTACATATTTTCAATACAGTGCATAGAATATTCTTACACTTTTTGTAAAGTCAGTTTTAAAACTAACAAAATCATCATTAATCATAAGGCTTTGTAACTCTATAAATGTTGGACAATGAAATTTTCAGCTCTATAAAAATGTTCGATAATAAAATTTTAAGCTCTATAAAAATGTTCGAAAATAAAATTTTCAGATTTCATACAAGAACAGTAGCTTAATTTTTATCAAGATGTGGATTTAAAGGAAATAGATAAGTCCTAACGAAAACCCTTATCTGCAGGATTTAAATGTTGATAAAAACGTCCCTAAATATCAAAAAAGGAGAAGGTACATGTAGTTAAAGGCTAAAAAAGAATACATAACCCTCAACCAGAGAACACTAAAGGGGGACAGAAGTAGCTGACCTAGAGCAACTTCTTATCTATATGGCTGTAGAGAATAACTTTATTTCTATAAATAGCTACAGATTATTTAAATTCTATATATAGAACATGTTGGGGATACCCATGTTTCTATAAACAGATGTCTACAGATTGTTCATTTCTTATTTATAGAAGTTGTAAAGGGCTACAGGTTGTTTATTCTATACATAGAAATGATACTAAAATACCAAGGATTCTATAAATAGGACAGCTACAGATTGTCGAGATTCTACATATAGAAATTACAGATCCCAATGTCTATAAAATAGATAGGTACAGATTGTTCAGATTCTATAAACAGGAGTTACAGATGCTAATTATATTTCTATAAATAGACTGTTTAGAATTATTCTATATATAGAAGTTGGAGAGGCTACCAGTTTTTTCCCTGTATAGAAGGCTAAAATACTGTCTACCGGTAAATAAAACCTGTATACATTTTTCAGACAACTCACCCTTTCCATCTTTTTCTTTAAAAACCAGATAAATATATGCATTTATATTGAAAAACACTCTCATTTAAAAAACCTGGTATTTTTTAAGACATAGGAATTTTAATATATGATGTATGATTCTTATGTCTTTTCAGGCAATTGAGTTTCTAAAAACACATAAATATCCCTGGTAAAATTATCACTCAAATAAGTAATAAAACATCTTCTAACATTTTAGTTTTCTTTTGGTTTAAATCAAGATACTTATATTTCATCTGTGGCAAAATATTTAATAACTAGAAAAATGATATGAGTTATAGAATCTGTGAAAAGAATTAATTTTCTATTGTCAAAATACTGGAAAATCTTTTGCGTTTGAAAAATGGTTTAACCAATTGTCTGCGGACTGTATTCTTTAAAATAATTCCATATGAGATTTATATTCCTACACAGAAAAAGTAATATTGTATATTACGACTCAAATTCATACCTTTTCTCCAGTAGTGTTGAAGAAATCGTCACTGAAATTGGAATAATTCTTGAGAAGATTCGCCTTGAGACCACGTGGAGGTTCAACAGTCATTTTAGAACCATTCTGTAGAATGAACACCGGGAACTTGGCGCTGGGCATACTGGTCAACCACAATCGAAAATCTCGGTGCACCTAAAAAAATCACATATACATGTGTATTGATACATGTGTTGATTTTTTTCCCCAAGAAAAATAACTTGAGACAAAAGAAATCACAAAATTCTCCTATAAAGTATCTTTGATATAGCAGTTTGGCCAAGTGTAACATGTTGGACTAGAAATCTAAGGATTTCTGGCTGCGTGGGTTCAATCAGTGCAAGCCCTTATTTCCCTGAGCAAGAAACTTTACACTCACTGCTAAGTACTGTTTAGTTCCAGGGATGAATTTGAGACTGTTTCAAAAAGCTTATAGCTTTCAACACAATCTAACTAAAATAAATTTGTATAAACAGCTCAACTCTACATATGACCAATGTTTGTTTGTTTGTTTGTTTCATTTTACGCCTTTTCCCAACAATATTTCAGTCATATAGGCGGGTAGTTTCCTAACCATCGTTCCTGGAGAGTTACACCAGTACTAGGCTACCTTCCTCCGCGCTAAACTACCAAAGCATCTCCCGGGGATCGAACCCACGCCAGAGAGGTAACTGGATTAGAAGTCATCGACTCTAACCCCTCGACCACGGAGGCGGTTATATGACCTATGACATATGACTTAGACTTTTGGATGTTAACTACTGGAAAATGATCAACTTTAAAGGCCAATGAATCATGCAAAGCATTGTGAGTCAGGATTAGAAAATTTTAGAGCTTTTTTATTCCTCTGGCTGCGTCAATGGGCAAACAATTGTACTTCAGCAAAAACCAAGTAGAAACTACTTTAATGATTCTCGGCCTTATCTCACAAGTCACATGTATTTGCTTTGGTTTACCTTGTCTGGATCAATCTGTTCAATCATTCTTTCTAAGGAAGGCATGAAACTTGGAGCCAAGTGACAGTTCTGGAAGAACACCCATTTACCACGCTCCATAGCACTCCTCATCATGGCTTCAGCACGGGGTCCCTACAACAACAAATTCAGTATTATTTATAATAACGTGTTCTACAGCAGAAGTAAATTCAGTTAACTAGACAATAAAATCCAAAAGGTCTGATTTCTAAACAGCAAGTTATTAAATACTTTTCTTGCATCAGATACAACTTTTCCTAATGAAAACTTATGCTATACCAAAAGTTAAGCTCATGACCTTTACCATAATGAAAAGCAAGCTAAAAAATGTAAAACATTCAATGTCAAAAGTAAAAGAAACATATATTTTTAAGAAAATCTAATGCAAATCTAACATTGACTTGCAAATACTTACAAATTATATGTTTAAAATTTATTCTGATGAGGGTGTAAGCCCAAACATTGGTAATCTTTCTACCATAATGAAAATGTGTGAGAATAAAAAAAGTGTTGAATACCATATTCACGGTACATACCAGACAAGGCACTTGAATAATTAAATACCAAAATCCCGTCTTTTTTTCTGTCGAAATGCACATACAATCATGAATGAAAAATATAAGAATCAGCAAAAAAAGCGATATTTTTCTGATCTCTGCAAGCATCTAGAGGTACTGCTCCGAAACTGTAGTGAGTTAAATACTATGAAAATGATATGTTCAAGAAAGACAAGCCTGCTTACCTGACCCTGTCCAAGAGAGATGGCGCTGAGTTTCTTGCCAAATCTCATCTCCTCAGCAAATTTGTAGAGATCTGCCGCAGGGTCGGTACCTGTCGACAGCACAAAGATCAGTGGTGTGGTTGGTGATGAATCCTTGAATACCAGATGTAAATCTGCTGTCTAAAATTTAAAAAAAAAAAGAATGAAAAAAAGCAGTTACTTCTATAACAATCAGAGACATACTTCTATAACAATCAGAATAAAAAAATAAAAAAAAAATATAAAAAAAAATGGTAATTTCAGTATTTCAAGTTATGTTTTTATTTTTTAGTAAATCTATTTCCATTTGGTCCAAAGAATGAACATCATGCCAATGAAATAAGATAAGCCCAAAGAATAGATAGCATAGCAAAGTACCTGAGGTTCAATAAATCTCTGTCCAAGACTTGCAGCTACATAGTCCTGCATGGCCTCAGTAATTTTGTCCATTCTCAAACATTTCAGGACAATCATTTTCTGGAAGGGATCTAGATCAGTATCCCAGCTGCCTGGTAACGGCTCCCTGTAAATGAAAATGTATTCTTTATACTTAACAAACCTTTTTTTTGCCCAAAGCCAGGGGCGGCAAAATCAATTGTCTGTATTGCCCCTTGTATGAAACAAGTGGAAATTTTCAAGAATTTACTATATAAATATCATATGGACAAGTTAAACAAGAGCTGTCGGTAGGACAGCATGCTCGACTATTCTTAGTGCTTGATAGTAAAAAAAATGCCTGATACAGTTACCTCCTCCTGTCTACAGGTTGGGGTCATGATGGTGAACAAGTGTGCAAAGTTTCAAAGCCATATGTCAATGGACTTTGAAAATATTTGAACTATTACAAAAACTTTAACGTAAATTCTAAGTCGAAAAGGGGCATAATTCTGTCAAAATGCTTGATAGAGTTACCTCCTCCTGTTTACAGGTTGGGGTCATGATGGTGAACAAGTGTGCAAAGTTTCAAAGCCATATGTCAATGGACTTTGAAAATATTTGAACTATTACAAAAACTTTAACGTAAATTCTAAGTCGAAAAAGGGGCATAATTCTGTCAAAATGCTTAATAGAGTTACCTCCTGCTGTCTACAGGTTGGGGTCATGATGTTGAACAAGTGTGCAAAGTTTCAAAGCCATATGTCAATGGACTTTGAAAATATTTGAACTATTACAAAAACTTTAACGTAAATTCTAAGTCGAAAAAGGGCCATAATTCTGTCAAAATGCTTGATAGAGTTACCTCCTCCTGTCTACAGGTTGGGGTCATGATGGTGAACAAGTGTGCAAAGTTTCAAAGCCATATGTCAATGGACTTTGAAAATATTTGAACTATTACAAAAACTTTAACGTAAATTCTAAGTCGAAAAAGGGGCATAATTCTGTCAAAATACTTGATAGAGTTACCTCCTCCTGTCTACAGGTTGGGGTCATGATGGTGAACAAGTGTGCAAAGTTTCAAAGCCATATGTCAATGGACTTTGAAAATATTTGAACTATTACAAAAACTTTAACGTAAATTCTAAGTCGAAAAAGGGGCATAATTCTGTCAAAATACTTGATAGAGTTACCTCCTCCTGTCTACAGGTTGGGGTCATGATGGTGAACAAGTGTGCAAAGTTTCAAAGCCATATGTCAATGGACTTTGAAAATATTTGAACTATTACAAAAACTTTAACATAAGTGGTTACGCCGACGCCGACGCTCGGGTGACTGCAATAGCTCTACTTATTCTTATCGAATAGTCGAGCTAAAAATGCTTCAGAGAAAAACAGACTAGGAAGTCAAAATCAGATTTTGCCAGTCCTGAAATCAATGTTTAATCCTACAAAGCCTCGCTGAAGTCCTATATAAGATTATTTCATAAATTATAAAAAATTAATAATTATAGTCAAAGTCAGTAAGTACCCTTACAATCACCCTTACAATCACCAATGTCCCTACATTTTGATAAAGAAATTCAAATCATCTATATGTACATTTACAAAGAAAGTTAAAGCAACAGATCTATTAAAGGATAACAAACACATGCTCAAAATAAGTTTTCAACTGGCATATGAAAAATCAAATACCATCTCAATGCTTAATATTTTCAGCATCTCAGCTTTCTTGTTTGCAATCCTACATGCAAGGGCATCAGGGTTCGGATAAGTATCCCAGTTATTATTAATCAGCTACTAGATATTCTCAGAAAAATGTGACAAATAGTCTTCTAAAGTGTAGAATTCTCACCTGTGTGGTTCAGGACTGTCAAATATTTTCTTAAAGCCATCCAAATGGTTCTTAAAGTCATCTGCAAAGTTTGCAAACTTGGGTAATACACCGGATGTTAAGATATCGTTCCAGGAACGAGAAGATATCCAATCTGGAGATGGATTCTCAATATTCTTTGGTTTGATCGTACCTCCTGCCAGGAAGAAACGCCACTCTTCCTACAAAAACACAATGTTTGTGAGATTTTACTTAATATTAAAATTTTAAGGTACTGAGGTACTATATACAAATCCCATGATCTTAATGACAAGAGGTTGTTTAGTACTAAATTCTAACATGTTTTAAATATCCGTGCAGCCAGACCCTTTTCTATATTGTTGAAAAAATGACAATGGTAAACTGTCATGTCCTCTTCTATTTCATTTCAAACATAAGCATCAACATAGTATCAGCAAAATCTCTGTAAAGATGCTTGATGTTTTGATGATACAAAGGAACATGGCCAGTGGTTCGAGTTTGGACACACAGCTGAAAATGTTATGTGTTTAGGACCACAAGACTAAATTTAAGATTCCATTTCAGCAATACTAAAAAAGAAACTGATAAGTCATTCCTGCCAGTGCAGAGTCACAGCAGTTTTTTTAACACCTTTGAGGCATCATGCACATCTGTGCTGCCTGACCAATCTTTATATTTTTGTATGACCAATTTTGATTTTTCTTTTGCAATATCCATAAAACTGGTCATCAAAGTGGAAATCCAACAAGCCTATAAGCAAATTTAGGGTAGAGATCAGAAGTTATATATTTTATTTTTATTTACATACCATATCAATGAGATTATTGTACTGTTTGATACGCGTACACAGAAGGAAGGCAAACAGGAGCTTGTGTTTCTCAAACAATGATCGGCATACATTACTGTACAGACTGAATGTGAAATATTTGTTGATGTTTTCTACTCTCTGTGCAAGATTGTCTGAAACAAAAGATTATATCATTAATACTACAATTTCATAAAAGTCATCATTTAAATAAGAACAAAAAGGTTTTTTTTACATAAAATTTGAGTATATTCAGTCCTGCCTAAATATTTTTTTTGTCCTATGCATAAGACTATATCAAAACAGTCATTTATACATTATATGCTACATGGAAGTAGTTGAAATATGTTAATGTAGCACTGAAAAGGATGATCAAAATCAGAAACACTTATCCCATATACCTTTAATATAATCTATATATATCCATCATTTCTTGTAGATATGAAAACTATTTACATAATAACAAGAGATCACCATATAATTTTGTCTTTTGACTAATATATCGATATATATGACAGATTGAAAGTATTTTTAACCTATGTAGTAGCTCTTGAATTATATCTAAGCAGAAATAAAACATGTTGTCATATAACATATAATTTAAACTTATAGACTTTATTCCAAGTGAACTCGCACAAAAACTCCAAACAAATTTTAATTTTTTAAAATACATTTTCCACTACCAGCACTACCGCAAAAATGCTAAAACCATTTAATCATAAACATAACTGAGCTTCAGAAAAAAAGAAGACAATTATAGAAATAATAAATAAATATAATATCATACAGGATATAAGGTATATAAGATATATTATATACAGGAGTATTTCATCATAGTTTTTCGCCAGGAACAATCATATTTCATTTGAAGAACTACCAGTAAAATACAGACCCAGTCTTATAAGAGATCCGACAATAAGTGAGTAAATACAAAATTTCAACATTGTTTGTTTGTTTTTTGGGGTTTTACGTCACATCGACACAGTATAGGTCAAATCGTGACGTTCCAGCTAAACTGGTGGAGGACGACCTCAGGTGCCCTTCCGTGCATTATTTCAGGCATGAACGGGCACCTGAGTAGAACCACCGACGTTCCGCAAGCTAGCTGGATAGCTTCCTCACATGAAAGAATCCAAAGTCCCTGTTGGTACTCGAACCCACAGCGGTGAGGGGCTTTCAACATTGTAAAAGACTGGTATAGCAAGTACTAAAATAAGGTCTCAATATTCTTTCTCACTTTCATATTTGATTAAAAATAAATGAATTCTATGAAAATAAAAAAGTAAGAAATCAGTACGGTCTCAAACACTTAAATGTGATTGGGTAATTATAAAGATTGAAAATTGACAAAAGATCTGGTCATAATTCCTTGTTACCATGGAAACAGATCATCTTACAAATGAGTTTTGAGTCTTTTTCTGTGACCATCCTAGATTTCTTATTCTTTGTACACAAAATACTATATATAACAGTAGACGTACTGAGTTTACATTGATTATAATGGATTTCTAGCAGATCTAAATATCAATATCATATTTCTTTAACAGGTAACTACAACATTATTTTTATCTCAAAGTTTGAAAATAAGAGAACTTTAATTATAGCATTTCTTCACAGATGAGGTTTCCCTTAGTCTAGACATGATACACAAAATCTTATGAAATAAGAAACAATTTTTTTGTTTCCATTGGCTTTAAGTTGCTGAACTACTGTATTAAATACACAAGCAGTTTTCATTGGTGGAAGGAAACCAAAAGCAAAGTGCCATACATGCATTGTTTCAGACATAAGTGTACACTTAAGTAGAACAATCAAGATACATGTACACATTGTTTGATAATTTCCTTAAAAGTGAGAAGTATCCCACAACTTGTGCCTGTACTGACCTACTGGTGACTAACAAATTCTTAACAAGTGGGAGATACCAAAATACCTAACAGTTACATCTTTAATTGGGCTCAAACCTGCTACCAAATGAAAACTTAAAGGCATCTCCAAGCACAGCAAAGGAAAGAAAACAAAGACCAAATCAATTTCTTAAAATAGTAGAACTCAAATGTCAAATTTTTTGGTGCCAAAGTTTATTACATGTTCTGTAAAGAATAATTTGAACAAAATTAACGATTTGTAAGTCGAAGATGATGGCTCAAAGTGTTTTCATAAGACCTGTCCACCTCAAATTACCAAAGTTCTACTGTACATGTATCTTATTTTATCAAATTGCATGCATATAACTCCATCTAACAACCCATTTAACCCAAAGAAATTTATCTATCCACAAGTCTGTAGAAAACAAGTGTGTATAAAAACTGAAAAGTGCAAGCGAGTGAAGAAATGCAGGATTGTACTTTATAATAAAGCATTCTGTAAAACATACTGTGCCTACACATAATTGTGTACTTAAATACATATATATACACGTGTACTACTGATCTTACCTTTTTCACCTATAACACAGACGAAAATTGAATATTAGATATATACACAACATAAAATGTCTAATTCACTCAAATTTGTTACAAAATTTTATTCAACATTAAAACAATACAAGAAAATTAGTCAAAGGGATTAGATTTCCTTTTCTTTTCTCATGTTAGAAAGTGAAGATAACTTGAGGCTTTTACTTTCAAAAGGTAGGTGTTAGGCTGATCCAAGTGTATTAGTTTGGAACTGTTAGCATTTTCATTTAAATTAGTAAGGAAAAGGTTAAAAATTCTTATTTTCAATGTGGAAAAGCTTTTGTGTACTGGTAAGTAAAATTAAAATAAAAAACGTTATTATTCAATTCTTAATTAATTTCGTTTAGACACACAAGCGCAAACCATATTCATCACAACATCAAGGTGCAAGCAAATGAAAAACATCCAAAATAAGGTTTAACATCTTACGAAAAGTACAAAAAGCATTGTTACTATTGCAAATATTAGCAAACAAATTCGAGACTGTCATAATTAACTGGATTGTACCTGCTCGTTCCGCATTGCTGATTCCACCAAGGAAAATATTGACAAACCATTCCAGGGAGTACTGGTACATAGGATCAATGTTGGCCATGTCAGCCACACAGAAGAACAAGATCTGGGTGTTCACGGCTACGGGGACATACTGCATTCTGGTTATATCAATGTCTTTTTCAGTCTGTTCAGCTACCAACACTTTAGCCTGCAATCACAATACATGTACATTCCTATAATGCTATTATCAAACTATCTATACACTTCTAACAATGCTATTGTACTACTATCTTTTTGGTATTAAAAGCTATTCCAGCTTCAAAGAGATTAAAGCTTTGCCTTACAGGGTATAAAACTCTTTCAAGAACTCCGTCTCAAATGTCAGGATTTTCATTGGTTAGTCTGTATTTTGTGCTGGTTTTTCATCAATCCAATACCTTAGATATTTCAGTTTAAGCTTAGAAAACTATAATTTTAGAGTCTGTGATTTGTCAAACAAAAAATGTAACATGAAGGTACATGGTTGTGGCATCCCTAAGGTTTGATCTCACAATCACTTGGTTAAGAGGCAGACACCTTAACCACTAGAACTCATCTCGCTATAACATCATCAGTCCAAGCGATTATCTTTCAGCTGGTAAATATAAATAAAACATTAAACATTTAAAGACTTTGTTTTTAACAAAATTTACACTGACGAAAAATACTCAATGAATTATCATATTGAAACCTCCAAATAAAGTCCACATGTCTATAAAGGCGGTCTTTCCCATGAATGACTATAATTTAAAGGTTTCACTGTATATTACTTACAGAAATTTCCATTGACTTGATCTTTGAGGCCTCGAGGGTATTAATAAGATCTATATCATCTACAGGACTACCCTCGGAGGTACTCAGTCTATATAGAATCTTGTTCTCAATCTCCTTCAACTCTTGCTTCATCTTAGCATTGCTGACAATCAGCTGGTTCTTGGCCTCCTCCAAGTCAGGTCTCTCCTCAGCTACCACTATACCCAACATCTGGTCCTCTAGACCACTGAAAATAATGTTAACTCACATTTAACTTTCTCATGTCAAGGAATGACAAGGTTTTTTCTCAAAATTTTATCAGTACAAAAAGAATCTAAATAAAAGTTAGATCCATTAAGGTGTCCTGAATCAAATTTGTTTAGGGAAATTAAATTATAGGTACAAGAGACCTTCCTCAGGCATACAGGAATCTAAAATAAAGCTAGGTACAACCTAAGGGTCAGAATTTCATCATATTTAATACTTTTTTCATACTCAGCAAAGTTGACTTTGTTGCATGGTCCAACTTCTAATTTAATTCTGTAAATTATCAAATTTTGGAACATCATATTAAAATTTTGGAAGTTGGTCAGCTTTCAGTATAAAACCAGGTCAGACTGCACAGATGTGCAGGCAAGCTGACCTGGACCAATGCTGGTTGGAAAGGATTTTATCTCTTTCGATTTCAGAGTTTAATGGGTCATTAAAATTACATATACGTTACCTTGGTGATAGGGTAAAGTTGACAATAGAGACTTTAGTGGAGACCTCTGGTGTGTAATGGGGGTTAGGTAACTTGGTTGTGATGTAGAACTTGAAATCATCGTGGTATGGAATGACAGCATCACCTAGCTTGATCACAGTGCTACCTTGTTGCTTGAATGTCTGTGGAAAGAAAATATGAGCCGTGTCACAACAAAACCAACATAATGCGTTTGCAACCAGCATGGATTCAGACCAGCCTGCGCATCCGCGCAGTCTGATCAGGATCCATGCTGTTCGCTATCGGTTTCTCTACTTGTTATAGAGTTTGTAAGCGAACAGCATGGATCCTGATCAGACTGCGCGGATGCGCAGGCTGGTCTGGATCCATGCTGGTCGCAAACCCATTATGTTGGTTTTGTCATGACACGGCTCATATATTGATGGATATCAAGTAACGACAATGATCATAATGAATGATGTGACAGCTCCGAATATCTTAAAATCTATTAATAGATCATTTAATTTTTTTTACTTTTTTTTTTCATATCTGGCAAAAGCATGTTCAGAATAAGCCGGAATCATTTCTATGTCATTCATAAATTGTAGCAGATAATTTATTATGTTGCTTGAAGTTTATTTGCAGGATTCTACAACAAAATTGAAATGAAGACCTGGTTCGAAATTTGCAAGTGCTGAACTTTTTTCCCTTCATATTGTTAACTGTCAACAGTTACATGAATTACAGTAAAACTTGTCTTCAGAAACAAAAAAAAAAGGAAAAAAAATTGTCATTGAAAATTGGTCAAAGAAAACAGGTACTAAAAATTTTACACAATTATTTATCATAGGGAAAACTAAAATGGAGTACTGAAGAGGAAGATAAGTTCAATACAGTCCACCTTCAGCACAGTGTTACTGTATTAGCATATTTACGGGTGTCACTATATAAGCATATTTACTCTATAATCTTTACACTTAACAAATTCTACAGTAGTTTACCTGTCTAAGCAAGATTGGTTCAAGAGCAGGGTCTAACTCTGTCTGTATGTTCTCTAGAAGACATGGTTTACCAAACCTGACTGCATTCTCCAAACTACGTAAGAAATCTTTGTCAGACAACTTAATTACATCAAGTCCATTGTCTTTTTCCTGTAAATAGAGATGTGTTCACAAAAATAAGCAATGGTGAATAATCTTTCATTTCTATGACATAACTTAAGAAAACAACATCATAATATACTGTGTTCGAAAGTTAAGATTATTCTTGGAATTTGATCAATAGCATTTACTGAGTTAAAGTAAACGAGAAAACCTATTAAAGTTCAATATAAATATTAATAATCAGTTTCTTAAATCTTTTTTAAACCTTTAAAACTGCTCTATCTAGTTGAAATTTTTTTTTTATCACTACTTAAATTGGGAAAGGTTAAAATTTCCAGAGTAATGCTAAAACAATATCTGAAATATTATCTTCATTTTGTTATATTTATTACATCAGAATGATAAAAAATAAAAAACGAATCAATTGGGCAAATTACGTACCATATTTTTCACCCATCTGTTTGCTTGCCCCTGTGGATCAATGAAGAGGGGCCATCTACGAGAGTATTGTACAATTACACCGTTCTCCACGGACAAGTTGTCCTTCGGTAGACCATGAATCTGCCAGCTGCGCACCTTTACTGGATCACTAAGAGTGGCTATCAACGTAGGTTCATCTGTGCGCGGTACTTTGTTTGTATCAATAGCTGCCACCCATTCCTCTTGCATACTGTGTCTATACTTGCCCTGAAGAGATTCCAGGTAATATAGTAAACTTTGATTGAAGCAAACATGATTGGAACAAAAAATATTGTTTGAAATTAATACATTTCATTTTTTACAAGTGTAAAAAATACATGTGTGTCCTCCTGTACATCTGTGCACTTCTATATATCTATGTACTTCTGTACATCTGTGTACACTTGGCCAGATTCTATTAGCTACTTGGATTTTAGCAATTTGATATTAAAACCCTACAGAATGACAATGGACCATTCTAAATTCAAAGCAGGGCAAGTCCATTATACAGATTTAGTGGTGTAAGGTTTCAGGAAGTGTGAAGCCTATAAAATACTTACAGTGAAAGTTCCAAGATATGCTACATATCCTGAGGACACCATTACATCCCCTACAAAGTTGTTAATGACTGACTCAAGCTTCTGTACAGACTCCTTCCATCTTTCTTTCTCATCAGCTAATCCACCAATCAGCTACAAGGTAACATAATTGTCATATATATATCAACCATTGAAATGTTATTTTCAATGAGTAACTTATATTCACAAAGTTCGGCACAAGTGATTGTACTATATTCATCATCCTTTATCAACCAATGAAAAAGCCATGTTTTTCACTCATTGATGAATTATAATTACATTAACATTTTCTAACATAAGCAACATACAGAAAAAATTTCATTGGAAAGTAAACAATAAAATATTTTAGCTTGTTTGATATATATATATATTTTTTAAATCCAGTCAAAATTTTCAAATCTTTACTTTTTCATTAAACTAATGTAATTGAGCAACAAAATCAAACAACTGATGGCACAGATTGTAAAAAAGAACAGAACAATTGTTATTCAATTTCGTAATATTCGTACTTTGTCAGCTCTGACAAGGCGTCCTTCACACTCCGCACATTTCTGCTCCAACTCATCCTTCTTCCTAACACAGTCTTCGTACTTGGCCTGCAGGGTTGCAATACCTTCTTCAACTTCGGCCAGCCTTGCCTTAGCTGCAGCTAAGACACGCTGTGTCTCGGCCAACTCCTCAGAAGCGATTCGAAGACGTTCACGTTTGGGTGCGACTCCTTTAGCTACGAAGTGGTACTTGTGCATAGCTCCTGTCCACATGCATATAGAAGTACAAGCCTTGGAGACCTGTAATTGGACAATATAAATGTGATTTTTTCCGGATATTTTTATTAGCCAAAAAAGCATCTGATGATTTAAACTGAATCTGCATGACTGAAACATGTTTGTTATAAAGCTGGATTGTTTCTCAATCTTAAACAAAAGAATAGACTATACCTATTGCTTTTAGGTTTGAAAATAGGATGAAATATTAACACTTAACATGCTGGAACAGAAAGTAATTAATAGTATTTGCCACCAGCATAGAGCCACACTAGCATGCACATTTGTGCTGTCTATCAGGTTCTACACTACATGTCGATAGTAATTTCATTACTGATATTCCTTAATTTTCAAATGAACTGTTCCAAATTCAGAGTAGGGCAAATCCATTATGCAAATTCAGCTACTTGTAGGTTTAAAATTAAACTCCAATTCTTACTTTGGCGATAGCAGCAGGTGTGAATGACTCGTCATCTATGTAAGGCTGGATAAGTTTGATTACAGAGTCTGGAATATTGTCCTTGTCAAACTTGAACAAACTTTCAAGGAATCTACCAGGGTCTGCCAGTAGAGCTTTGCCTGGTTCCCAGTAGTCGTCTATCTTCGATCCTGGCTGTAAAAATACAAAAAGATACAATAAGCACTGATAAGCTAAATGTAGTAACATTGTGGCTGTGTGGAATTAGTTTATTATGACTTTTATTATGGACCTTATTTGAGCATTATGATAAAAAAAATTTCTCTTCATTTTGTTTTATTGATATTTTAGTTAAACAAACAGTGTGAAGATAAAATGAGCTGCGACATGACAAAACCAACATAATGGGTTTGCGACCAGCATGGATCCAGACCAGCCTGCGCATCCGCGCAGTCTGATCAGGATCCATGCTGTTCGCTATCACTTTCTCTACTTGTTATAGGGTTTGTAAGCGAACAGCATGGATCCTGATCAGACTGCGCGAATGCGCAGGCTGGTCTGGATCCATGCTGGTCGCAAACCCACTATGTTGGTTTTGTCGTGACATGGCTAAATTGATGTGACTATCAAGCTTAACTCATGGAGTAAGAACTCAGGTGCCACACTTTTGAATTATTTCAGGCACAAGGGGGCAGCTGAGTAATATCACATACCTTCATTAGGAAGGTTGGTAGGATACATTTTTAAATGAAAAATATCCAACTTAAATAACTGATGTTAATTTTTAAACTAGAACTATCACTAAATGTGATTAATACCGCAAGACTGCTTCGGAAATGAGGAAGTTACTTGTAACAGAATACCTTGTAAAAGAATTGAAATAGAGTTATGGTTGTGGGCAATTAAAGATTGTTGTTGTTCTTGTATGTTGCATTTCCTTTCAATGTGGTTGACCATTGATGAAGTTTTATTGAATTACTCTGTATAATAAATCCAGAAAGAGTTTCTTGAGCACTGCACTTCCTCTCATTGCGCTTCACCATTGTATGAAGTTGCATTGAATTCTAAATATTAGTTTTTAAGTTATGCACCGGACAAGGAAACGGAACAAAGGGCAATAACTCTACAAATACTGAGGATGAAGTTATGCTTATTGTACACCGCACTTCCTCTCATTGCGCTTGTCCATTGTATGAAGTTGTATTGAATTCCAACTACTAGTTTTCAAGTCATGCACTGGACAAAAAAAGTAACAAAGGGCTATAACTGTAATTAGTCCAAATAGAGTTATGGTTCTTGTGCACTGCACTTCATCTCACTGCCCTTGACCCTTATATGAAGTTTCATTGGATTCCAACCATTTATTTTCAAGATATGCACTGGACAATAAAAAGTAACAAAAGGCAAAAACTTAAATGAGTCAAGAAAGAGTTATGGTTTCTGCACTGCACTTCCTCTCAATATACTTGACCATTGAATGAAATTGTAAGGAAATCCAACTAGTAGTTTTCAAGTAATACTCTGGACAAGAAAAAAGCAATGGAAAAGTAACAAAGGGCAAAAACTCTATAATTAGTGAAGATGGAGTTATGGTTCTTGTGCACTGCACTTCCTCTCAATGTGCTTGACCATTGTATGAAGTTATATTGAATTCCAACCATTAGTCTTCAAGTTATGGTCCGGACAAAAGAAAGCAATGAAAAAGTAACAAAGGGCAATAACTCTGTTATTACTTTAGATAGAGTTATGGTTCTTGAGCACTGCACATCCCCATATTGTGCTTGTTATGAATTCCAACCAGTAGTTTCCAAGTTATGCTCTGGACAAGGAAAAGTAACAAAGGACAATAACTCTGTAATTAGTGAAGATGGAGTTATGGTTCTTGTGCACTACACTTCCTCTCAATGTGCTTGACCATTGTATGAAGTTATATTGAATTCCAACCATTAGTCTTCAAGTTATGCTCCGGACAAGGAAAATGCAATGGACGGCTGGACCGACCGACAGACCAACCTACCAACCACCGGGTGACTCCTATATACCCCCCTAAACTTCGTTTTCCTAAACTTCAAATTCAATTTACATCAATTTTTTTCTTCCCCTTTTGCAAAAATACCGTGCTATAGGAAATTCAAAAGGTAACTTTCATCACATGACAGAATTTGTTATCTCAAGTGGAAATTCAAACTTCAAAAAAAACAACAACGACAAACCAGCAGCAAACTTTTTTTTATAAAACTTACCTTGTCTCCAGCTACTCTCTTTGGTTTAACGCCCTTCATGATACAGACAGCTTCAATGACCATCTTTACACCATCTGGTGGACGCTGCATAGCTCTTACTTCAACAACATCATTCTTGTTCAGGGACTTTAAACTGGCAACAGCAGCATCCTGAGTTACATAAAAAATATCATATGTTCAGCTTTATTTACAAAATTTTCTATATATCAATTCTCCGATATAAAGAAAGTTCTTGCTTACTTGCTTGTATAAAATATAAATCGAGAACCAGTCACTAAACTGGTTGTGTCATTGGTCCAATTTAAATGGCAGATCTACATGTAGTATCCAATCAAATTTTAACGGCACTGATTACAAATTAAATGACTTTTAAAAAAAAAATATTAGACCCAAGGAATAAAAGTGACTGCTATATTTTTGGTTTTAACCTATCCATAAACCTTAAACGTTCCTGAAATGTCTTAAGGTGTAAACATTTCCATACTCTATATACAAGCGATGTTTGCTTGAATGCTGGTGATAAAGTCCCTGATTATACATCTATTGAAATTTCACTTAACAGGTCATGTATACGAGTTTAGTTTTAATATATACATTCAGATTTTTTTACTGAGTAAAAGATCAATTATTACACTAGTAGCACTATAATTACTGATGGAGTGTGATGCTTTAAGATTCTGACACTTCTTCCAACACATTAATGGTAGCATATATTCTCTTTGGCATATGCACTACTGTAGTGACTCCAGGAGTCACTCACCTAATGTTCTAGATAAGGGACTCAGCTAGCTTTGCATTCTTTACAATATCAGGGTCTTACCAGAGCAGGCAAAGCTTCATTAAGATCTCTCTGGGCATCATCTGCAATGGCTTGTGTTTCTGTAGCCTTTATGGAGGCCGCAGCTTCCTCAGTTTGTACCACAGATTTTGTTTCCTCTGCAATTACACTGTCCTTGGAGATTGTCTCCATGGTTGCAATGGATTCTTTCACAGCTTCCTCTAACAAAGGTTTCATTGTGGCCAACTCTTCCTGGAGTTTGTCTACTTCTTCTGCTGTTGTAAGCAGCTAAAATAAAGCAAATGAGACCATGAATGATGGAATAACAGTAGCTGAATCATGATAAACTAGTTCAGAAGCTAAAATTACTATAGGTAAACAGATAACAACAAAAACATTGGTTAATGGCATAGTCAACATTTCAGTAAAAAAAATAAATTATCTGGTATGAAACAAGATAAAGCCTTTAATCTATTCTGGAATGCAATTTGACTGATATAATAATGTGTACAGTCGAACCTGTGCTCAAGAGCATCTCTAAATAAAGATTGCATATATATTTAATATTGTTTCAAATATGAAACTATATGCCTTTTAGTACAATTATTGCAGTCTACAAAATATGCACTTGTCTGGTTGTCCATGACATGTAATTATTGTTTTGTACAAGTAACTTTTCCAAGAAATTTGTAAAGATTACTTATGAATTGTTTTGAATTTTGACAAGTAGTTTCAAATCCCAAATTTACAGACTGTTATTGTGCAACTTACTTGGTTCTGGGGCCGAACAAAATCTTACTTTTTAGACTGTTTTTCACTGACACATTACCACTATTCAAATGATGACTTTTCAACTATAACCAGTGAAGGAAAACCCCACATTTTCATCTATGTATTATTTAGGGAAAAATAGTACCAACAACATTCCACAATGAAGATGAAGCTTTTCCAAATGGGAGAATGAAACTTAATTATAGAACAAATCGATAAGAAAGTCAGCAGCTTTGACCACTCAGCCACAGAGCATTCTTACAGAAAAAGTCTGAGCAAAAGAGAGTCTGCAGATTAATGACTTATCAGCAATGATGCACTTATAATTTCCGTAACACTGGTGATGATAATCCAAGCTATTTAAATTACGATAAATATTTTCTTCAGCACAAATCTTTTCTAACCTTCTCTAAACCAGTCTTTAATCTATTTTTAGATGTGTTCAGTTCCATTTTCTTCATTCCGACAAGTTTGGAGAAGATTCCAAGCAACTCCAAATAACTTGTTGGTGTCACGTAATTGTGTCTTGACATCTCTGCCAAATACTTGATTGAGTTGGTCGCAACCGACTGATGAATGACCTGGCACAATGTCACCTGAATTAAAAGAAAACAATAGCATTAATTTTTATTAATTGTATATTTTACAAGACAATAAATGACATAAGGGATTCATGGTAGTCCTGGATCAACCAAGATTGATAATTATGTATTATTTAAATGATTTGACCAAATAAACTGCAGGGTTTCTTAAAATGGATCGTAACTACAAATTCCAAGGCAGTACTGGTTTTTGCTTTTTTTGGTGGCTTAAAAGAACTTGATGTTATGCAAGGCAGATGACCAGTTCATTGGAACCAAACAAATGATTTTTTTGGTGGCTAAAAAGAACTTGATGTTATGCAAGGCAGATAACCAGTTCACTGGAACCAAAAATGATAAAAGAGTTCCACCAGTATCGAGCTAGACCAGCCTGCACATCTGTGCAGTCTGACCAGGCTCTATACTGTTGGCAGTTCCATTTTTGTATTTAGTCATTACAAACCCCTTAGCATTCAGGGTTACACCATGGCAAATGTCCAAATATATAAAAAATTTCATTACCAAACCATCCATGACTTCGTCTGTGGTATCCAGCTCAGGAATATCTTGCAGGAATTTCAGGGCAACAGATTTCAAAGCGTCTGCTGGCCATTCACTAAACCAGTCAATTGTACAACAGTTGACGAGGGCAGGGAACTGACGCAGTCTAGCACGGAATATCTCACCAAGTGGACTGTAAAATACAACAAGTTACATTTTACCATGTCAAGAAATTATCTTATGTTTTAAAATTTAACCATATGATAATGTAACAATCAAACAAAAAATTGTTATCATAAAAAAATTCACTTATTATGGAATTTAATAGAAAATCTTATTGAATTAAATAATCATGTCAAATAAAATTGGACAGAAAGTAATATGCAAGCATTCGATACAAAGCTTGGATAAAATGTTTCTGAAACATCCTCATTTTTGTAATTATCTGAATATTTTTATCACACGACTGTTTAACTTACCTCATAGTGATCACAGTATGCAAGTTGCTTCTTACACGCTTTGTGTACATTGAAAACAGGTTGGTTTTGGTTGGTATAAGGCCTGCGTCTAGACAGATGGGTTTCATGGCCGTGTAAATCTGGTCCTGCTCATCAAAACCGTATATATTCGGCACATCACCAGCGTTCAAGATGTTATTCAAATCCTCCAAGAATGACTCACTCTTGATCTATAAATAGAATAATAAATAACATATCATCCATCTTTTGGCTTTGATATTGTCTATATTATTACTGTTACTTAGATGATATTGTGTTACAGATTTATTTTGATTCAAGTTTAAAGCAAACATTCAATAATTATGAGCATATCAGATGACAATTGTGGCTGTAAACAAACAGTATTGAGCCTGATCAGACTGGAGGTGTATCAGCTAACCTGGCTCTATACTGTTGGTACAGGCTTTTTTCATTTAGGTTTCTGCGTTAGTTAAATGCATGATATTTTATACAAACCTTAATAAGAACAAAGAAATAATAAAGAATGTTAGTTCAATTTCCTTTCATTTAATTTTTTCTTCTTCACATGTAATCGAAAACTGACTATAAATATAGATATACAAGATTTCACTTGAAAAATTGAACACAATTTTAATCATCTCAGTTTTCTTGTTTCTGTTTCATTTCATCAATTACACCAAAAATTCTATAGACTTCAAATATCTTATTTTCTTTTTTAAACAATTCTTTTAAGTTTCCACTTATACATGATTTAAACTCCTGCAAGACCTGTGATGTAACTTTAATGAAATACATCGTACCTGTGTGTCACTGAACAAGAATACTGTTGGGTTATTCTCGAGTCCAGCTTTCATCATGACTTTTCTCAAATCTTCACGCCATTCATTTGTTCCATAGTTCTTGGCCAGTTCTATCTGTATGCACTCATAGTCAGCCCTGAGAAAAAAAAATACAACAATATTATTTCATAGTTTTACCAAATTATAATAGAAGACTTACATTCAATGAAAATAATGAGTTTTATAGCACCCCTCGGCTTTTGAAAATGAGCAATTTGTCAAAATCTTGACATTTCAATACTTACTTTTGACTCTCTCGCTTTCCTTGCTTTCTTTATGGGAAAAAAATTTACAATACAATCAAAACAAGTTATTTTGCAGCAAAAAGGTACTTACATATGAGCGGCAAGTCTTGTCAAACTCTGACGTCCCGAGCCTCCCATACCCAGTAACAGGGCGTTACCCAGGGGCTGTCTGATAACACGACTGATACGACATACGTGTTTGAGAGCGTCCATAAATAACACGAGGTTCATTTGTGCCGTGTTGATCTGGTTGTAGTCATCTAACATATCTTCACATGTCTTTTGTAACTGTATAAGAAAAGATTCACTTTGTGACAGTTGCAATGCTGAATTGTTATGATAGAATCTTATACAGGCAAGGCCATTCAGTATTCTACCTTTTGAGTAAAAATGATCTAAAGAGTTTAGATAACAAAAAAAAATAAACACGTAAAAATTCACGAAAAATTATAATATAGTAGACACAAAGTTCTATGTAAGTACACATTAAATGGGTCAGCACTTTGTGACCTTATAATTTTACAATTCATTTTTTAAAATTTTAATACCACATTATGTAAACTGTGTATTTACTCAGTCATAAGTCATTAATTCATAAGTCAGGGTCTTAACATTTTTTGTTTTGACTCTCTTATAAGACTAGTTTATTTACTTTCAAGGAAAATTTTCATTGGGAGATAAATATTGTCATTTCTTCCAAAAGTATTTAATTTAGTACTGTACAACACTTCTCTCCTCAACACTAACAGATAAAATCTTTTGACATACTTTTATAAATTTTGCAGAAACTGCAAAAACATTACCTTAAGATGATCTGTAACTTCACAATAGATTTTGTTTTCAACATTTGCTGACAACAAATCAGCGTACAGAATGGGCTCCAGGTTGATAACTTCATCTATTTTTGCATCAAAGTCTGACTTCATCTTTTCTCTAAGCAGGTTATCAAACCAGTTCCTGTCCTCATCGTTGACCAGACGATCCTGGAACACTCGGCATGATTCGTGGTACCACAATCTCAACAATGATGGAACTCCCTGTTACAAAAATTTAATTATCAGCATAATTTATCATATCATGTAAATTTTTTGGTATCATATTTTAAAGTGACAGCTGTAAAGTTACTGAATACATGTAATAATGATACAAGAAATTTTACAGCACAACTGTTTAAGAAAGTCCAAGTACTGTTGAGACTGCCTTAACGACCCCCTGAATTAGACAACTCCCTGTCATATGTGACGCTATTTTCTGCCCCGACGCAATTTATTATAAATTTAGACTGAATTAAGCGACTCCCTGTCTAACGCGACAAGCGACTGTGAAATCGGTGTCCCAATTTGCTTTTCAAACTGTTTTTACCGACTTTGAGACGCTCCCGGAAAATTTATACATGAAAGAGTTAGCGTTCATTATCTCGCGTGATGTTATTTGTCTCAAAAGTATCAAGCATTATTATAAAACCTTAACATTGTCAAACTAAAAGTGATTAGCCTTTGCCACTTGTATAGAGCCATGTCAGCCTGCATGTCATTGCAATCTGACAGGGCTCTATACTGTTGATAGCTCAACTTTTGTATTTTGATATTGAAAGCCCTTAAACTTTGAATGGACCATTTCATACAAATCCAACAGGTCAATGGGTAAGTATCTAAATACATGTACATACATCAAGTTTTCCTGGCTCTGCCATAAGAATACCCTGGAACACCTTGGACAGATCTCTCAAGTTGAAGGTGTAATGAGACTTGGCAGGTGTGGGCAGCAGCTGTGTACTGATGGTGTTATAAACAGCAATAGTCATTTGAGTCAGCTTGTTACAATGTCCAGATATACCTGCATTCTGACCTGTAGAAAATATAAAAAAAACATTTGACCATTTAATGTTTAACAGCCTGTGAATTTGTCACTTGACTATGCTACCAGTATAGAGCCAGACCAACATGCACATTTTGTGCAGTCTGTCCATGTAGACTTTATACTGTTGGCTGCTCAGTAACAGCATTTTACTACTTCAATACTTGCCCATCAGCATTGTGGGTTCGAATACCATCAGAGATTCTGTCATATAAGAAAGCTATTCAGCAAACTTACGGAACTTCAGTGGTTCTACTAAGCTGCCAGCCTGTGAGAAGGAGCACCTGAGGTCCTTCTCCACCAGTAAAGCTGGGAAAATGACGTATGACCTTCAATGTGATTTAAAACAACTAGGTTTGTAACAGGCATTAAGGTTTACTGATTTACAATGGCATTTTGTTGAATTCTCATACATTATACCGAATGAAGAACAAATGAAGAAAATTAAGAAATTAAATTCACATTCTTAACACTTACTTATCCATGATTTCAAAATGCATCCAAAGATGTTCATCAAACTGCTGTCCTCCATTTCAGTGAATGCCAGGAAGTTGAAATGTCTCAGCAGACGGGCAGTTGTTGGGTTACGACCTCCACCAGGTGGCCCCATAGCACAAACAAAGTTCACATCAACCAGACGTCGGAACTCACCTATAATAAACATAATATCGGTCAAAACACTTAAACGTTAATACCATGCAACTTCCTAAGTCCCTTCCATACATGCATTAAAAATCTGATTGTTTCTAATAAAATGAAAACTTATTTAGTCAATTATAAGAAACTCTAGCAAAAAGCCCAATCAACCTTCTGTATTGGCTGATAATGAAATATGCGTGCTAATACTTACATATATATATGTGTTAATGTGAACTTTATACCAATTTAAGATTGAAAATTTGACATACCAATAGCTTTCCTGTCGTACCATCCCTTGAAGTCCAAGTACTGCCTGATAAGCTCAATGGGCGGCTGAGCACCGTAAGTTTCCAGGGCAGGCATGTTCAAGTCATCAATAAAGAACACAAAGTACTTTCCGAGAGGTGGGCCAAACACTCCTTTACGTCTGTAAGTAAGACAGTAAGGTCGATTATGGTTAACAGTACAAAACATATAATTTATAATATATAACTTGAATTTAATTTAATACTGAAATCCCTTAACCTTTAACTGGACTCTAACAAGGCAACAGGGCAAATCCATTACACTATTTAGGTGGTTAAGGGATAAAATTCACAGAAATGGTAGAGCTTTAAAATAGTGAGCTTAAAATGGCTGAAGTGTGTACCTCTTATCAAGCTTTCCATCAATGAGATCTTGGGTCTGGTTAGCACTCGTCTTGGCTGAGAACACAATGAAATCTGGGATGAATTCTTTTGGCATGTATCTTGACAATTTATCAGCAATTGTCAGTGTTTTACCAGTACCCGTTGGACCTATGGACAAAACCTGAAATAAAACTCACATGCTTTAGCCTATATAATATGGCTTTTGATAATAAGAAAATAGTTCAAGATAGGCTCTTATAGTCACAGGAACCGGAGAAGTTAATTAGAACTTAGGAAAAACTAAAAATGTGTTCATAGGACACAGATGTCCCCACATTCTGGACATTGTTTTGACAGTCTTTGGATAGCAGCATAACAGCCAGATGGATAAACCAGGGCAAATCTATATTCCATCCCTCTAGCCCCTGAGTTAGGGCATAAAAACACAACATCACATATTAGAACACATGTAGCAATTGCCAAAAAAAATAAACAACTGAAAGTAAATATATACTGATGTTTCCAGGTCTATTCCAGAGCAAAATTTCAAGTACATGTATAGATTTTTAAAGTATATGTATAACAACTTGACTATAATGCACATTAACTATTTCACAACCCATACATACAATATTTTAACTTATTTTTGAAACAGGAAAATAATTTGCTCATACGTGTGCCAAGGCTTAAAATGCACATTTTCTTGAAAATAAGATTTCATTATATAAATAAAGAGGATGTAAAATTCATTCCAATGAATTCATATCATTGATGATAAATAAATACCAGGGCAACATAGAAATATATTCATATTCTTAATGGAAAGATATGTTATATATGCACAGCCTGTGTATAGAAGAGAAAAGCCTGCATTACAGTTAAATCAACTTACAGTTTTTTTGTTGACAAGCAACATTTCTAGAAGGTGTGAACTCCTCACAGTGTCAATGGTAGGCACAATAATGTCTGAGAACTTGGTCTCAGGTGGAATATTGAAGACCTCTCTACCCTCCATCCAACCAATCCACTGAATCTGAAATAGTTATTACATTCTGAAATAGTTATAACATTCTGAAATAGTAATAACATAATGAAATAGTTATAACATTCTGACTATAGTTATGACATTCTGAAATAGTAATAACATGCTGAAATAGTTATAACATTCTGACTATAATTACAACATTCTGAAATAGTTATTACATTCTGAAATAGTTACAACATTCTGAAATAGTTATAACATTCTGAAATAGTTATAACATTCTGAAATAGTAATAACATAATGAAATAGTTATAACATTCTGACTATAGTTATGACATTCTGAAATAGTAATAACATGCTGAAATAGTTATAACATTCCGACTATAATTACAACATTCTGAAATAGTTATTACATTCTGAAATAGTTACAACATTCTGAAATAGTTATAACATTCTGAAATAGTTATAACATTCTGAAATAGTTATAACATTCTGAAATAGTTATAACATTCTGAAATAGTTATAACATTCTGAAATAGTTATAACATTCTGAAATAGTTATAACATTCTGAAATAGTTATAACATTCTGAAATAGTTATAACATTCTGACTATAGTTACAACATTCTGAAATAGTAATAACATGCTGAAATAGTTACAACATTCTGACTATAATTATAACATTCTGAAATAGTTATTACATTCTGAAATAGTTACAACATTCTGACTATAATTACAACATTCTGAAATAGTTATAACATTCTGAAATAGTTATTACATTCTGAAATAGTTACAACATTCTGAAATAGTTATTACATTCTGAAATAGTTATTACATTCTGAAATAGTAATAACATAATGAAATAGTTATAACATTCTGACTATAGTTATAACATTCTGAAATAGTAATAACATGCTGAAATAGTTATAACATTCTGACTATAATTATAACATTCTGAAATAGTTATTACATTCTGAAATAGTTATTACATTCTGAAATAGTTACAACATTCTGAAATAGTTATAACATTCTGAAATAGTTACAACATTCTGAAATAGTTATAACATTCTGAAATAGTTACAACATTCTGAAATAGTTATAACATTCTGAAATAGTTACAACATTCTGAAATAGTTATAACATTCTGAAATAGTTATTACATTCTGAAATAGTTATTACATTCTGAAATAGTTACAACATTCTGAAATAGTTATAACATTCTGAAATAGTTATAACATTCTGAAATAGTTATTTCATTCTGAAATAGTTATAACATTCTGAAATAGTTACAACATTCTGAAATAGTTATAACATTCTGAAATAGTTATAACATTCTGACTATAGTTATAACATTCTGAAATAGTAATAACATTCTGAAATAGTTATAATATACTGAAATAGTTACAACATTCTGAAATAGTTATAACATTCTGAAATAGTTACAACATTCTGAAATAGTTATAACATTCTGAAATAGTTATAACATTCTGAAATAGTTATAACATTCTGAAATAGTTACAACATTCTGAAATAGTAATAACATGCTGAAATAGTTACAACATTCTGACTATAATTACAACATTCTGAAATAGTTACAACATTCTGAAATAGTTATAACATTCTAAAATAGTTATAACATTCTGACTATAGTTATAACATTCTGAAATAGTAATAACATTCTGAAATAGTTATAATATTCTGACTATAATTATAACATTCTGAAATAGTTATAACATTCTGAAATAGTTTCTTTGAAGATTCAATAGAAGTTAGTTAATCTGTTACTACACTAAGGTGACACTAGTACAATGGATTTATTTCCCAGTCCATTCTTATTTCCTGGTGTTGAGTTTAATCATTATCTTTAAAGTTTGATATGAATCCATTATTTTGCCTCTAATCTAATGCAATTATTTTTTTTCAATATGAATAGGGTAAATATGTACATAATTGAAATTAAAGCAGCACGCCTCCAGATTCACACTAATTTTCATGAAAATTTTGAAAATGTATTTGAATGTATTATATTGTGAAAGCAATTTGCACATTATCAATGACACTTACAACCAATGTTAATTACCAAAAAGTTGACAAAATATGCATAAATAGCCCTTACTGCGTTAGTAACGCAGTAGAAATATAGTTGTAAATATTCAAAAATCAGTCATTAACCGCACATAACATGTAAAAAATACTTGAATCTTGAACCATTTTACTTTTCCTAAAATTGTAGTACATATTTCTCAGGTTTGATTGTATTGAAATATTTTGACTCATCTGAAGGCATGCAGCTTTAATGTTAAACACTGAAAATTCATCCCATCAAAAAAGCTCAAAAAAACAAACAAATCAACATAAAACAAAACGAAGGGACAATAACAACATCTTGTAAAAATTGTTCTAAAATATAGTTTACAAAATGTACATGTAATTCAAAATCAAACATTCACAATATTTTTAATATTTTCATAACACACAAGAATTTAAAAAGAAAAGCAAAAACAAAAAACAAAAAAAATCAAATTTCACTTAGATAAACAGTTACAATTCAATTGACAAAAAAAAACCTACAGAAACACAACAATGCAAAACAACAATCAAACATGAACAATTTTACAAAAATCCCCTTACATGATTAGACCTCTGTTACACACAAAGAAAAAATCAACGTTATGAGGACATGACAAACAAAAATCTGCAATCAGCTAACTCCCAGTATCAAGAATTAAATCAGTCAAAATACAAAGTTAAAATAACATCTCAAATATTAGTTGTCCATAAAATCTATTTTTCTAAAATCACAACACAGCTTACTTTCTTGTTCTGTTATTATAAAAAAAGTATAAAGTATTTATTTGTGCAGTGTTTATTTATTTATCTACGCCAGTCTGGCATAGGAACTTAAAATTCCATTTAGTTCCTTCTCAAAATTGTCACTAATCATTCAAAATTTGAAAAGTTGCCTCTACAGTGGCTAAATTTTAATAAACAGAAATAATGTAAATGATATTAATCTGTTGCAATTTATGTTGATGTCATATTTGTAATATCAGAAATGATATTTTTTATTTGCAATCAGCACTCTAGAAATATAAACTATATATGTATATGGTAAATCAACATCTTCAAATAATTACAATTCTTCTACCTGTAACCATTTAACAGAAGAGTGGCCCATTCATATCACATCTGATTGTTCAAAATACAGGCATCGAAAAATATTTTCAGTCATCCTGCAGGGCGAGTAGCTTCTAAATCCAATATGCAGGCAACATTTTTCTACTCATCCTGCATTGAGTTCTCTAAAATTCTACTTGTATTTACTAACGGACATGCGGAATTTTCGATCTCTGAAATATCTGTAGTAAATGTTCCGGTTGGTCAAGAAGTATTTTCTTATCAGCACTAAAGCATTGGACCTAAATTACTGTTTGGCAGTTTTAACAAACCAAGCTGACTGTTAAAAACCTATTCCTCCATATGTAAAAAAAAATTCTAAAATGAATTTAGGAATTTAAACATTTCTTCCCCTTATATAAATGTATGTTATAGTTGACAGTGGCAGAAACTTTATAGAAAATCATAATGTTTACCTTCCTCTCGCCTTTCTCATCATCGTCAAGGGCGTCATCACTTTCTGAGCTGCTGATACCTGCATCATCTAGGTTGTAAGCAAAAACATTTTCCTCTTCTGGGTATAACATCTTGATCTGTAAACATTACAACAGAATTTTTTTATAAATAACAATGTTTAAATTTACCATTCAGGGCTACTGGTATTAACAGAGAAGACACAGTCTGCATGTTGTTGTAGCCAGATCAGACTCTATATACTCCTAATGACTTCTGGTAGTGCATAGAGCAGATATTCTGTTCTATACCGGAAGCCAGTGCAAGATTCTTATAAATTTATCTGGAAAAACAACTAATATGAACATTATTTTTCAAATCATATTTAAATTAAATTCTTGCCTACATAAAAATTGAAAATTGATATGTTTTTTTTTCCATTGAAGAGGCTTGATGTTCAGGAATGACTTAAGGCTATTTTCTTGTTTCTCAAATACTAAAAGGTTAATAAACTTATCCCTCTAAACCTACCCCTTCTGCCTTCATTTTCTCCTTGATCCATTTTGAGAACTTGAGCTGACTATCATGGTCTCCAGTCATACCAATGGACCATACCAAGGCAAATATAAACCATGGTTCAATCAGTTCCTCAATACGAGCAAGTCTCTCTGCTGGTATGGGCTTCTCCCCCTGTAATAGCAGTGCCATAAAAAATCAAAATTTACCGTTGATATTTTAAGAGGAAAAAGTTTTTGAAAAAAGCTATTCTTAAAAAACTTTGCTGTAAAAACTCCTTTGTAATTGTTTTTACTCCTTGCAATAAAATGAAACAGTTTTATTATTTAAGAACGTAATATAAATGTAATCAACATAATTGCGCAAATACTCTTATTATTCAAAATTATATTTTCCCTTTATTTTCCATTAGTTCATTTTCAAAGCAGGTAATGGGATTTGTTAACAATTAAGTGAAAAAAGAAAAAAAAACTACCATCTCATTTAAACACTAATATCATTACAGCACTTAAGGGTCAACAAAAGTTCATCATTACACGAAAGGAGCGAAAAAACAAACAGTTTATTATAAGAAAATAGGTAAACAAAATTTCGAAAAACTGCAAAAAAAAAAATGGAACATAAAATCAAACTAAGAATAAAGACTGAATAACACAATATCAAATTACAACTTAAGTTTATGTTCACATCAAAAATACGAGGTATGTTCAAAAAGTTCGTGGATTTTTGCTGTCATTTTTTACTTGGTTCATAAAAACACCCTTAGTGGATATGAATCGAAAGAGTGTCTTTTTTTTCAAAAGTAAGATTTACTTTTATTGTTAACTTTTATTTCCTTTACGAGTTATGTGCCACTTTATTTTACCATGGCAACGCAACATCGGGCGCACGCCGAAATTTTCATATAATGTTTTTAAATATAAACAAATGTTGAAACAAATTAAATGATTGTTTTATGAAGTTAAATACAAGTCATCATCTCTATTAAATATTTAAATGACATAAATCTGACTTTCGGCGTCGTTTGGACGTTGAATAGCTGAACAGACAGGTTTTGAGCAGCAGTAGACAGACGGGTAAGTTGGGAAGTAAAAAATCCCGTTTAAAAACTAGAAATTTGCTCTTTCGGAAATTTTTACCAATAAATGTGGTATACTCCTTTATATTTTTTATGAGGTGATTAAATTAACGAAAAAATGAGTTTTTGAGCAAGTCTCTTTGTTTCAGGTCGCGCAAGCGATTCAAATACGCCAAATACATTGCTCACAGACAGAAAGGGCGACGAATAATTTTAGCGCCAACTTGTTGGGACGTTTGTAACGTCAATTGCAAAAGATCTACAGAAGTTCAGACATTATGACAGTTTTTTGCGAGATGTCCGACATGTTTATTTCTGCATCGGGTCTATGCATTCAATTTCTGACAAAAACAATTTAATTTTAAAATAATATTTTATTTCATTCATCAGGATATATGCGTTTTTACAATAAATACTTGTAGTTATTATTTGTATTTCCTGTATTTACCCGGTCCGTTTTGATAATTAATGCTAGCGGTGTTCAGTAGATTTTACCGCATAGAATAATTGTCAGTTGATAAAATAATTTCTTTATCATCGATAATCATATTGTTAAAGATCGGACGAGGGCGGTTTCGAATTGATACTATTCCAATCAACAATTGAATGAACTTTAATAAAACACTGTCCGTTTAGTGTCTAAATTACCCAAAAATCCCGATAAAGAGCGGAAAAGTATGCGGTACTCGGACCTTTATACGGAGAATGGAGCGAATAGATGACACTTTATATCTCGGGTCATCATCCGCAAACAGAAAAATGGTTTTGGTATATGGATCCGCAGATGATTGAACACTAAAAAGAGTACTTTCAGAAACAATGACGCTGGTTTAAAATGTTTCATTTATATTGCGACGTTACGAACGTCATTTTGTTTCATCATCAGCGTGCGCCGGATTGTGCACCCTCCCTTGTGATTTGTAAGCTGTCACAGAATTTTTATTTGTAAACATATTGTATTGATTTTTTCATTGTTTATTAAGGACATATTTTCATATATGTCTCTTGTAAAATCATATACGCAAATTAAAAGATGTGAACAGTAGAGCCGCAGTCCACGAACTTTTTGAACAGCCCTCGTATAAACTACAAGTATGGGTAATGAAAAAAAATCTACAAAACTGCAAAGTTTGTTTTCTAATCTTAAAAATAAGGATAATGATAAAAAATGCACGACTTCCTACCCACTTACCCTTCCTTCACTCTCATTATCTGCCTGTGGAAGGGATTTTGTTAAAGGAGTAAAGCGTTGAATTTTTCATTTTAAAACAACTTATTAACACAAAGATTATGTAAGCTTAAAGACAATATATATAAATGATAACCTGTTACAACTAAAAGCTAACAAACTGACTCACTTAGAGCTTATACTGACCTAACATGCTTGAAAATCAAGATATTTTCATGGGGGACCAAATTTTCATGAAATCAACATTTCAGACAAATTTACCAGGTTAAATATCCACAAATTTCAATTTCCGCGCTTTTAAAATTATATGTTCCTTAGATATTTAGAGAAAACTTATTTTCAAGAAATTCTTCAATTCCCAAAATAAGCAAATTAAATACATCATGAATATTGTTGTTTAATATATCCTTGTGGACACTTAAGCTTATAATGCTGTGCTTTTGTCTTATCCCAAAGAGCTTAGGCTTTTTTTGAGCTTGAGCTTTTTTCATATCCCCAAGAGTTTGGGCTTTTTTATATCCCCAAGAGCTTGAGCTTTTTTCATATCCTCAAGAGTTTGGGCTTTCTTTATATCCTCAAAAGCTGGGGCTTTTTGAAATTTAGCTGTTATATCAAACAATAAAGTTTCAAGTAAATTTACAAAGAAAAATAATTCTAGGTCCCGAGTTCTGTTACTGTAATGTCTAAAGAGTATTTCATATTCACCCAAAGTAAAAATGTTGTAAATGATCCCGAAAATACCCCCTGTAGGCAACTTTCAAGCACATCTAGATTTGCTATTCAAATAGTCAATATAAACTCAGTTAAGCGCATTTCAACATCCAAAAAAAACAACATCAATACAAAAAAACACAATAATACTTTTTTTCTTAACAAAAAAAAATAATGTAGACAAATAACAGTAACTCTGTAATAAACTATATCATACAACTTTTCCTGATACATTCGCTTCGGACTTTTTTATCATCAAAGCCTGGCAATATCATGATTAAAATACTGAATTAATATAATTGTGTAAAAAATATACAGTCAAACCTTTCCATAAAGGCCACTCTTGGAGAGAAAAAATATTGGTTGTCTGTCTCTTAGGCTTATGCCAGCATACCAGCATTCAAATTAAAGATTAAATGATGGCTTTTAGAAACATATTTTGTGTTTTTTAGTCTTTATTTTGAAGGTGTTACTACATTTCACAGGATGGACTGTACATGTGTAATTAGAGACTGCTCATTTACAATATATATGGACTATATAGACAGGTCTGATTGTATCAACCAATTTAAAGGTTAACTATCCTAACAATATGTCTGCAAACAAAAGTTTAGGTAAGCAATCAATCATTTAAATGTAGACAGAAATTAAGATTTCCTTAGAACTCTTTTTGAGAATTTGTCAGAAGATACACTTAATTTATTTAGATGTACATTGTGAATTACATTGTACATGTATATATCTAAAATATTCAAAAATGCACTTAATTTGTTTCTGCTGAATAATGACCAAAAATATAAAAAATAAATAAAAAAAAGTGTATCTCTGACCACCTCCTGTATATTAGTTTAAAAACTCAATTTCTGTCTCGACTTATTACATTATTAAAATAAGTGACTGTTAAGTTTTCAATGGTTACACTTCTTTATTTTTTTTTTCTTGCCTTAAGTGAATTGTATGAAATTCAAAATCTTCTTGCCTAGTGAATTGTATGAAATTTAATATTAATACATCAGGCCCCGACATTTTTAAATGGAAATCAAATTAACAATTTCCTGTAAATGATGATACTCAAAAGAAAGACTTGAACTAATTCAGTTGATGGTTAAGTATTGAAATTTTATTTCAAATAAAAAAATAAAAAATAATTCTCGCTCATAACCCACACACAATGCAACAACCTCTCAATTATACAAACAATAATTCAATTCTTCATTGAAAGATGTCCATTCTGTAGAGGTTTGACTGTAATTAGAAATGTAACCATTGTTTTGTTGCCGTTATTTGCTATTTTTAGTTCTTACCGCTCTTCTCAGGGCTCTCTGTGGTAACCATTAGCAACCAGACAGTTAGTTGTTATAGCAAGAAGGGTCAAAATATAGTACAAGGTCGAAGGTCGATGTTTAAGTTGGTGAAAATGAAAACACATTATGTTAGCAAAAACAATTCAAACACAAAATTAAGCATAAATTTAACTGAACAAAAAGCAAAAGAAATTGTTTTTACTTAAAAGCTGGTGATAATTAAAACAGCAGATTGTGTTTTAAGCATAATTATTGATGCAGCTGAAAAATGTTTATCCGAAAGCTGTGACAGTTATATGTATGTTTACAGTTGAACCACAAATTTATTAGAATATATAAGTCTTATTATAACAACACAATAAGTACACTTAAAAAGCATGTAAATTTATTGTTGAATTGAATAATATAAATTTCACAAAATTGTAATCTTTTATAAAAATTTTAATATATTAGAAATTATGTTAATTTAATTAACCAATATTGTTACTATTTTGTATGTTTATAGCCGCGCTGTCATAGCTCAATGTCTATTTATAGAATAAATTATGACAGAGCTGCAATAAACACCATTCTACATGTATATCGAGTTTATAAAGAGCTCTATAAATAATATTGATTTATATGATTCTATATTTAATCATAAATGCTCCATCACCATTCTACATGTAAATATATAAAGTTATTGTACTCATTCACCTCAAGATAGCACAAAGGGTATACAATTTAGCACTAGATAATTGTGGTTAATATAAAAAACACATGCATTTCTCAATGTCAAGTATAGTGTTTTTGTTTTTATCCTTAAAAGTTTGAATTGTAAATCTGTTATTCTTTCTTTGTATCAGTATGCTTTTTCTCATTCTTTTTTTTTCCAGTGATAACAATTTTCAAAGTGTACTTTTTGGACCAAATGTCCCTGAGATAAAATTTACTACTTTTTTAACAATGTGTATTGAACAAAGTTTTTGTTACAGTATTTTGTTGGATTAAAAGAGAATTCAAGAATGTTTGCGAAGACATGTAAATTCAAGGTCATATTAATTATTGGTCCAAAAGCAATATTGTAATAAAACATAGACAAAAATGTCATAAATGTGTTGAAATTAATCAGGAATGTTTTCCCTAATTGAAGATTCTAAGTTCAAAGTATATTTTATCGTCTGAAATTTACTCAAAATCAAAACATAACCTCTAAACCAAAATAATTCTAAAAAGAAAATCTCTAACCCAAAGCCATCTATAAATATATCAATCTATGCCACATCCTTGTGACACATGAAACCAATGTGTATGGTTACCAAAAATCATTCAAACAAAAGTGACAAATCAGTCTTTTCCCAGTGCTCAGATAGTTGTATTTAAGTCTGTGCCATAAATTAAACCCATGCCATAAATTTTGAAAGACCAAATTTTCCTCAAAACAAAACCTCATGCATATACTTTGTGTAATATATGTGTAATTTAAACAAATAATCACAAAACCAAAATCTAGATTATATTAAAAGTGCAGATATATTGCATCCCACAAAAAAAATAAAAAAATCATATAAGTGATTGCCCTCACATTTGTATTTGCAAAGTCAAACTGAAAATAGCAGTTATAATAATCTCGTTATAGTCATCTTAAAATTGAAAATACTGAAAGCATTGTAAAAAGGCAACTTTGAAGTGTTAGGACTGATAAAACGTTCGGAAAACTTGTGACATCCAAAATTATAACACAAAATTTTTATCACCGTAATGCTTTTGCCTAAATTATTTCAACACACATAATTTTTTCAATCTTGAAAATTTGACAGACACAAAATTGGAGCATCAATAACATACTTTTTATCAAATATAGAAAGCCTATATCAAAAGATATGAGATTTTGTTTGCTTTTTTTAACCATAATCTCCAGAAGGAAGCAATTTGGAAAGATTGAAAAAAAAAACGAAAAAAAAACAAAAAAACTTTTAGCATATCCTTTTATTAAATGATTAAGTCAGAATCCATAACTGAGTTAAATAAATATAATTTCAGTGATATAGGTTGACAGCGGCAGCCATTTTGTGCTAAAAAAAGACCGACATTGATAAACAAGTTCGACTCTGAGTGTCACAGAGACTCAAAAAGCATTTCCATATATATTGCACAACAACAACAAACTTGTGGCACACCAATAAACAACACTGAACTTGGTGTTACGGCTGAGAATTCTTAAGAACATTTAAAATTAAACAACAAATATATATATATAGATGGATCTTCACAAGTTGTGACAAGTGATTTAAACAGAGATCTTACCCTACAGTATGAGTATTAATAAGAAAAAATATTTTTATTTTATTATCATAATGTACTGAATGGCTGAAATTCCATTTAAGCTGCATTTGATTTGTATATACATTTATTTGAAGCTTATTTACACAAGATAGTTCTCATATTGAAGACTAAAGCTGTTATATTTCTGTATTTAAACCACATACAAATCAAGGGTTGAACGCAAAACTGCAGTACCTTATATGAAATAAAGGACTTACAACAGTTTTGCGATCAACTTTTAAAATATGAATGAATTTTTGTCAAGCAGGATCTGACTTCATTGAAATATCAGAAATTTTTTTTGACAGCATCCAAAAAATTTTTTACATGTTAAATTCTGCTTAGAATTTCGGATTTGATAATTCTGATATAGACCAACTGATAAAATCAGGCAGTCAACAGTGTAAACCATGGTTAGATTTCATGTGGCAGACTGGCCTATTTTATTGCCAACAAAAAATATTAGTTTCAGAAATTCTAATGTGTTGTATTGTTTGTATGTGTTTTAAACATAGATATTACATAAGCTGCAAAAAGCTCAATGATAATAAAATATATACAGGAAAAATTTAGCATGATTATATAATATGTATGGCTAAATGAAGAAATATATGGAAAAGTATTACTAGCTAATATATGGTATGGTTCTAACCTTGATGAAAAAAAAAAAAAATGAAATCTTCAACATAATTTCAGAGTATTTCTCAATTTTATTCAAAGCACAAGTGAGAAAGATCGTTTGCCATAGTTGTGTGTTTAGTTTACCCTCCCCACCATAAATATCACCATATGAGCGTGCAATATTCACCATAGAGATTATAGGTTTACATAAAATAAGACCTTCCTAATTATTGTATTCACTTGCTAATACAGTCGACTCTCGTTATCTCGAAGTCATCGGCACCGTCCAAAAAGTATCGAGATAACGAAATGTCGAGATAAACATATTAGGGATTGTATAAGGCAGAAACTGATTTTTACAAAAGACATGTGCATACCTTATGTCAAATAAACTATGATATCCCTATGTCTTGTTTTCATAGGCCTAATCAATATTTAACAAAGTAACATTAGCGGATGTTTACCAGTGGAAATACGGGTGTCAGTGATAAAAACACATAGTGAGGTTTACTCAGTAATACACCAATATAGTGAAAACATTGTTTCAGGGTGCTTTATCCGGATATTCTTCCAGGTTATTTATCGTATATTTCTCGAGATTGTTCGACCGCTGATTGATTTGGTGGTGATGTTGTGAAACAATATTGCAACGAAAGCGTTTCTATACTTTCACTATTTTATTGCCAACAAAAAATTAGTAGTTTCAGAAAATTCTAATGTGTTGTATTGTTTGTATGTGTTTTAAACATAGATATTACATAAGCTGCAAAAAGCTCAATGATAATAAAATATATACAGGAAAAATTTAGCATGATTATATAGTATGTATGGCTAAATGAAGAAATATATGGAAAAGTATTACTAGCTAATATATGGTATGGTTCTAACCTTGATGAAAAAAAAAAATGAAATCTTCAACATAATTTCAGAGTATTTCTCAATTTTATTCAAAGCACAATTGAGAAAGATCGTTTGCCATAGTTGTGTGTTTAGTTTACCCTCCCCACCATAAATATCACCATATGAGCGTGCAATATTCACCATAGAGATTATGGTAAGGTTTACATAAAATAAGACTTTCCTAATTATTGTATTCACTTGCTAATATATAAGAAAAATATATATCCCTTCAAGCTAATCATGAAAGAACATAAAAAAATATGAAGTGTCAACTGAAAGCAATCAAAGCAGATTTAATTGTAACTCTTGAAAATTAGGACTCCCTTTCATAGGTGGTCCGTCTTATAGTATACGCAAGTAAATAATGTTCCCAACAAATTGATATGCTTATATAATCTGAAATAAAAATCTATGTTTCTTATTTTATACACACATGATCATTGCTCTAGTTTATATAGTAAATGTACAAAGGTTAGCCAGACTAGCATTAGTATTCAAACTTTGATTGGTAAAGGGCATAGGAAGAGCCAGATTATGTTGATAAATATATGGAAACATGCAATATACCTCTTTTGGCATGAATGGTGTGAAGAAACACTCCAGTAATTTGAGGAAACTGAAGACCAGGTTACAATCTACGGTTCCCACTATCTCACGGACATTGTGTCGCACAAAATCAATGGCAGGCTGAAAATGATAAACATAAATAGCATTTTCAAATGAAATATTCCTCCTTATAAAGCTATATTATATCTTGCTTTGTAAACAGGGTGGCTGATAGAAAGAGCAATAATAAGCCAATAAATAATTTTCTAGCATTTCTAATAAATTCAATATTTAGTAACACAAAACAGTTAAGTTAAGCTGTAACAGATTAGATTAAAATAAAAGTACTTCAAATACCATAAATAAAATATTGTTGAAAATTTTTATAATATATTGTCAAATATTCTATATACCTTTAAAATATTTAAATTATGCATAGAATTTTTACACAATTATTGTACAATTATTCTGTTTCGTCTGCAAGCAATAAATAATAACTTTTCTCGCTTAACAAACATACCTCCATGAATTTGTCGAATAATTCCTGTAATTTTTCTTTATATTGATAGATATTTTCAGGAATGGTTCTCAGCCAGCATTCTACAAATGGTGGCAGTCCGATATAGCTAGGTTCCAGGTATACCATACCACATCTGCTCACTGTGGCAGGGGAGGCTACTGCTAAATCAGCTACTTCAAACATCATCGTCATGTGCTACACAAAATATAAAGAAAGATTTAAAATAATACTATTCATAATAAGGGTGATAGCTTATCCACAATCGTTGCACTTATTCACAATTATTGCAATACTTTATTAAAATAGTGGCAATAGCTTATTCACAATTATTTACAAATATTACACTTATTCACAATTATAGTGATGCTTTATTAACAATAGTGGCAATAGCTTATTCACAATTATTGCAATTATTAACAAATATTGCACTTATTCATAATTATAGTGATACTTTATTAACAATTACTGCTTTAGCTTATTCACAATTATTGCACTTGTTCACAATTATTGTGATAGTTATTAACAATAACTGCAATAGGTTATACACAATTATTGCAATAGTTCATTCAATCTTTAAAACAGTAAATATCTCCTTTTAAAGAAATTGTTCCAATCTGCAATATATAATTTCATCTAAAGAAGCCTATAAAAACTTGAAGAAATAACTTGTTAATTTTTATGAAAAAAAAACAAACCAAAACTCAGTAACAACAAACAAAAATTAGAATAATATTGTAACAATCACTTATAAAGACAAAAAAAAACCAAAACATCCTATGAAAAGACAAACTTAAAAAGGCACATCATTCCTAATCAAAATTACAAAAAGAAGGACTTCTATTTACATCAGTAAGCTTGATGATTTCTCCACTGCTGAGACACAACTTCTTATTGTCATCAAGTACTGTGTTCATGTTCTCGATCCAGACGGCATCTACAGGGCCGTCAAACACGTACCAACGCTTGTCCTCATTTGTTGCTGATGAACCGCCACGAATGAGGGTTGACAGAATACCATCAGTCCTGCATGATAAAAACCATGTTGTAGAAAATACACATTTTTTTGTATAATATCAGTATTTTCTAAACAATTTTTACGACCTGATAAGCATCAGTCCAATACATAAACTCCATAATTGCCAATGTGGGCTATTCCCATCTCCTCCAGAGTACAAACAAACTTTTACAATAACAAGTTGGTTTATATATCTATAATAAGGGCAACACACTCATTGAGCTTTTGTGTGAGGTAGTGCACTACAAAGCTTGAATGGTAAAAATTTGTTTATACCCCCTGGATTGGATAGGGAAAACTGACATTTGCAGATATCTTTATAACATCTTTGTTAACTCTAATAAACAATAACTTTACTAAAGTTATGGGGGCACAGTTACAATTAAGTTTTAAATTTGACAAATTTTTGACACAATTATTTTGAAAGAAAACAAAAAACAATTAAGAATGGGTCCATTTATCAAGCTTGCTAATAAATTTTGTTAAATCTGTGCATTATATATATGTGCATATATATCTTAATAGCATTGAAAAAACACCTGAGTAGTTAATACAAACCATTCATGGGTAAGGGCATCAAACTCTCCGTATAGCTGACCCATGGTGATAGATTTCGGGTTAAGAACATATGAATGTGTAGGTGTGAACGTGAAACCTGCAGGTGACAACTGGCCTGCAAGGGCTGTCTGTGCCATTTTCAATGTCTCGTAGCACTGAAAATTATCAACAAAAAGAATGATAAACCATTACCCAATAGTACTTTGATATATCATTTTAATAAGGTCTTGCTTATCAAATTTAAAATAGCCTGAAAAATGCAAGCCAAACAATACCTCATTTCTTTTCCACAGGTTTGAATAATTAAACCTATAGAATGAAACTAGCTGGATAGATTTGTTTTGTTAACAAACTTATTAAAGAATCCTTTTTAAATGGAAAGATTTATCATTGCTATAAAAAACAAATATGTTTCATATGTATTGGAATAAAATATTGGTAAAAAGATTTAAACTGTTGAGATCAAAAATTTCTAGCATACCTTTGTTTTACCAGATCCGGTTGGACCAACCAACATAAGACCGTGACGTACCACTGTGGTTTCAAACAACTGTATACACTTGTTGATAAAACCTGAATAAGAAAATATGTTATAAATTACTGTATAGATATATATGACTGTGTCCTTTCATCAAGTTTTGAACTTGTGTTTTACACTAAACTCAATCATTTAAGCAAGAAATTTAAGTCATGCAACTCAGATCTCTAAAACAATGCTTGCTAGTAATGTAAAACTCATCCTTAAAACTAGACTACATGTGTATTAAAAAAAACTTTTTCTGCTTATACATATAAAGCAAAAAAAGCAGATTATAATATATCAATTTCTCTTGGGCATCTATAACTCCCCTTATGGCAGCTGCCAAAATGACAAGGCAGAGTTATTATCACCCTTTCATGTACCTAAATACACCTGGATTAAGTCAAACAATTGTCAGTGTCCATAAAAGGACTTGACCATTCCACCAAACCCCTGCTTCTAACATTGACATAGTACAAACCTTCAACATCCTTGATTCCCAGTTTTGGACAAGATTTTCTCAAGTATTCATCCAGAGTACCATAATCTATAGGCTGCTCCCTGTAAATAAATTCAAACATTAGTGTCATAGCCCACATAAGTGAAACAGTGTAAAAAGCATATCTGTGCCTTAAGACCAAAAGTACTATCTATATGATTGAAAGCACAATATAATAAGCATATTTCATTTCGAGAAGTATCCCAACTTTATTTACAAATAAAGTTCCTCATATAATCTACTAGCATCCAAGCCTGCAAACTAACCATTATTTTTAAATGTGGTTTTTACAATCAAAATGGTAGAAACTTTAGATTATTATAAGTACTCAAATGTATATGTTTATAAGACCATGTATGTTATATCTGTTTCAAGAAGTAAAGAGACACAATCCATATAAGTAAACATTTGATGGAAAAAATTTGTAAATGATATTAAAAACTTACTTGATGTTGGGGAAGAGATCTGACACAATACCATTAAACAGTTTCAAGTCATCAACCAAGAACTTGGGTACATTGACATCTCTAATGGCTCTCAGGGCAATCAGTTCCTGTAAATAGAAATCAAAATAGTTTAAGGTAATATAAAATGCAAGCTCAATTATTCAAATCATTATAAAGTAAGAAAAATCTTTTTGTCAAAACCATCAACAGGTTACATTTGCATGTAAATAATATTATGCTGCTTTAACTTTCTATTGTTCCAGTATGGGATTCTGAAATACTGCATAAAAACTTTGATCAGCAAACTGATTAATACACTATATTTGTAGTCCATGCTTAACAAGGGTTCATCCGCCTATTTAGGCACAAAATGCAGCTTTCACTGTTAAGTTAACAGACCCTGGGCATGTCACAAGTCATCCCCTTAAAGGGTTAATTTTGAAGCACACATTCAGTTTCCATTGCAATCAGACACTAGCTTTATACTATCTATCTGTGTTGTCCAATCATGGTCTACGTACTTAGCTATAAAAATTTGCTGTACATATTTTGTGACCTTTCCTAAAAACTATGAATGATTTAATCTCGTTTGAAAGATAGACAAGTTCATTTAACCTTTCAGGTGTGGTAAGGTTTAAACATGGAGCAGAATATTGTTTACCTCATCCATGTCAAAGTACTGTCTCTTGAGGTTACCGGCAGCAGAGATTACAGATTTTACTGCTCTCATACCAAAATCATAATGGTCCTGTAATATAAACAATTATTATATACTTATAAATGAAATATTAAGAAATATGGATGAAATAAAAAGCGTATTATTATATTTTTTCTGTATTTTTACTGGTGTCTTGCCAAAATACTTTATTCTAAATTCAGGCAACACAAAAAATTAACTGGTCAGCCTTTCAAATTGTAAAGTCAAAAAGAGAAAAGGTATATAATAAACAGAAAATTCAAGTTTTATACATACAAGATATATTTTCAATTACAGACATTTTACAAGACGCATCAATATCAAATGATGTACAAAAACATAGGTTGAAAAGGGCAGAAATATAAATATTTATTTATATAAGGGAGATAATAAGCATCTGTATATTACCTGAGAACTGAGCTGTTCTGAAGACAGTTTGAAGGTAGAGACAATCTTCTTTGCAAGTTGTTTGGCTTCAGAGAAACCAAAAGAGAACAAACTGATTTCAGCAATCAGTGCATAGTCCGGTACCATCATAGCTACTGGTCGAAACAAAGCCTGGAACCAAAATAAAAACAATATTTTAAGAAACATAAATCTTTTTCTCAAAATAGCACTCATTTTCCGAAAAAAATTATTGAAATGTTTTCCTTTTCCCCCCCAACAAAAATTAGAATTTTGTAAGATTATCTACTTTAAGATACATGTATATGCAACACCATACTAATCAAATAATGTTCAAATGATTGTAATTTTCTATGCATGATATAATGTAACTTTAACTACAAGAATACTATGCCATATAATGTACCATTTCTTAATCAAATACATAAAATTTAAATATTACAAATAAAAATATATATTTATCACTGTCTGGTTCGCTCAATACATCGAGCATTGGACTGTGAATCGAGCCATCCTGGTCATGCAGGTCACTTTGTGATTTATCATGAAATCCTTTCTACAGTCTTCAAACTGTACCTCTGCTTTGGTATGTACAGAAGTTTTAGTTCCTTGCCAAAGTGAAGGCAACTAATACTGGTGAACGGCTTGACAGCCTGCCCAGAACTGATGCAGTGGCTGGACTGTATTCTGGTAAATTCAATGTGGCATTACAGCCATGATCCGGAGTGAAAAAATATATATAACAGATATTTTACCTTAAGATTGTCAGGAAGCTCAGTTCTACCAGCATAACCAGGGTTCATTGTGATAAACACAGAGCAAGATGCCTTCAATGGAAGCTCCACCCCTTCAAACACAAATCTGTCCACCTGTATAACATGGACAAAGCATATAATATTAAACAATATTTCCTATAAATAAAATAATTTAGGCATTTTAAAACACATTAACTGAATAATGTTTTTCATTTATGCATCACCAAATCTACAAAGTAAGAAAAAGTGCATGTATGTCACAAGAGTTCCAATTCATTTATCATTTTTTATTTATTTATTTAATTTTCACAATTTTTCAAATTTTCTTGCCTATTTTTACTATTATATTTTATTCCTAAATATACTCAAAACATGTTAAAGTAAATGCTTTTATGTGTTTATGAATTCATCTTAAGCAGAAATGATTACTACAAATGTTCTTTACGAAATATTCTTTAGACCAATGAGGACAAAATACATGTACATTGTATACTAGCAATCATTTTATATGTTCATAACAAAGTAATGTACGGAATTCATACATGTATCTCTAATAGATTAAATGATAAGCATTTAACTTAATAAAGTTTTCAAGAACAATGTACAAATTTGATAACACTAAAACTTTACAATGTAATTAACACAATAATGTAGGATACAAAGAAGAATTCTTTTTACTAATTCAATAAATAACAGTTAAGAAAGTAGAAATATTATCATAAAAATTCTGAACAAATAAACGATAAACACTATAAAAACAAATTACATTGACACAAAAACATCACAAAACTACTGAAAGCAATATAATTTTCAACATTATAATATACTTTGGCTTTTTGGGCCCTTGTAATAGTCATGATCTGCATAGCCACTACAGACAATACTTCAATATCTATACGGTTGAACTCGTCAAAACAGGCCCATGCTCCTGAGCTAAATATAGTAACAACATCTGGTATTATTCATTAAAATGAAATATAACTTTTTAAATAAGGAAAACAAAAAAGAGGTCTGGGGAGGATGGGGGTGGGGTAAAATGGGGGATTGGGGAGAGGAAATTGAAGGGGGTGTGATTGGGACTGAAGAGAGGAGCTTTTTCTTTTCAAAAGTGAATTTATTTAATTTATTTAAATTTAGCCAAATGGGTAGATTTTTGAAATATTGGTTTACTTGAGAAAAAACAAGGAACCATGATACTGTGACTATATAAATGAAAGATATGATATGTCATTCTAAAAGATTGATAGGATAGAGTGACATGCATTTATTGAAATTGTTAAACAAACAAGTTAATATTAAAAGTATATTTTCCAATCAGATATTGTTGCTATGACCAGTTTCATTATCAATGAATACCAATTATGGGAAAGGGAATATAAATTCTTAAGTAAAGGTGATAAGTCTTAACAGATGTCTTCAAACGTTTTTGGACTACTCCGTTGAAAACACTTCCTCTTTTGAACAAAAAATTAATTTCAATTTATCATAAACAAGGTGTATGTTTGTATTTTAAACCTGGCTTGTCTTCTATAATTAACTATTATAAGTTTGTCCTGGAAGCTGGTATGTCTACCAAAATATTAACTTGATCATGGTTGTCTACCACATTTCTTCACTTAAGGGCACTCGATATAAACTAAAGAACAGCAAAGAAAGCCCTCTTTAAGAAAAAAAAAAAAAAATGAAGCTAAAGAAGGTCAGTGCAGAGATAAATACAAGGTGCATTGGTTAGATTATATAGGCTATGACAAAAGAAATTGTTAAGATACAACATTCACAGTGACTATAAGCTACAAGAGGCACACACATCATGCTAGAGTTATCTCACCCTCTGTTGTTGAGCTTTCTGAATAGTGGTAATCTGTTGGGCTACCACTGACAATACTTCAATATCTATACGATTGAACTCGTCAAAACAAGCCCATGCTCCGGCACTATAAACCAAACATTAAACTGAATAAAAATTAGGCACTACAAAATCACTGAAAAATCTGATTTTCTGAAATTAAATTACTATCAAAATTCGCAAACTTTGTTGATGCAATAATAACCAGGCTGATCAACAAAATATATCATGTACTGATTATGATAATGCAAATCAATTTTGTGTTATTTCATTGGCTGATAACACTCTGTTTTTAAATTTGCATATAAAATCAACAATTCTTTCCCCTAAAGCTCCTAAAAATCCTTCAGTATACTAGTAGTATGTATTCATAGAAATAAACGGCAGACATCCATCATTGTCATCCTTTAAGAAATGTCAAAAATATATTAGTAGAACCAATGACCTGTTTGAAAAAATCAAATTGCATATTCATGACTTTTCAGCTCTAAAAGTCACTTAGATTCATGCTTTTTCTTGTGACAAATGAATTATAAACACTATTTATAAAATATCTAAAGATCAAGAACTCACTTCATACTTGTACAATGATAGGAGATATACATACCTAGCAAGACCTTTGAAGAACTTGCCCATAGCCATGAAATCTAGCTGGTCAGAACAGTTGAAAACCACACACTGAATGGCCATAGCCTTTGCTAAATCCTGTAAGGGTAAGTTAAATGTCAGTAATATTATCAGATATTAGTTCACCAAATAAGGACATGAATATTTTGGTTCTTAAAATTAACAAACCTTTAATTTAATAAATGTACAGGAGAATTTTTCTCTAAGCAACAAAACAATGTTAACGTGAAATGATAAAAGTAAGAAGACAAAATTTGAGACTGGTCTATTAACTGCGCAAATGTTCAGACGGAGCTAGCGGGCCAAGCTTTATACATGAGATATATATGCATAAATGTACCTTTGTTGTTTCTGTCTTTCCTGTTCCAGCAGGCCCTGCTGGAGCCCCTCCGAACTTCAGATGCAGGGCACCAGTAAGTGTAAGATAACATCTGTCAGTGAGTGGTGTAATAACAAGTCTCATTGTGTTACCAAGGTACTCATAGCCGTACGGAAACTCTGCATTTACAGCGCGAATATACAAATTTTCATCATGCCAGTAGTATCTGAAAAAATTTTTTTATGATAAAAGCCTTATTTTGAGTTGATGTTTATTCCGCCCTATCTGAAATGAACTTGTCCATCTTTCATTTTGGAAAAAAACATTCATCATTTTTAAGGAAATTTCTGTATAAATATTGATTGAACAATGAAACAGGCACATGGTTATTAGACTGCACCACTTGGTCTGCACTGGTCGCATGGGGCGATAGTTACTGTCAGCAAGCTTAAAGCTGGCAATTGATGCAACATGCAAAAATCATCCCCAAGCTTTGTGACTTGAACTTTGTACTGTGTGATGCATAGCACATATCTTTACTAAATTTAAGCAGAATCAAAATACAACAACAGTTAAAAATCTCAACTAACATGTGTCTAAATTCATTTAAAGAAACAACTATCGAAACAGGTTTACATTAACATTTTTTTGTTACCTGAAACACTATACTTCTACATTATTTACACTGAAACACAATATTTCTATGTTAATTGAACTCAAATACACCACCTTTTTCTTTCATAACACTAAATACTACATTTTTTTTAAACACAATAGGTCATGCTGATTAAAACAACGCCTTCTCGCTGAATAATTTCATCATCCATACCTCAGTTGACTGATCCATTCAAAGTCATTGACGTTTTCTACGTTATTATCCAACATGTTAATGATCACATCTCTGGCGTGCACTTCTATCACAATCAAAGCTGATAATGTCATACGTCCAATCTTGGATATTTTCTGATTCACAAGTTCTCTTAAGTCATTAAGCTGTGGTAAAATCTCCTCCTTGAAATATTCAGGTAGAGCTTTCTTTTCAAGGGCTTGCGTTACATGTTTTGCCCAATATACTCCACAGCCTGCCAATACCACCTGACCTGGCCATTTCAACACCCATTCTGTTCTAGGTACCTAGAAAAATATACAAGTTTACCATAGAACCTTTTCTTTGTTAAAAATATATAAATCAGATATATTTAGAATATTCTAGGCTTGACTGATGATACCTGTAACTGGTTGCAGTTCAGATCAGAATATCCTTCCCATATGCCTTAGAACTAGACATATAATATCTGTCATTTGTTGCAGTTCGGATCCCGACAGGACCCACCCATTGGGCGGGAATGAAGCTTGCCTATAAATTCTGCCAAAATCAATAATACTGCACTGAATATGAATGGTCAAAAATTAATCAGAGGATAAATTGTGCTATGAAAGCCAAATAACATTCAAGGAAGCTAAGAAAGTATGAAATAAAACCAACATACCTTTTCATAGTCTACTATACTCTCCATGATGATGATTCTAAGACTGTCTTTCATACAGTTCTCAATCTCCAACATCCAGTCCTCCACATTGCCTGTTGGATACAACTTCTTACCACGGAACTCAACTTCCTCACCTTCACCGGAGTACATACGTGTAATCTGTAAATCATCCTCAAAACGAAGCTGTAAAGATATTCATTGTATATTTATATTATGAGAAATATCATATATATCTTGTTTATACAGTACTAGTTTAAAAGAAATTGTTTTAATTTGATTTTGTTGGAAGCTATAAGCTTATTGAGACACACTTGAATCCATTCATGGAACCAATCAATACTAACCAATGAGTGTAAAGTTTCTTCAATGGCTTGCCCCTGACAGGGTATGAAACCAAGCAGCCAGCAATCATTGGATTCCTAGTTTGACATGTTAAACACTTGGCCATTCCGCCACTTACTGAGTTTTAATGATAATTGTCAAAAACTTTTTACTTTTGATAACATCAGAGGCCTAAAAATAAGCGCCACAACAAGAACAATCATACAAATCTTAGATAAAATGCGTATGTGTTCTGAAATAACCCTAATTTTTAGTATATACTCTAAAAAAAATTTCCAACCATGATGCAAACACTGTGTAATTTCTGTCATACAATAGACATTCAGATTAGACATGTCATAGACACAATTCATATCTTTCTTTTGCAGTAAAATAAAATTTAAAGAAATAACTTACCCTGGCAATATTCTCGAAGCACTTTCTAAGATGAGGCTGTACAGCTGTTGGATCCTTGGTCTGTGAGAGAATCTCGAGCAATTCATCGTCAGACAGGAAGTAAAATCTTGGGAAGGCATTACGTTTCGTCTCCAGGTACTCACTAAGACCTTTCTGCACTTGTTCCAACAATTTGTTGCATTCCTTCAGGTTGTCAAGGAGACGGCTGTCTGGACAAAGGGAGATAACCTGTAAACAGAGAAGCAAATTAGGAAATACAGGGGAAGTAATTTGAAACATAATGTTAAACAAAAGACTGGGAATGTGAAAACAAGATGCTATTCATAATATAATTATTAAGACAACTACCTGTATTGTTAAGATCATTCAAAAAATCTTTTATAATGTTAAAGCATTTAAATGTAAACAATGTACAGTAAAAACCCGCTTTACGACCACCCCGTTTTTGAGACCAACCCGCTAATACGAACGATTTTTTAAAGACCCGAATTTTTTATTCTTTATTTTAATGGTCGCTAACCCCGATTTTGAGACCACCCCGTTATTCCGTAATGCGACCAGTAAATTCAGTCCCATTTCGTAAATTCTGTACATTTGGAAACCCATAAATACGACCGCGGGCACTTTCTCACCTTGATATTGACATGCGTGTATATTGCTGAAATCTTTTTGACACGTGATGTAAACAACAGTTGTCCTAATTTTACGACATTTAACGACATCCAGTTTACGGCAGAGGTCAAGGTTACTTTGTATCAAACCCGGAAATGATCAATAATATTGTCGATAATTTCTTAATTTCACACCTTTAATGTCATAACTGGGGGGATTAAAACAACAAAGTATTGAACAGAAAACTTTCAATACGTTTTTTAGAGGTGTTGCTGCTATCATTATCTCTTTCGTTCCATAATTTTAAACAAATACGATTAGGTTTTGAAGTTGTTATCGGCGATGAAAACTGTGAAAATAATTAAAGGTTTATTGTTCGGTGTGCTTTGTAGTAAAATGGTGATTTAATAGAGTAAGTCGTGTCATTCTTTTAACAAGAATGTACAAATATGTTTGTGTTTAAAGACATTCATAATACATTTTGTATCTCTAAAGAAGTTTAAAAATTTTATAATGTTAAAAAGTAAAAGAAAATAAATGAAAATAAAAAAATAATAGTGTATGCTTTATATCTTCTCATTTGAAATAGGTTAGCCCAGAATTAAACATGTGTACAGTATATGGTATCCCTTAATATATTGCCTAGTTTTCTGTTTGGCCAAACTCATTAATGAGACCAACCCGCTTTTAAGACCAGATTTGTAAAGTCCCTTCATTGGTCTCATTAGCGAGTTTTTACTGTATTACAGATGAAAATTTCAGCAAAATTTGTCTGCAAGCTATTACCTGCAGGTTTAAAGCATGTAAACTTACAACCAATTCTTGATTCAGCAAAAGAACTTTAAAATGATGGCATAAAAATACAAATGCACAGTCAAACCAGTTTGCAACCCCCTTCATATAAAGGTCATCATGTGAACAATGGCCATTGTGAAGAAACCATTATTCATAATTTAGACCAAGACACCTCTGAATAAAGGCTATCTTTCAATAAAGGCCATTTTTGGGGGGCTTTTGTTCTAAAGTTTAATTTATTTTTATTGTAATCATGACCAGATAAGCCCAAATTTTATATCATTTAAAGTATACCTGTGGATTTTCCTTAGCATTCTTCATGATTTTCCTCCACATACGTTCCATGGTAGCATATCTCTTACTCTCTACTGGCAGCTGTCTGTTGATATCCTCCGAGCTAAAAATAGGCTCCAGGTACAACCACGCCCTCTGGCAGTTCAACCATTCATCAAGCACATCCTAAAGTAATATTATATATACAATGAATAATAATAATCTTAGAAATATCATATAAAAAGCAAAATGTTTCAGTTCAAACCAAAAAACTCAATATAAAACATAAACCTTAACAAATAAGGCAGTGTCTTATTTAAGTCTGGAAATATAACACTTTTTGTTATCTTAATACTCATTATAACAACTTAAATTCACAAGTGTAAGGGTATTCTGTTAATTCAAATAGACTCTGCCCATCTAAATATCTAAATTGACAGAAGTATTATACCTGTGTAGTTGTAAGTTTGTTTTCCCAGTTGTTGATTCGTTCCTCGAATGGTTTCTTGTATGGTGAGAACGACATACTCTGTGTCATGACAATGTGATCGTCAAGCAGCTGTGACGTATCCTCAGAGGAACGGAGAATGTAAGTGCCTGTCTCCTTGTATGCCATAATCTCAAACTGTACTGGATCCCATTCTTTCTCCATCTTATCAAGAGCCTGTTTAAATAATACAAAAATGTAATACAAGTTCCTATTCCTTTTACTTTTAATTGTAATTAAATTGTCTTGTGTGTTTTTTATGAGTCTTTTTTTAGTGTTTTGCCAACACTGATGTCACTCTTCAATTTTCAAGCTTTTTATTTGATAATGACACCACCTGATGTGTGTAGTCAAAAACAATTTTACAAAATTTGTATTTTGTTTTATTTCATTATTATATGGAACTGTATAATGATTAGGTTTCCTATATTCTGAATATGCATTAATTCCTTTCTCTACAAGTGGCAACTTCTCCAAATAAATATTTTAAAGCATGAGCTTGCATACTTCATGGCATACATTTAGTTTATAAAAATTAATTTTAGTTTCTGTCGGAAGCTATAAGCTTATTGAAACACTCTTGAAACCATTCCTGGAACCAACCAGTATTAACCAATGAATGTAAAGTTTCTTGCTGAAGGAAACAACAGCTTGCCCCTGATTGGGTCCAAAACCACTCAGCCAGCAATCCCTAGATTACAAGTTCTACATGTTAACCACTCAGCCATGCCGCCACTCATGGTACATATTTGCAAATTTACTACAACTTACTTTTTCTCCACGAACATTATTTAAATCACACAATGATACAAACATAGAGACAATCACACATGCATCAATATATCATGAAAACATCTTGGTTATCTTTAACTCTTGCTTAACAATTTCTGTGAGGGAAAGAAAATATTTTCCACTTTCTATGAGCGAAAGAAATTATACAAAGGACAAGTAATAACATACCTGTTCAATGGAGTATTCCTTGCCAGCTACCTCGGCAACCTTGGCAATTGTTTGAATGTGATCATTGAGGTTCATCTCCAGACATTTACTGAATGTCAAATTAGCCTTCGGTACAACAGAGAATCCAAGCTCGTTGGACAACTGAAATATAATGGTTTACTCATATACTTTTGCTTTCTTAAGTTATCAATAAAGAGACATTTTGACTGAAATAAAACTCACTGCCAAACTTTCAATATGAAAAAATATCTAATTATTTCAGGCATGAACGGGCACCTGTGTAGAACTACTGATGTTTCGTAAGCTAGTTAAATAGCTTCCTCACATGAAAGAATTCAAAGTCCCTGTTGAAATTTGAACCAACATTGGTGAGAGGCAAGTGGTTTGAAGCTATTAAGACCATAACCACTCAGCCACAGATGCCCCTGTATAAAGAGGTGTTACTGTAGCTATCAACAATTAACAATTAAGAAGGCCAGCTGTATTTTTTTAACTTACCTGGTCCCAATGTCTGCTCCTCATACCAGGATTACGTAGACCTTGGATGAGTGGAATAAACGGTTTGAACTCTTCAATCATGCCCTTGATCTCCTGTGCCACTTGTTGAACACCTGTTTATTAATAAAAATGTAAGATTCCTATAAATGCTAATCATTATTAAATCATAGCTAGGTATAAATATAGCATAAATTTCTTCAAGACCAACATGTCATGCTTCTGAAAGAATGTGCACTTGCCCAAAAGTTATCAATAAATAACAAAATCAGAGAGATGTTTCCTGATTTTGAAAATTTCTTGTTGAAAGTGAACGTGTTTAGTGACACTCGGACTGTCTGCACTCTGCACTGGTCACATAGGTAGAATCAGTTGCCATCATCGGGTTAAGGATTTAAATGCTCTACATTTTTCCAACTTATTTCTTTTTCATGCATTCTGAAAGTGAACTTTTTTAAAATACATAAAGTATATCTGAATCAATCTCAAATCTAAATTGCTACTTACTTGGAATATCATTAAAGACTTTAACAGACTTGTGCATTGTTTTGTAGGCTTCATTCACATTCTTCTCCAACTCCTCAGCATTTATCGAGGTCAATGGATCGTTCATCCACGACTCATGCCATCTCATCCAGTCAGATGTGGTGACCCAGAGGTTACGGAAAGGCTCAAAGTCCTTCACAAGCTTTCCCAGCTTGTCATACTAGAACAATAAACACCTTCATACAGCTCTACTCTATAACTTTGATAGTAGTTTGTCATAAAAGAAGCAAATCGTGCAATATAGTGTTCTAAAACTACACCAACTAGCAGCAACTTCAGATTAAATGTAAAAACAGTATTCTACCATAACAATGTGTCAAATTTCTATTGTGTTTGTCTGCAGTCTATTGTTAACCAGTAACCTGCTTAATTTATGTAATGGATTTTACTCAGCTTTCAATCTGGAAAGGTCCATTTAAAGTTTAATGGATTTCAGTTCTGAAATACAAGAATTGAGCTACCAACAGTATAGGGCCTGGTCAGACTACATGGATGTGCAAGGTAGCCAATCTCTAAACTGGTGGCAAAGGTTAATCACTTTTGGCTCCATCAGGTTGAGGGTAAATAAGGAAATATATGAGATTTGACAAGAAATTAGTAATATTCAAAATGTATATGGTAATAATAAACTTATAAAGTTTTGAATATATCTAAGCTTGTAATTCCAGATAGAAAAGAAAATTATTTACCCACAAACAAAAACAAGTGTCTGTCTCAATAAGTTTCATCTTTTGAAAATGAATTTTAATTTGAAGGTGACCAATTAAAAATATATCAAAGTTTTTCTTAGTACACTTCAATAACTAATCTAAGGAGTAATAGGCGCAACATTGACTTGTCTAATGCTTCTGAGGGATCACCCTTTTTTCTAGATTTTTGTCTAAGCCTTAAGTTAAGTAGATCCAGACTAGCCTGCACTTTCATGCTCTCTGATCATGCTCAAATATTGTTCATTGCTCAATCTTACCATTCTAAAACAGAAATCCCATACATTAACAATGGACTGTTATAGATTCAAAGCAGGGCAAGACCATTTTATAAATTTAGGTATGTAAATTTGTTACAAGAATCAGCTACACATAATCTTATAATAAAATGTATCATCATATTTCAAATCAAATACTGATCACTTCTGAAGTTGCTTAAAATGAAAAAAAGTGCAAGAAAATAAAAGAGTGCCATTGAAAAGACAGAATGTCCAGCTATCACAGCCATTTTGTGTGCCATTCTTCCTCACAGCTTCCAGTTCTGGTTAAAGTTAATTTCCCAGTAACAACTGTAGGAACGATTTTGGTGCTGGTTACCAGTATAGCATATTCTGTACTGGTTGCAGAAAAGATCCTAAAAAATTTGTAGCATATTTTCCAAAGCTTGTTGCAGAAAAGATCCCAGTAAAGTAAAGTTTATAGCATAAGTACTGATAGCAGGTAAAAATCCAGTACTGGTTATAATAAATATTCCAGTACTGGTTTTCAGATAGATTCCACTGATGGTTGTAGAAACTATTTGAGTATTTGCAATAGTAAAGAAATAGTGAAAGATATGTATAAACACTAGCAACACTTTATCAACTTAAAACTAACTATTGTAACTAAAATCACTGTGAAATCATACTTTTTCTTCAAAATGTCCTTAATTAATTTTAAAACTCATCCAGATTTTTATAAGGAATGAAATTCTAAAAAACTCATATGTTTCCAAACACATATTTAATTCTATCCAAGACCCAATAAAAAAATGAATACGTTATAGCATAACTATTTGCAAAAGCTTTAATGTATAATTTCACAGTAATAAAATCTATAAAATTTGATGATTTAAAGTTTTGACACAAGGAGAAACCCTTGAATTTTTGTTTATCAAATTTGAGAGACTTGATTAGCACAAGAATAATCTTCTTTATTTCATGATTACACTGTATTTAGAATTCCAATTAATATAAGAAAACTCATTTTATGTTATAAGTCAATTTACAATTGTTAAAAAATTATCCCCCTCCCCAATCCACCCACCCCCTCTATTCACATACAAAATTAAATATAGATAAAATTCACTGAATCTTATCACCTTAAAAAATATCCATTAGCTAACCTAAAAATCTATAAAATAGCTTATATTTTCTAAAATTTATTTTATTTCAGCCACAAAGCTAAAAGTTCAGACTATAACTGTTATATTTTAACCCCACAGAGTTCACTGAATATAAACAATACTGTAACATCAAATACACACAGATTGACAAAACAAACATGTGAATATTTTGTTTGAAGATGCTTGTTTACAGTTATAAAATCTTTAACTTAGAATGGTTAAACAATTTTAACCTAGTTGACCCATTCTAATTACTGGTTGAACCATTCTAAGACAGATGAACTATTCAAACCTGGTTGAACCATTTAAACCTGGTTGAATGATTCTAACCTGGTTCAATAATTATAACCACTGATGAAATTCTGTAACAGTCAATCTAAACTATTCATCCAAATTTCCTTAGAATAACAAGCATCTTACAAAATAAATCCACCATTAGTAAGAGATTATCAAACAAAAATACTTGCACAAATTTATCTAATCTTAAAGCAGCATGCCTCCAGATTCATGCTCATTTTTCATGTAAATTTTGAAAAAGTATCTAAAAGAAAAATATAGTGTAGTGAACAAGGAAAGTAATTTACACATTACAAACAGCATTTACAGTCTACTTAAATTACCAAAAAAGGCCAAAATATACAATAATAGCCATTACTGCGTTAGTCACGCAGTAGAAATATGGTAATAAGTACTGCGACTTCGGTCGTTAAAGACATTTAGCACATAAATAATTACTTGAATCTTTAATCTTTTTACTTCTCTTAAAATCTGAGTACCTTTTTCTTAAGTTTGTTTTTCTTGAAATATTTTTGGTTCATCTGGAGGCGTGCAGCTTTAAGATTTTCACCAATGTACATTTCTAGATATTTTGCATGTACAGTATATTTTATATAACCATATTAGATTTTTTTAAGAACTGATGCAGATATATTGAAACAAATTTGGAAAGGCTTAAGCACCAACATTTTTTTTATTGAAATAAAATCAAATATAAAAGAATAATAGTGTTCTCTAAAATAAATTGTGTTACCTTCAATGAGTTAACTTCTTATATAATTTAATAGGAGTTAACCCATTACTGCACTAAGGTGACAATATTTAGAATATGCTAATCATGTACATTGCATGTAGACTGATTTTGTGCAATTACTTGAAGATAAGTACAAGAGAGGTTCTAGCCACTGAAATTAAAATATCACACACACAACGGGTGAACAAGAGTGTTAAATTGTTAATAGTCAGATGTCACACACAAAGGGGTGAACAGACAGATGCACACACACGCACACACAGACAGACAAACAAACAGAGACAGCTGTATGCCATTCTTCCAGCATGATAATCCCAGAAAACAACTTGGGAAGGCACTTTGAGTTATTAGACATATTTTTACGAACATACACGAAGACTTGGTACACATGGGATGTACATATAATATATATTATGCTGAAATATACTGGATAACATATATTAGGGTTATCATGGAAACATTATAAAATATTAGAGCCTTTATACTGTAAAATGTTTTTATAAAGCTGTACTCTAGCTACAATCCAATATTTAAAAAATGCTAAAATCCAACATTTATAAAATTTAAATTCCAACATTTGTAACATGCTATGTGTTTGGTGAATGCTATAATCCAAATTTTGTAAAAAAATTACATTGGTCTAGCATTTAATAAATGCTACAATTCAATGTTTGTAAAATGCTACAATCTAATTTTGAACCAAAGTTTTATTTAATGCTACAATTCAACATTTGTTATTAAAATGCTACATTTTTACAATTCAACATTTGTTATTAAAATGCTACAATCATAAATTGACTTATTTTCTACAGACCAACAATTTTCCAAACCATAAATTTCTCCATTTCAATTAACCCCAAAAAATGTCTTTCAAAGAAGATTCTACTGTATCATTGATTGATAATTTGTCAAAAGAAGGGTCAAATAATATTTGAATATTCATTTTTCTTTTAATAATCTGATAATAATTTGAACATAAGTAAAAATCAAAGCTATACTTCCTAACATCAAAAAGGCAGTAAAATATGTGTGACTTATTATCTGGAGATATAGCAAAATAAGAGTACAGCTTTGTAATTACATGTTATAACAAATAATGAAATATACATGCATACTCAAATCACCAGTAAAATTATGACTAGGGCCCACTGAATCACTGTTTTATAAAAATAAACTTTACTAACAGTGTTTCAACAAACCCTACAATTTTATCACTTCAATTTTAACTATTACAATGCTGAAACAACAACTGCCAAGTCTTTGCCATGAAATATAGAGCCAGGCCAGCCTGCACATCTGTTAAATCTGACAAGGCTCTATACTGTTGGCTGATCAACTTCCAAAGTTTTCCTGACAATTCCTAAAATTGTTATTAGACGGTTGGCAACTGGCAGTTGAACATGTCAGTTCAAATATTTCAGCATGTAAATGATTAGATACAAATATTAGTTTTCGAACATATTGCACTGAATTTTTTTAAAACAAAAATAAAATATTAGACTGGAACATGCTGAAAATATTAGTTAAACAGTACAATCATTCTATCATATCCATACATGATAACTTACATACACATATATGTTACACATATATGTATATGTACATACACACTCATAAAACTTGAAAAACTAGATTAACCAATCTCTTGATATAATTTAAGTTATCAACAGTTTGAACCATGAGGGCAACTTGAACAATGAGCGCGTCTAGGCTACACCTTACCATGTTACCCTGGCAACAGCCGGCTTTACTTACGTTAGTTACAGGCATGCCAAACAATCTCTCTCTGTTATTATATGTGCCGGCCAGACCTTGGGCTTCTTTCAGTTGCTTAGCAACCCTTCTCACTTCATTAGCTATCTCATGACCTTTGCTAATGTCACTGTGGGCAGCCATACCAGCAACCACCATCTGAAAAGTATTACAAAGTTCTTTCATTAGCATTGTAAGAAGTATTTTCTTCTTTTCATTGAAATATTTATCATAAAACACAAATGAAGGAAATAAAGATACTCCTGAACTCTGCAAATGGGATTTTCTCCATCTAATGCTGAGATACAAGAAAACTATTACAGTTTCAACTTGGTAAATATCTTCATTATAAGCTCAACCCTTTTGATCACTCTTATGTGAAAGTAGTGTACCATGAAGCTATAACAGTAAAAGTTTGTACCCTGGGTTGGATTGTAAAATCGCACATTTCCAAGTACCAGATAACATTTATTCAATGACTATAAATTTCTTATATCTTCAAATAGAAAAGTAAATTGTATCTCCCATAATCCTAGATTAAACATATGAGTAACCATTTCACAATGCCTGACTTTTTTCTTATGACTGCATGTAAATAAGATATTAGACTCAATTTCTCTCTCACATTCTAACATAATCTTAAATAGCCAGTTGTGCAATAAGACTTTCAAATAAACTTTTTACCCTTAAGGTTCATTATCAAAGCTGATACCCCCATAAAAATAAAAAAATTAATACCTGTAAGGTGTCAAGCCTGTCGTTAAAGTTGGCCTGGTCAGATGTCTGGAGTTTTCTGAATCTCTCTTCATCCTCTTCTAACTGGTTGTATGTTTGTTCCATCTGTACCTCGATCTTATGTGGCCACCCTATCGCAGTCCATCTGTACATAGAATTGGTAATTATCATCACATTTTATAAAATACCAGTTAAAACATAATCAGTGAATATCCTAATGCTTCCATCCTGTATGTATTATTCATATCTGTTAACAAAAATATAGACAAATTTCAATCTTTAACAAGCAAATTCGTTGAATTTATATCCCCCGCCGAGTACTGGTTATTATTAACACAACAACTGAAGACATAAGGCTTTATTTATATATTAATCATGGCATAAACTGTAATATTCTTTGAACTTGAAGCCTTGTACCTTCAAACAAGAAGAATTTTTAAGTTTTCACTATATACATATAAGGAAAATCTATGACCCCCTGGAGTGGGGCCAATTTTGACCCCTGGGCTAAAATTTGAACAATTTTGGTAGAGGACCTATAGGTTATATCATATACCAAATATCAAAGCTCTAGACCTTGTACTTTCAGACAAGATTTTTTAATTTTGCATTTTTGAAACTCCTTTTCTGGCCCTGTGACCTACTTATGCAACAGACCGGAACCATTTGATCAACTTTGGCAGGGGACCACCCTAGGATCATTCCTGTAAAGTTTGGTTGCTGTGTGTCAAATACTTTTTGAGTTACATGCGACACAAGTTGAAAATTGCAAAATTTTACTAAGTCAAGGGCAATAACTCTAAAAATACTAAAAATATCCAGACGAAAATACCCAGGTGCACAACTACACATACTGATCAACATTCCTGTAAAGTTTAATGACTCTAGGTCAAATACTTTTTGAGTTACATGCGACACAAGTTAAAAAAATTACAAAATTTTACTAAGTCAAGGGCAATAACTCTAAAATTGCTAAAAATATCCAGACGAAAATACTCAGGTGCACAACTACACATACTGATCAACATTCCTGTAAAGTTTAATGACTCTAGGTCAAATACTTTTTGAGTTACATGCGACACAAGTTGAAAATTACAAAATTTTACTAAGTCAAGGGCAATAACTCTAAAAATACTAAAAATATCCAGACGAAAATACCCAGGTGCACAACTTCACATGCTGATCAACATTTCCATAAAGTTTTGTTGAATTCCAGTCATTAGTTGCAGAGAACTACTCCGGAAACGAAATTCGGACGGACAGATGGACGGACGGACGGACAATGCCAAAACTATATCCCCCTCCCGATTCCATTGGCGGGGGATAATTACCATATAATCACTATCTTTATATAGAATTACTAGTAATAAAATTCATTATAAAAAAAAGTCCCAAACTATTCTGTCCATCCTGTCACTATCTATCTATACACCAAATTGCATAATAGTTATCACAAACAAACAGAAGCAAAACCAGAATTACACAAACAATAACCTTGCATATTAATCTGTTTATCATTAAGAGAGTTAGAAAAAGTAAATTTTATTCACTGAGCAGTTAATTATATCTATGCCACTGGAAGCTGTATATTAATTCATAGTTGAGGAAATAGGAACGGTACTTACTTGAGATTGAAGTCATCTGTGGACAAATTATAGTAGAAGTCTTCAATCAATTCATAGTCATCCATGGCTTTGTCAATCAAATCCTGAAATTACAAAATCATTGTCAATTAAACAATTTACATGTAATTAGCATTAAATATCAGTTATTTCAGCAAATTAACAAGCCAAAAGCTTTTGTCTTCATATTTGGTACATTAAGTATAAAAATCTGAAAGATATTTAAAATACCTATACATGCTTAAATGTTCACTTTGGAGAATAAAAACAAAGAAACGAACATTTTTGTTTGACAAAATTTATCAAAATATCTGAAATCTTTTCACTGTATAGCCTTTTACATTTCTCTTTTTTACTAAGCTACAAATATACATTTTCAATGTATTCAACCTCTTTAAACACATTATGATTTCACTTCCTTTCGGGTTTATATACATGTATATTGTCACCTTAGTGCAATAATGGGTCAACTCTTTATATAAATAATTCAACAGGAGTTAACTTATTACTGCTATAAAGTGACAATATGTGTATTTCCAATGGTAACAACAAACTGAAAATATATGAGTACCTGATGTTCTTTGAGTTTTTCTGGGATAGACTTCATCCATTCTCTCATGTCTGACAGTTCCTCAATACAGTTACACTTGTCATACAGTTTACGACTGATTGCCTTAAACTCTTCACACGCCTATAAATGAATGTAAAAAAACAAAGTCAAAGAAGGAGCTATATATATTGTTTATTTAAATACTTATTACACAAGACACAAGCCAACACAAACCAATTTCTTTATTTCAATACTTAAGATACATTTAGCTAAATGCAAGAATCGGTATAGTTTATCTTTTCAGTAGTGAAAATATATTTTGAATAAAACTATGAAGATTTAAATTAAAATAGATTACTTTACAAAACTCAACCTTTTATGCAGGGTTTTAAATAGATAAAAAAAGTCAGTCAAAATGGCTATTTAGTTAAATTTCTGGAAGAATACTTAATGTGCGACCCTTTATGCATTATTGAACAATCTAGTACCAAGGTAGACTTGACATGACTGTGCTAGAATGCTTAGTATGTTTTTCAAAACCAAGCAAAAAACATATTGCTCCAAATTTAAAACTGGACAAAGAATACACAAAACACAAATTTAGCAGGTTAAGGGTAAAAGGAACTTCTTTTTTCATATAAATATTAAAACACCAGAACTAACCTCATCAGCCTGTTTTCTAAGATGTTTAGCAAGGTATTCCAGGACGGCATTGCTGAGATTCTTGCGTTTTTTAGACAGGTTTTGTCTCACTGAGTCAGTGTTGATCCAGAATGGACCAATGGTCAGATTGCTAGGTATTGTTGCTTCTATGATGTCTTTCTCTTTCAGATGCATTTCAACTTCTTGTTTGACTTCCAGAGCTGTATGTTCCTGAGCTTCATAGTCCCTGTTAAATAATTATTCAACAGGATCAAATTGATGATTAATAATACAGAAATAAAAAGATGGTAAACAGTTTATAAGTACACCTGTTCATCTATGTCTCTTTTTCCTTTTATCAAAGCATAATTACACATATTCATCTATATCTCTTTTTTTCTTTGATCAAAGTTACATGAACCTAATAAACTGCTATAACAAGTAATTTTTTTTCACATCATAGGATAAAACTAACCAAATTAATATTTTACAACAATATTTTCTTGCAAACACATAAAAATTATTGTAAATACTACTTAAGCTAGCCATTACATAGTTCATCTAGCCTAGAACCAAATTTAGAAGTTGCAATCCCACCCATCCCTATTTTTCTGAATTTTCATGTTACTTTTCCCATCTACTTTAGATATTAATTGACATACAATTTCTATTCATCATATTATCCCAAGGTCAGTATATTTTCATCATTTACCTGATATACTGGTTAATGTCAAGGTTCATAATCTCAAGATGTTTCTCATACTCTCTAGCATAAGCTTTCATTGGTATGAGAGCTTTCCTGATGGCATGTTTGATACTATCACGTAGTTCCTCAACATGTGGCTCATGTTCACCAACAGATTCTAGCAGAGGTGTTCCTGACCAGAAAATGTCCTCAAGGATGTACTGTTAATACAAAAATAACATCTTTTCCAGAAATTTAACTTTTTTTTCATTGTTTTTTTTTTTTCTCAATAAGAACAACTTTTCAGAAATTGTTTCTTACAATTAAAAAAGAACTATGCTGTAATCAAGTAGGAATAATATAAAATCTTGCTATAGACAAAAAAAATGGGTATTTATATTTTTTTTATTATTATTATTGATTTTTTAATGTTACATATGTTATCATCAGTTTTCATTAAAGTGCCACCTCTGCAGAGCAACTACCTCTTTTTAACAACTGTTTCATTTTTCCTATGGTAAAACTTCACATAAGATTTAACCCATCGAGAGCAACATCTGTCAGCAACAATCAAAATATATGACTCCCGTCAACTTAGTATTGCTCCGCAGATTTGGCAAAGGAGCATTTAGTCTTAGTCTTAGCCCAAAAGTCTTAAACAAAGCTTTGTAACAGAAATATAACCATGTTTAGGAAGAGTACACTTAAAAGACATCGAAGCTAGTCAAGGTTTATGTACGGATAAAACGTTAAAAAAGACATGTTGCAGGAACATATTTGTCCCATGTAAACAACTGTGAAAAAAAAAGCATGGAAAAAAAGCATGTGATAAAAATTCATATTAACCTTCTCAAGTTGTGGTACATTCTGTGTAGATTGTATACCCTTGTCAAACAATCCAACAAGGGATGATTCAAAGGTATTGATGTTGGTACTGTAGTGTACACCAGTATTATCTAACTGTAGATCCACCAGAAACAAGGCATTTCTCTTTGGTCTGAGATAGGGAAGAAATAATTTAGATTACAATAAAAGAAAATGGACATTTTCACAAGTATTATTTTATATACATCACACAGCATAAGCTGATAAACTAAACTGTTATATGAATACTTTATGTACAATGCAGATCAATTTTAAACTTTAAAGGTCAATGTTTACAACTAAACATACTTGTATGGACTAGAAATGACATCAGTTCCCCACACAAAGTCTTCCTCTAGCTTCATTGTGGAGTGACAGGCATCTAGTATCATCTGAGTGAATGAGTACAGGGAATTCTGTACCAGAAATCTCATAGAGTCCTACAACAATAATGAATATATAATCATTTACATGATAATAATTAACACTTCAAAACCTTTTTATATTTCATTAGAGGTGCTTAAATATCCTAAAATATTTCAAATTTATTGGGCTGCAAATAGAATATGAAAGTTTTTGGGACTTTTTTTAATGATAATGGTCAAGAATGCAAATACAATTCACTAGCTTTGAGTGACCTTTTATAAGTTGTCTTTCAATTAAAAGACCACCAGCTTAATGGACAACATTGAGGTTTTTTTATATTGGACTTATCCATCTTTCAATCTGGACACAACAATTCATCATTGCAAAAAAATTTTTAAGATAAAAAGTGAATGAATAGCAAACAATTCAAGTCAATGATCGGAGCATGGTTATGCAGGCTGATCTTGGTCTGTATTGGTTGTATGATTAAGTCACTGCCAGTAGACTAACAGATAAGGATTACAAAATATCTGAATAAAAGTTGCATTAACCTGCATCATAAATTTCACCATCTCCATAAATTTCTTCAGCTTAGAGATCTGGTATACTTCAAAGTTTGTTTCATGTATGTTGAACCAACCCTTGCCAACATCCCGCAGCTTAGTTCTGATGGCAGCCCGCAATGTTGAGATCCATGAATCTTTCAAGAATAAGGCAACCTGAAAGAGAACAAAAACAGATTTTTACATTTATAACAATATTGCATAATATCTGTGTCATTTTAAAAATGAACAGCTAAATTGATAGTTTCCTCACATAAAAGAAGAATGGGAAAACTTTAAACAGAGGTTTCTAGAGTATGGCAAAAAAAAATCCCTCAATTATATGGTGCTTTACATAAAATGACTTCTTATAAAACTGAAAATGTGTCCATAGGACACAGGTTAGTCCCACATAATATTGTTTTGTCAGACAGTCCTAGGAAACCTTTTTCCAATTGAAATTTTCTTTAAAATCATGCAATTTTCCTAAAAATCTGAACTTACAAAGCTTTCTTACTTTCCAAATTATCAATTTTAGCAATATTTTTTCCCCCAAAAAATCAAGAGGCTAAAGCCTTTTCCCAATTAAGTGAGAAAAACTACTGACAGTTTAATTAGTCTAAAGACAAACAAGACAAAAGGTGAGGCAGACCTTGGAAACCTATATCACCCCTAAGAAGTTTGGGCATAAAAACATACATGTCAAAATTTATTGATCAAACTATTGAGCCTTAAAGGAAGAAGTATTCTCTCACCTGTGAGGTCACTTGGGCTTGTGTCTGTTCAAACTCTTCAATCCTCATTGGTTTGGTTGTAGGAACGTGATAAAGGCACTTGTTAGCCACTTCATTACACTCAATGGCCACTGTTCCTGTAGCTTTAATGCTCTCAACTCGTGTCAGTAGGGAGTTAAAAGCAAATGCATCATACACTCCATCATAATCATACTCAGGTACATCTGTACTGCAAGCTGTAATACACACACATATAACATTACACAAAATTTGTATAATTGACCAACACACTTCAGGTCATATGGTGCCAAAACAGGAAAGATGATTTGGGCTAATCTTGGGTGTTACAAACTAAATAAGTGATTAATTACAAATAAAAGTGTAATATAAAGAAATACATCATGGTTATATTACACTGAAAACAAGTATATCATGTGATAAAACATTTTAAGAATTGTCTAGGAACTTTACATAGCTCAAATAAAAATGGTCTTACCTTTGAATGGTACAGGTTTTTCCTCAACAGCTGGTACGGACACAAAAGCAAATGTCGAGTTATCTTGTTCAATGATTTTGTCAAAGATTATCCTGTTCATAGATCTACAGAAGTCAATGTTAGCCTCCTTTTCAAGGGCCTGAATTCCATCTTCAAGTCTGAAATATTTACAGTGGACATTGAAGTAAAATTTATACACACAGCAAGAACATTCTAGTTATAAAGTGATTTTTTTTAAGATTATGAAGTTTTTAAAAACAATGGGCCAAGTAATTGTACTCTAAATGTAACCATAGCATTGTTTTCATTTTAACTGAAACATAATCCACTAAACAAAAGTACAATGTACCTCCATGCTCCAATATCCTTGTTTTGGGAGGTTTTATGAGAGAGGGTTAGAGTTCTAAGACGCACTAACGCTGTTAAGGTCATATAGCAACTAAAACATTCACATTTAAATATCATATATGTGAAATTTCATTCAACCTTATGTCATTCTTCTATTTTCTTCTCTATTCAAACCAAAAGTACCATGAAATTACATAAACAATTACCCTTTATCTTTAGACAATCCTGGGGCCGTTCTTGCCCATTCAACCATTCTTTTCAGTGAGGCCTGGTCAAGTTCGCCAACACCATCCATTGGCATACAGTCTATATATAAGTTATATCTGAGAAGAGCCTCAGTATTCTTCCTCAGTCTGAACGCTTCAGCTACACGCTGTGTGAAAACACGTGGATCCTCCGCATTAAACATCAACCTTACTCTTGGTACCCAATATTGTGATGCTGTAGTAATTCTTGAGCCTGATTTGGAAACAAAATAATAAAGTCAATTATTAACCCTTATTTAACCTGCTGGAACAGAAAATGATTTGCCTTTACCACCAGTATAGACCTAAGCCAGCCTGCATATCCATGTAGTCTGATAAGGGTCTATTCTGTCGGATGACTAACTATAAAATTTTCATTTTGATATCCCAAAGATTGATAATTGATACTTACTAAAATGGCAGCTGGTCAATCCATTAAAGGAATTTAGCAGGTTAAAGGTTTAATAAAACTAAATAACATAGAGAATACACTGTTGGTCTATAATTAAATTTCTATGTTAAAGTTAAGCAGGAAAGAAATTTAAATATCCATAATATCATTTGCATATAAAATCATATACATGTATAAACAAAGATCTTTATGTTGACAACTTCTTTATCATAAGTTTGAAAAGTTAAGTTTTTAAAAGTTAACACATTACTTCAAAATAACTTGTAAAAATTCAAATCTACAAAAGAAATAACCAGATTGTATCATTATCTCCTTAAAAATTTCTATGATGTAAAATCAGTTTACCATCAGGCTGCTTCCCTCCGTTGACAATAGCATTCCCTGTGGAATCAACGACTCGTCCCTGTCTGTTTGTCTTCTGTACTAAATACTGTTGAGATTCACTGTCATAGTCCAACACCCCAATGTTAAACCAATCATACACAATGCTTGGATCTGTAGGTGCCACTGTGACAAAAAATGCGATAAAAATATCATATTTGTCATGAAGAAAACTTACTAGTATATATCTCTATTTAAATCAAGCTATAACAGAGAAAACAACAGAAGTTTGATGAGTTTATTTAAATGGATAAACTCATGTTGTCTGAAGAAATCTGTCTGAAATTCAACATATTTATGTATTCACATGTCTTTAAATTTAATCTTGCTGTTAATTCACTTTTTCTATTGAATCATTTATTACAAGTTTATTTATAGACTTCAAAGTCAGACATAAGAGCCAGTTGATTTTCTTTAAATGAAAAACATTTTTGAATTGAGTCAACTATCAAGTACAATGTACTAACAAAACAGAAACTTAAGCTTTAGTGCACCTTGACTTTCAACAAATAGTTAAAGGAACTCCACTGAGGTCCAATAGCCTAAACTAATAAATTTTGAAATTCTTTCTAAATTCAACTGGTAGATTTAAATTTGAAACCAAGCAATAGATGATATAAAAATATACACAGTATAAAATTAATAAACGCCTTTTATGCAATTTTTGGCCGATTTGAGTGAAAAGCGTTTAAACGGTTTTCATTTATTGGGTCAATTTTCACAATAAAATTGACTTTTTCTGGGAAAAGGAGTGAGCAAATGATTTGAAATCATGTACATGAGTTATTGGACTAGACATACATCTAGTTATACAAAAATCTTAAAAATTATTTTCAGTGCCTTCATGTCAAAAAACCTCAGTGGAGCCCCTTTAAGCAATGTTACTCACAATTTGCATCTGAATCTTTCTTTGGCAACAATGCAACACCTGGGCAGGGTTTACGCACACCACCCTCCAAACCCATATTGATCCACTCCTCTGGGGTACGGCAATCAAATTCTTCATTATCGAAGATGTGTAATGGAAGAAACGGCGGAAAAGGTGCCGGATCCTCCGGATTCTTGTTCAGTTCTATTGGTTCCCCTGATTGCTCTTTTGGCATCAGTAGTTCAGTCTGAATGTTCTCTTCTTTCAATAATTCTGGTAAACTCAATGTTGAATATAGCCTCCTCTTTCTGAAGTTATTTGTAAAATATGCTTTTGTTATGTGTTTCTGGGATAATGTTATGTGTTTTTGGATACATGTTATGTGTTTTGGGATAATGTTGTGTTTTGGGTTAAATGTTGTGTTTTGTTATGAGTTTTGAGGATAATGTGTTTTGGGATAATGTTATGTATTTGAGGATAATGTGTTTTGGGATAATGTTATGTGTTTTGGGATAATGTTATGTATTTGAGGATTATGTTATGTGTTTTTGAGATTACATTAAATCACTCGCAAAAATGTTTTTAAGTTATACAAAACCATTACATCTGAGCAACTGTCAGAAACAGCATGTGTTTCTGCATTAAGTAACAACACTGGGTAACATTGAGCAATAAAATTTAAAGCTGATGTCAAAATAAAACAAATGCAAAATCAAATTACACCAACAAATTAGAAATTTAAAACAGCACTGGGTAACAGTAAACATTGAGACTAAAAACAAAATCAAAGCAATTATTAAGCAATACAAGAAAATTTTAACAAGTTGTTGTCATGAAATAAATATATTACAATATGCCACATCTGTGAAATATAGTTATATCAATGAAATCAGCATGCAATAATTCTATGTATGTAATTAGGATATACACAGAAGTGTTATATCTAAATAAATAACAAAATTTTTACCTTTCTATTTCAATTTTACGAGGACACTCTCCTGGTTTTGTGTAGAATGGCAGTTGAACTTTTGGTTCTGAAGCTTTCACTGGAAAGTCCTATAAATATTTCATGGAAATTATGTTTATTGTTGAGTTGATACTTGAAAATCATACAAAATTTTAAAAATTACTAATGCTATATATATCTATACAAGATCATTTTGCTAAATATCAATCTCATAGAAAACCATTGGCTAAATCATGCACATGTTTGCCTCTCAGATACCATAGATCTCATTCTTGGATCACGACCACATTTCCTCATATGTATGACACCAGTACTGGTTTAGTTCAAGAAGGCAGTTTTAATAATGATTCATAGGAATCATATCACTTGCAAGAACTTCTTTCATAATCTAGCTTGAATAAATATGTTGAAACTAAATTTATCAAAAAAATATGACAATTGCTTATATGCTGAATGTTTAACCTACCGGAACCAAAAGTGATTAGCCTTTGCGACCAGTATCTGTCCAGTCTAACCAGGCTGTCAATTTTTGTACTTTGTTGATAAAACCCTTACAATTTAAATGGACTGTTCCAAATTCAAAGAAGGAAAAATCCATTACACAAATCTAGCAGGTCAAGGAATTACATTAAATATATCTGATTACCAGTAAAAAAAAAAAAACCAAAAAACACACAAAAAAACAACAAAAAATTAAACAAACAAAAAATGTCACCGTTGAACAAAACTCTGATTTATAACCAATTCAACTATAGTTTTATGCTTGTGATGTGTTAAGTAATCAGAATCTGAATCATGTATTAATATGTTATAAAGTAAGTTAGGAAAATCTTACAGAAATGTCTGTTATTTCTGTTGTGGGTCCATAGGACTGACTCTTCACCACTTGTGACAAATCACCACTTGTAGCAAAAGCTGTCACTGTAAATTTAGAAACAAAAAACATATGAAATGATCGCAGCTTATCATTCTAAACATGTCTAGTTGATTTGGATACTTAATATTGTTCTGTTAAATAAAAACTTTTTGTTACACAACAAAATGCTTCCAGCTAGTCAACAAATCAATAGGGCTTCATTTAATATTCAGTTCTTACTTTTGTCCTTAAGTCATTACAGAAAACCATTTTCTACAATAAGGATGTTTCCTTACCATTTTTGTGAAATGTATTCTTTTTTAAATTTCTTTTCACTTGCCTTGTGCAGAAGTTTACTTTATGTATACATGATAAAAACTGATTGATATTTATAGTGCTGACTTGTATTACAAGTAATGAACGATTAAATTTGCACACAGCTTACAAGTCCTTTTAATCAATAACTTAACTATAGACTTAAAATCAATATTTAAAATCATTATGAAATGAATTTAATTCAATGGTATCTATAAAAATATATAATGACAATCAATACTGGGTGCATTTTATCAAGTGATTTAAGCCTAATAATGTGAACAAACCTTTTGGTGTATGTTTTTCTTTGGCAACATTCCAATGCGTGTCATGAGCTGTCGGTGGGCCACTTAATATATCCTGGAATGATTCCAGTTAAGATAAACATATATTACAACATAAAAAGCACAAACACCGCTAATTATCTTAAATTCAAATGTGTTTCTTTCCAAAACAAAAATAATAATAATAAAAAATAATAATTTGCAAATAAGTTCCATAAGTTTGTACACTGATTTGTTACTATTGAGTAAAGTACATGTAGATATAAGCATCACAATTTCTTTACATTTCCGTATGAGTTTTATTGTAACTAATTGATTCTTATTCATGATTAATAAATGCAATTAAATTACATGTTTATCAGTATTATTAAATGACAAATCTTTTTAACATTCATAAATGTCATTATAAGATTTAATACATTTATATCAATAATCAGACTAAGAAAACAACAAATACCACATCAATTCACCCAAATTTTTGTGTAATACAGCTTCATCAAAAGTTTAACAAGACATATCATTTTTTCATATTATATACATGATGAACCTACTTCCCCGTGTACATCATTATCTGCTCCTATGATATCTGAGTAATATCCTCTCTGTTTAATTTCTGGGTATCTTTGCCCTGATGCTCCTGTCCTACTAAGGGCAGTATTTGATCTATTTGCAGAAAAGGGTTTGCCCCCTTGAGAGCTTCTGCTGGCCCTACTTGCCATTATGGTTTCCTTTTAGACCTGAAAAACAAACTGTTATGTCTTATTTTATATAATTGACAAATATTTAATAAATGCACACAGTTGAGTTACTAATTCTTAAATTTTGTAATACACTTAAATGATGAGAGACATACAACTTAATTTGTAATACCTACACCAGCCAACACAATGTTTCAGTTGAAGTCATTATTGCCTAAATTATTTGATATAATGTAAACAATTATAACTTAAATTGTCATCTTGATATCCCCAAAATTAAAGTATTTTATGAAACACTGTTTGCGATGTGAAAAATGGAAAATTTAATAAACAAAGAAGAAAATTCAACATTCAAATTCTGAATTCAGGTAAACTACATGTATATACATAAATTTGTAAGCTCTTTGATTTATCTTATTTCATGTTCCTGCAGTCTAACTAAAGTTAGAAGTGGAAAGGAAAGAGAAAAAAATAACATATTGAAGGAATCAAGATCTGCTAGGGTTAATAAGCCTTTATACATAATTGATAATGATTGTTGAGCAATATCACGTAGATGTCATACATTGCCTGGACACAGTAGAACAGTATGTTATAATTGTGTATTCTAGAAGAAACAAAAATAAGCAAAATCAAGAAAATGAAAGAAACGAGACTGTTCTCTACTTTAGTATTGTGCAGCATTACATGATACAACAAGTAGAGTCTTCTTTTTTCTTCTTCAATTAAACTTAATTCAATCGATAAAGTACTGATTGTTCAAGAAAGAACATAATCATTGTATAGACAAAAATACCACAGACACTTGGAGTATAGACCCCGCCCCTGAATATTAAAAACTAAAAGTATTATCAATTACAAGAATTAGTTTTAAATTTTTCTTATATTAGTATGAGATGGCTAGCCTCGTTGTACCATCTCTCGAACAATAATTTCACTTAATTGTAATTATTTTTAAGATGTTAAGTGTCTTTAAACTTAGTAAAGTTCTTGATTGTAGAGGCATGTATTGCGTCCGTTTTGACCTACTTAAAATTTGTCAACATGACCTTTAAAAATGGCTGCCGTGAACTCATTGAAGTGCTTGATTAGTAGAACAAAGCTGACCCCTTGCTACCAATTATCGAACCAAGTTATTTATAGTGTACGAATAACTTGTAGAAAGAGGAGACCATTTATATTGAAACTATAAGCATTAATTAAGTTTTCTACTGTAACATAGAACAAAACAAACGCATTTTCATTTATTTTCATGTCTTGTCACATTCCTGGAGTATTCATCTGACTTTTTAAATACAACAGCTTCACAAATCACAAGCAGCTTTACTTATATCAACCAAAATTTGATTTTTCCTTTTCAACATTGATAACGACATCAATTGCATATTGAGAACAGTAGAAGAAATATATTTATTGGTGTTCAACTTGATTTATCTTGTTCAATTAAATATTTGATTGAACAAAACAATAAATCGAGAAACTAGGTCAACGTTGACGGTTCATAAAAAAAAATAAAAAATACAGTAAAATTACGCTAATATTTTCTTGAAAGAAGGGTTCATAAAGTATTCTTATTGTTCTGACTTATTCCACAAATCTACATTAGTAAAGTGGTAACTTTACAAAAAATACACAATTTCAAAAATGAAAGTAGGCTGCCATTATCTTAAAATTGAACTTTCTTCTACTACTAGAATGGTCAAAATGAAGCTGTAAATATGGAACTTTGCTAAAACAAAGGAAATGTAAGTGCTTGTCACTTTATTAAACTATCTCTTGCCGCACAACATAAATTTGATTTGTCAAATAAAAGATTTATCACTTTGGTAGAGAGATGGTACCGTTCGAGAGATGGTATCAAAAGGCTAAGTGTCTGACACGTGAACAATTTTGAATAGAATTTCATAACATTTTAAAAAAGTCAATTTTTTACCGTTACGCTTCATTTTCCTCAAGAGACCAAGCTTTGAAATGTAAACACAACTGACTTACATATATTTCAAGTAGTTATGCTATCGCATGCCATTTATTTCTGGTGTAAATCAGTCAATGCATATCGTTGTCTGCCCATGATTCGACACCCTAAGCTTTCATATGTTATATAAACGATTAAAAAGAAAATTAATCAAAATAAAAATGTCTTACTTGTTAATTTATTTATAATATTTTCACATTATTCCATTATTAATTTTCTATAAAAGATTCAATGACCGATAAATCAAAGTAAATAAAGGTCATTGACCTTATAATCCGCCATTTTGAATGGTCCTTCAGTCGTCACCACGCACCTGCAACGCGCACTTGCTTAAAATATTCACTTCCGGTAGCCTGTTTCTGAGGAATTTTCCATTCATTAAAATGTAAACAAAGCAGACAGTTAAAAACTTTTGATAAAAAATCGATAAAAATGAAATAAAACAACATTTATGATAATATTCAGTTAGGATTATAAAAAATTGGATTATTATTTATTTTATCCTTAATTTACCGACTAAAACTTGTTGCTAAATGAAAATTGCCGATACATGAAATGTACACAGTAATATTGATTTTCTCATCCTTTTTGGTACCCCTAAAAAGATTGTGTGACGTAATAAAACATAGTGACGAATCAAGGGCAGGGTCGAATCTAGGGCACTTGACGATATATTAATTCTTTTAATAAATAAATGCATGTTATTATCCGATGATGACGACTTGAATGTTTCCCGTAAATTACAGCAGAAAAATCGCTGGGTAAATGAAATTCAATCTCAACTACTCGGCCCTTTCCGTCAGTCTTCCTGATTTGGTTTTTGTACTGATTAGGGGAAGTAACCGCTGCGGAGATTTGGGTTCTTGGCATAAATGAAAGTGCAAAACAGTGCCAAATCTCATTTCAGTCGTCTCACATCAAAAGAAAGCATACGTTGTTATCTTTATGAAATAATGATATTTAAGGGACTTTTTTAAACTTTGTCAAAACCCGTCAAAATGAATCCGGGTCAGCTCGGCCCTAAAACGTACTCGGCCCCCGAGTCAGCTCGGCCCTATTCCAACTCGGCACGGGTCAACTCGGCCCACTTTTCAATTAATAATATCTAGGTTTGTGTTATCACTATTTATTGTAATTATTGTAATTATTTATAATACATGGATTGACAGTTTCCGAACTAGCAGCAGCCAGGCTTTCTTATCAGTAGAATAGTGAGTAAAGATAACCGATTGCGTATCTCACTGTATTTCTGACTCGTAGTAGGTTTAACCGTAAATTTAAAAACCTTCAGTGTCCAACTAACTCATTCATTCAAATTTGATTAGTGACCACCTGCAATTAATTAGAAGCTTATGAAATTAAGTAAACTCGTTTTTGTTTCTTATTTTTTCAAAATGCATCTAAGGAAACACATTTTCATTAGATCTATATTAATTTTATCGAATCTGCAAGACAAATAAATTACTTTTTTTTCTAAATATACTTTATTTCCGTAGAAGTAGATCTACAATGTAAAATTATATAATAATAAGATATTTCTCATTATTCATTTACCTTAACAACATGCAAAGCAAAGTTAATACGTTATATATATTTCAGGGTTCTCACTAGGACTTTAAAACATGGAGTCCATGGACTCCCAACCCTGAAAAAGTTGGAGTCCAAAAGCGCGTCGCAATTAATATGTTTACAGATTAGTCATTCAATGTTCACAATAGCATTGCTGATATTTTGAATCTTCAAGAGACTTCCAAAGTTTATAGTTATTAAAAGGAAACTCTGAACTACATAGTATAATTATTGTTTTGTTGTTAATATTTATTATGAAATTATTTCATTATAATGCATCAACACATGAAAACTGTTTTTTTTTTCACTTTTATACCAAATCAAATTTTATTCTGGTTAAATAAGTCCACTCTAAAGGCAAAAAGTTTGTATTTGTAAAAAAAAACGTAATTGATATAGACAGCGTTTAGCGGAATGAATAGGAAAATCGTGTACAGCTTCACACAGTGTGTAAGAGATTCATCCGATCGGCAATTATTTTAGCAAATATCTTCAAAAGGGGACAAATTGAAGATCGATATTTAAAGATTTAATGTTATTGTTGATTAAATAATAAAGAAACAATTCATTCGCATGTTTGGCTTGGAAACCGAGAATTTTTGCGAAATTTTAGGGTTTCTGGCGAACGTGAAATCGCCGATGTTCGGGATCAATTTTCGGATAGAAGAAAAGCGTATGTGTACCTGGCATTTCGGCGCAATATCTTAAATTCTTAATACTCTTATAGAAAGTTTTTGCAAGAATGAAACTAAAGCAAAATTGTGCCTAGAAAATGCCGAAAATATTCGACAATCATTATAATGCCGAAAATATTTGACAATCATTCAAAATTACACTCATTTGTAATTTGAGAAAACAGTCTTTAAACTTGCGGCGTAAATAGTCGATAATTTTATCCTTTTGTCGGTAAAATTTGCTAATTTCAAATCAACTGTTGATCAAAGATATAAAATTATCACCTCGTGATATATCTGGTAATTACATGTACTGTTCAGCGCGTGTATACATTAGTCTGATCACTATTGCGTGATAATGATCGGAGAGGTTATCGCTGATTGGCTAATCGCTTCAAGGGTCGATGTGCATAGCACCGCCTACCTATAGACTGACACGCGCTAACGCTTTTGTGTATTTGTGGTTGTAAACAATCGGTAATGTTTATGCGTCCCCAGGCAAAATTAAGCGTACGTGGAATCCTTGCTCTGAAATATTTGCGTCCAGCTGTAATAAACATGCGTACCGGGACGCCGAAATAAGCGTCCCCGAGAACCCTGTATTTTTGTAAAGTGGGCCGAGTTGACCCGTGCCGAGTTGACCCGTGCCGAGTTGGTATAGGGCCGAGTTGACTCTTTTCCGTCAAAATAACGGAAAACAAGTTTTTTTTTCAAGACATGTGACCAGCTGGTCGTAATAATATGCAAAAATATTTGGATGTACGGTTTGCACAATGAAAATAGACATGTGTATAGAAGTGCGGATCAAGAAAGGGAGCCACGCACATAACCCCAAGTGTCTGTGAAAAATACAACGGAATTAATGTGGGTGGGGTATGCAGGTGCGCGTTTAAAAACTAAGTTTTGAAACAAAATACTTAGACTTCATGATAAGAAACAGTACGAGATAGAATGGCATATGAAAACAAACAAAATAAACATATATTTTTCACTTACCTATGATATCTTGAAGACGATGTAGTCCTCCAATCTTATTATATCTTTTATGTTTACAAGGACGCTACAAAGTTGTGTACTTCCAATATGGCCGCGTCTCCAAGCAATCTGGATTCGTTCCAATTATATTCGTACTATCATAACAATTTATGTAAATTTATTTTTCCACAAAAGTTGATTGAAAAAGATAATTTTGTCCAATCTATGAGTAAAATAATAATAAATAATTAATATTTGTCTCTCTTGTCAAATGAGTCGTGAAATAACTATTATTTTGTTTGTTTATGTGTTGTTTTCTTTTGGGCAGAGTTGGTGCTCATATCAGGAGCATTACAAATATTCATCAACATCAACCAGCGATAAATGGAACAGGTATATAAAAAAAACAGTATATATATATTCAATCGTTCAAACACCATTTGTCTGATTCCGTTTTAAATTCTTTTTTGTACAACTTTGGAGCGTCTTCTTTGCACAACATGAAAAGTCCGGAAGATTCCCGCATGGCATGGTCGTTTTGGAACATGTAATTTGCTGTTTCGATATAAACGTACATAGATCAATTTAAAATTTGCAAGTCACATCACGGAGACAAAACCCTCCTGCCATTGTGTTTTACATTATTTTGACCGATCACAACTTAATGAAAATATTATTTAGTATTGTTAGACATCTAACGCGGTTTAGAGAACAGCCATCATGCCCAGCTAGCCATTGTAAAATTATCGCTACATACTTAAAAAAAGTATGGAAATGATAATTAGATCTAGATTATGATAGTTTAGAGGGTATTCCTCACACGCAATATAAGCCTTATGATAGCAAGAGGCCCGCAAAAAATGATCGTTTTTTGGTCCGGCGATAAGTTCTGTACGTAAGTATATATAAAGTCTGAGAAATTTCGTTAAAAAACACCATGCATATTCTACGTGCGTCTTTCAAACATCATTTGTCCATTGTTCCATTGAAAATTCGTTTTTGTACACTTTCAGAGGGTCTTCTTTGCACAAAAAGAAGACCAAAGCCCGAACCCAAAGAATTTGTCCAGGAGATTTCCGCGTGTCATGGTTACTTTTTGCTACCGCGATTTGTACTTTCTGTATATAAAGTGCATAAAAACACAATTTTCTAGAGCCAACCGCTAAGTAACTATTTGTCTGACTTCGTTGCAAATTCGTTTTTGTACAACTTATAGGAGGGTGTTCTTCTTTGCACAAAATGAGAACAAAAGCCCTAACCGAAACAATATTTCCAGGAGATTTCCGCGTGGCATGGCCATATTTGAACAAGCTATATTTCCACTCTATATAAAGTGCATAAATTTTCGTAAAAAACACCATATATTCTACAGCCAATCGTTTAAACACCATTTGTCTGATTCCTTTTCAAATTCGTATAAACAACAATATAAGTCTCATAATAGCATGAGGCCCGCATAAAATGATCGTTATTTTTTTGAACGGCAATTATAGTCCTGTAAGTATATAAAGTCTAAGAAATTTCGTTAAAAAACACAATATTCTACCGTCCACCTTTCAAACACCACTAGTCTTATTCCGTTCAAAATTAGTTTTTGGACAAATTCAGAGGGTCTTGAAGACTTTAGAGGGTGTTCTTTGCATAAAATAAGACCAAAGCCCTAACCCAAAGAATATTTCCAGGAGATTTCCGCGTGGCATGGTCATTTTTGGACCCGCGATTTGTTCTTTCTGTATATAAAGTGCATAAAAAACACCATATTCTAGAGCCAACCGTTAAGACACCATTTGTCCGATTCCGTTGCAAATTCGTTTTTGTACAACTTTGGAGGGTGTTCTTTGCACAAAATGAGTACCAAAGCCCTAACCCAAAGAATATTTCCAGGAGATTTCCGCGTGGCATGGTCATTTTTTGCTCCCGCGATTTGTTCTTTCTGTATATAAAGTGCATAAAAAACACAATTGTCTAGAGCCAACCGTTAAGTAACCATTTGTCTGATTCCGTTGCAAATTCGTTTTTGTACAACTTTGGAGGGTGTTCTTTGCACAAAATGAGTACAAAAGCCCTAACCCAAAGAATACTTCCTTGAGATTTCCTCTTGGCATGCATGGTCACTTTTTGGACCCGCTATTTGTTCTTTCTGTATGTAATTATATTCTAGAGCCATCAATTAAGACACCATTTGCCAGTTTACGTTTTCAAATTTGTTTTTGTACATACAAATGTATTAAGAGGGTGTTCTTTGCACAAAATGAGTACCAAAGCACTAGCTAACCCAAAGAATATTTCCAGGAGATTTCCGCGTGTCATGGCCACTTTTTGCTCCCGCGATTTGTTCTTTCTGTATATAAAGTGCATAAAAACACAATTTTCTAGAGCCAACCGCTAAGTAACCATTTGTCTGACTCCGTTGCAAATTCGTTTTTGTACAACTTTAGAGGGTGTTCTTTGCACAAAATGAATAGAAAAGCCCTAACCGAAATAATATTTCCAGGAGATTTCCGCGTGGCATGACCATTTTTGAACAAGCGATCTGATTTCCACTCTATATAAAGTGCATAAATTTTCGTAAAAAACACTATATTCTACAGCCAATCGTTTAAACACCATTTTCGATGTAATCGTAGATCAACTAAAAATTTGCAAAGTCATATCATAGAGTCAAAACCCTCCTGACATTGTGTTTTACATTATTTTACAGATCACAACTTAGAGAATAGACATCATGCCCAGGTTGCCGTTGTAAAATCAACGCTACGTACTTAAAAAAAACATTGGAATGATAATTAGATTGTGATATAAGTCTCATGAGGCCAACGTAAAATGATCGTTATTTTTTTGAACGGCGATTAGTCCTGTTAGTATATAAAGTCTCAGAAATTTCGTTAAAAACCACCATATTCTACCGTCCGCCTTTCAAACACCATTAGTCTGATTCCGTTGAAAATTCGTTTTTGTACAAATTCAGAGGGTCTTCTTTACACAAAATGAAGACCAAAGCCCTGACCCAAAAAACTTGTCCAGGAGATTTCCGCGTGGCATGGTCATTTTTTGGACCCGCGATTTGTTCTTTCTGTATATAAAGTGCATAAAAAACACCATATTCTAGAGCCAACCGTTAAGACACCATTTGTCCGATTCCCTTGCAAATTCGTTTTTGTACAACTTAAGAGGGTGTTCTTTGCACAAAATGAGTACCAAAGCCCTAACCCAAAGAATATTTCCAGGAGATTTCCGCGTGGCATGGTCATTTTTTGCTCCCGCGATTTGTTCTTTCTGTATATAAAGTGCATAA